TGCTTTTTTCTCGGAGCAGCTTCGCGTGCAGCCGGGCCAGCCCCGGCGCAGGCGGGGCAGGGGCTGCCAGCCAGGCCAGGCCGGCAGGCAAGCGGCCGATTGCGGGCGCCCGATGAAGCCCGCCCCGTCGCTTCGCCCCCATCATCCTCGACGACGACGCCCCCCCCGCACGCTTACACCCGCACCACCATCGATACCCGCGCCATCTCGTCCAACTTCTTCCTTCGTCCTTGTTCATAGAAAACGACGTAGGCCCTCGAATCATCACCCTCCCCGCTAAGCCACTACAGCTAGCACAGCCGCGCCGCTTACAGTCGAGGCATCTCAACCGCACGCACCCTCGGCATCGGTCCGACCGCAACTTCACCGCAGCGGAGCATCTGTCGCCATCCTGCTTGGCTGCTCCCTTGTTTCGGGTCTATTCCCGACCTCGCTCGCTCGAACGGCTCATCCGTACCAGTCGAATCTGGCAGCAGCAGTAGCATTTGCGATAGCGCAAGGGCCCCCCGGTCCTCTGTGCCGCCGCAGACAAGAGCAATGATGCAGAACAGCCCCGCGCTCCACTCTCAGGGCCACAATACCGGCACCCCCAGCGCCAACTTTGCCATGGACAGCTTCGACTTTGGCTCGACCGACTTTTCCCTCCCTTCGGGCCTCGAAGACATCTCGATCTTTGCGCAGCCGGCCACGTCGCATCCCGGCTCCGAGGGCACCTCGTCGGCGCACGCCAGCCACCACCCTAGCCCCTCGAACCTGACCCGCTCCGACATCCTCCCCTCCTCCCACCTTCAGTCCAGCCACACATCCTCGCCCCTCTCGCTCAACCGCAACAATTTTGAAAAGTCGGCGAGTCCACAGTCGGCGGGCGCCAGCCTCATGTCCCAGGCCGCCGACAACCGGCCCCGGCAGAATTCCTCGGGCGCCGAGGCCCAGTACAGCAGCTACCTGCAGCAGCACCAGCAGCACCAGCAGCACCAGCAGCACCAGCACCAGCACCAGCAGCAGCACTCGCAGCCTCACCTTCAGCAGCAGCAGCAGCAGCACGGCGGTTCAGACCAGCAGTCGCCGTCGCAACATCAGCAGCAGCAAGGCATGCTGCCGCAGCTGAGCATCGCGGATCTCCAGAGGATGCTCATGGAAAAGGAGCGCTCCGAGAGGATCCAGAACATGCAGACCGCCCTTCTCAAGCAGCAGCTCGAACAGCTTCAGCGCATGCAGCAGGCCCAACAAAATCAGCAGCAGCAGCAGCCGGGCGGCGGAAGCGGCGCAGGGCAGATCAACATTGCTCAGATGGGCCAGAGCGTCCTGTCCAACCTCGGCGCCGACCTTCCCCAGAACCAGCAGACGAGCTTCCTCGCCGCCCTGCAGAACGTCCTGGCCGGCAGCAACAATCCGCAGGCCGCAGGCGCGCAAGATCACCTCAACGCTGCGCAGCAGAACCAGTGGCGAGGAGGGGTGCCGATGTCGGGGTCCGGCAGTTCCGACGACCCGTCTGCCCTAGCTCAGTACGGGCTCATGACACCGCTCAACTCGGGCGCCTTCAACAATGCCAGCTGCCCGCCCGGCCAGAACAGCTTCATGTCGCCTCTCAATATGCCTGTCGGCTCGCAGGCGATGTCGACGCATCCCATTATGGTGAGCACCACGATCGTGTCCACCTGAGTCGCCCAGAGCGTGCAAATGCGCTGACGTTGCATCTCCGAACCCTTCGCACGCGGCAGACACAGTACACGCCCGTCGAGTCTCCAGCGGTCACGCCGGCCAGCGTCTTTTCCAACGCCAGCACCGGCATCGTGATGCACGAGCTCTTTTCGCCCCTCACATCACCGGCGCTCGGACCACAGCCGCCCTCGCTTGGCGAGATCCTGCTGCCACCCGCACAGATGGCTCACGCGGCCCACCAGCAGGTGCAGCAGCACCAGCCATCCAGCGTGACGGCTTCGCCCGCCTTTAATGCCATCGCTGGCAACACGCCAACTGCATCGCCGCTCGCGCTGATCGGCAAGTCGGGCAACTCGGGCTCAAAGATCCGAAAGAACCGGAGCACGACGGCCGAGGCGCGCGCCAACAAGGTTCGCCCGTCGCCCCTCATCAAGCCCACGCAGAACACCAACGGCGGCAGAAAGAAGCGCGAGTCGGTCGGCAACGCTTCGGCGGCCGCCTCGCTCGCCAACGGCAGCGCCACATCCGTGCCGAGCTCGAGGAGGACCTCGCTGTCCGAGTCGGACTCGCGCAACCACTCTCGGCATCACTCGATCGAGGCGGGGCATAGCGAGGGTACTTCCTCGACGCCATCTCCCATTGATCTCGGGGGCGGGAGCATGCCGCCCCCGCCCGCTCCGACGTCCAAGCCAATGACTCCCGGGTCAATCATGGGCATCCGACCCATGGAGAGCAAGCGGAGCAGCCTCCAGAACCTCGCACCTTCTCCTGGCATGCGCGCCCAGACCTCGGTCAAGGGCAAGGGCAAGGCCGATGGCGAGCAGCAGCAGCAGTACACCAACATCGCCCCCTATGTCGGAAGCAGCTCGCAGTCCGCGCCCAAGGTCACATTCAACCTCGCCAACACCAGCAACGGCGGCGGGACTGGACCGCACGGCAACCTGCAGCAGATTTTGCCCAACGGCGGACTACCCATCCAGCCGGGCGGGTTGGCACCCGCGGACCGTGAAGCGTGGATGTCGTACAAGTCGGCAGGCGGCCTCGAATCGCGGCGCACCTCGCACAAGGCGGCCGAGCAGAAGCGCCGAGACAGCCTCAAGTTCTGCTTCGACGAGCTGCGCGGGCTACTACCCGCCATCACGCTCGACGAGGATGCGCCCGCCGGCTCGCTGCTCGGCCCCGATGGCGCCGCCGAGGACCAGACGGTGGAGCAGTTTGATCTCGCCGACGTCGGCGATGCCGAGACGGCGCGCAGTGCCAACAAGGCCATCTCGAAGGTGGCGCTGCTGAGGCACAGCAACGAGTACCTCATCCGGCTCAGCAGGCGGCTCGGCCGGCGGGACGAAGCGCTGGCCATCTGCCGACGCGAGATTGCCGACCTGCGGCAGCAGCTTGGCCTTCCGCCCGCCGAGGATCCCGTCATGACCGGCAAGGGGACCGCGTGGGTCGCCCAAAAGGCCGCGCCCGGGCACAGCCAGAGCGCCGATGGACCGGCCACCGACCACGGCGATCAGAAACCGTCGGCCTGCAACATGGACGAGGACTCGGCGGCGATACAGCCGTCTGGCGCCGCCGGCATGGACACCTCGCAATAGGCGGGCCGAGGTGCGGGGGAGCCCTGCCTCTGTTGACCGCCTTGCATGCCACCGGCCTGCTACCGCTGCCGCGCATTTCTTCCGACCCGTATCTCGCTACTTTTGCAACGCTCCGTCTACGCTCCATTGTCTCTCCGCCCTGACCGTCGATGTACAGCAGCCTTCTTTGTCCCAGGTAGTCACCGATCGAAATTCGACACCCACCACCCTGTAGGATGGCAAGGCCTGCCTGGTCGTACGGCGAGGCATCGCCCGCTCAAGGGTCCCACTCATCGACGGCGTCGTAAAAGGTCTTGATGGTCCTCTTTTGCGCGTCGACGCCCGTTTCCGACTCGGTGTCGGCGATGGCGCGCACGACGACGTACTTGCGGCCCGTGAGGAGCTCGGGCGGGATGTCGTTGAACCTCTGCCCCTCGGCGGCCGACGACGACAGGCTGGCCAGGGCGGCATCGCGCGATCCGACGACGGCGCAACCGCTGCGTAGAGGGGGGCGAGGCGCACGCGGGGGCGAGGAACAGGAGGAAGGGGGAGGAGAGAATCGAATAGTCGTCAGTGTTCGGTTCGCCGCTCCGCCGCGTCAGCCCGTTTAACCCCGAGAGAGAGAGAGATAGGGTGACTCACGCCTCCTTTGCGATGACGATGCCGGCGCAGACGTCCCAGGCCCAGCAACCGATCTCCCAGTAGAGGTCGAGGGATCCGGCGGCGACGTTTGCAAAGTTGAGAGCGGCGGAGCCCATGGACCTGACGCCCTGGACCATCTGGCCGCCCTCGACGCCGCCGTCCGAGTCGCCCGTGATGCGCTGGAAGCTGCGCAGCTTCTTGGCCAGGATGTCGCTCTTCCTGTCCGAGCCCCACTCGAAGGCGACGAGGGCCTGGCGCAGCGAGGGCAGCGGCAGGGGCTCGGCGAGGGGAAGCCTGCGCGGCGCCGGGTGCTGCGGCGTCGAGATGTACGAGCCGGATCCCTTGAGGCCGTGGTAGAGGTGCTCGAGGAACGGCGCGTAGATGACGCCGATCACGGGCTCCTTGCGGTAGACGAAGCCGATCGAGATGCAGGTAAAGGGGCTGCGGGAGGGCCAAGCAGCAGGCAAGCGAAGGCAGAGGTGAGAGGACACCGCAGGCCGGGGGAAGCGATGGCGCGCGTCAGCCGAAGTTGAGCTGGACGAGCGGGCGATGCCGATCCGCCAGTCTTACTCACAAGCCGTGGACGAAGTTGGTGGTGCCATCGATGCTGCGGGGGCGAAGTGGGAGCGGGAGCGAGGAGACCCGTCAGTCCAAGAGTGCGAACACCGCCGGGCTGGTGCTCGACGACACAGACGAGGCCGCCGCCACTACTCACGGGTCAATGATCCAGGTGGGCTCGTCGGTCAGCTGATTCTCCTCGCCAGCCGCCCAGCTCTCCTCGCCAATGAACCTGGTTCGGTCGGTCGTCGTGGCGGGAAGCGCCAAAGGAACAGGAACAGACTCGCTCGCATCAGCTCACCGCCGCCGTCGCCTCCGCCGCAGTCACCACCAGCGTGGGGGGGGAGTCGAAATCGGGGCACTCACTTGTGATGCGGGTAGGCACGTGCGATCTCGTCCTTGACGAGCTTCTCGGTCGCCTGGTCCGTCTCGGTGACGAGGTCGGCCGTGTTTTTCTTTTCGTCGAAGCCGCTCAAGCCCTCGAAGCGCCGCGCCGAGCCCTCGAGGATCGCCTGCCCCGCCTTCTTGGACAGCTGCACCGCAAACGTCTGGATCTCTTCCAGGTCAATCATTGTCGTCATCGTGGTCTGAGCCAGTGATTGGTCGGATCGGTTGGATGGATGGTGGGTGGTGGGTGGTGGGTGGTGGAGGAAAGGAGGGAGGGGAGGCGGCCAGACAGCGCTGTCTGTGCGCGTGCATGATTCCTCCCCTGCCTCGCCTTCCATTTCCGTATCCTAAAGACCAGCTTTTATTTATGCATCTGTGTAAGCTTCATTCATCCAAGTCCAAAATGGCCGATCCTGGTTAGTACAATGGTCAGTATAGGACACTCTCACCTGCGCCTTCTCCACTGCGAGAAGACGGTGCTGTTCAGATCGGGGTTCGATTCCCCGGCCGGGAAATTCTTTTGGCTCTTTCTTTTGCTTTTGCCTGGTCTGAAGGCCGGCCGATAGTGGTACATGGTTGCATTACAGGAGAGGGCATCAGGGTGCGAATCTGCTGGATGGTCTGGAGACGGGACTGGCGCCAACGACAGAAGGGGAATAGGAGGAGGCGGTTGGAAGGGGGCCGGTGTCGCCGGCGGACGTGATGGCGTGTGGCTGCTGCTGCTGTTGCTGTTTCCCTCGACTCGACGACGACGTCAGCGGCGGCGACGCGGTGCCCTCGCTAGCGTCGGACAGCTGGAACTGGGCTAGGCTGGAGGCGCTGTGCAGCGGCGCCGGGTTGGCCTGGATGTCTTGCCAGCCGCGCTCGTCGCGGTAGGCCTCGAGGGCGGCGACGGCGGCCTCTGCGGCGGCCCAGGCGACCTTGACGGCCTTGACGTGCAGGTCGTGCCGGCGGACAAAGCGGAGTGCGAGCGAGGTCTGGTGCACGGCCATCTGGGTGCCCTTTTCCGTCAGCGCGAAGCGGGCGTCGAGGGCAGCCAGCAGCGAGACGATCTGCTTGAGCAGCTGGTAGAGCTGCGAGGGAAGCGGCGAGCGCTTGAGCGCCCGCGCCAGCGAGGCCGATAGCAGGATCAGCCGGTCCTCGGCGCTCATGCTCGGGTCGTGGCCGTCGCTGATCGAGGCGCCGTCCATCAGCTGCAGATCAACGGCGTCGCTGCGGGGCGATCCTTGGGCCGGCGCCGGCGACCTCGCCTGGCCGTCGGACGCCAGCGTCCTGGCCTTTTCCGACTTGGCAATCGTCCACAGGCTGCTGGCGAGGGCGTTGGCGGCCGAGCTGGCGAATGCCACGGTCAGCTCCCACTGCTTCGAGTGCTGGCCAGCCGCGCGCACCCAGGCGGTCCTCGGCGTTGCCGTGCCGCTCGCGGGGGCAGACGAGGGCGCTGACAGGTACTCGCCCGTGTCGAGGTCGGTGATCCTGGGAGAGCCTTGCTCGGCGGGCGTCTTGCTGCCGCGCGGCGCGATGGCGGAGAGGTTGGCAGAGAGGGCCGATAGCGCACCGGCGCCGATGGTGAGGCCAATGTCGAGCACGCTGTTGCCGACCTTGCCCGCGAAGCTCGAGGGCCTTTCGGACGCCTTGGCCGCGGCGTGGGCTCGCGCAAAGGCGCCGTCGCTGAGGATGCTGGGCCCGGCACCGCCGTGATAGTGATGGTGGACGACCGTGGGGCCCTGCTGATCGCGCAGTGCGATCCTCTCCCTCTCCATCTCCAGCTCCCGCTTCATCGCCTCGGCCTTTTGCAGCTCGGCCCGCGCATCGAACCCCAGCTTGCCCATGCCGTCCTCGAGCCTCTGGCGGATGTCGTTGCGCTGCCTGTCGTTGAGCCCGGTCGCTTCGCGGTCCGAGATGGCCGAGATGAGGTAGCCGAGAGATGAGATGTAGAGGTCCAGCGAGAAGCCCAGGTCGTCCTCGTCCTCGTCCTCGCTCTCGTCGCCGTCGTCGGTCAGCTGCATCTCGTCGGGTCGTCGCATGCTGAGCTGCCTGCTAGACTCGGAGAGCGAGAGTCGCGCCTGCGGGCCGGCTCCCTCGGTGATCAGCCCGAGGCCCGCACCCGCCTGCCTCATAGAGGCGCCGTCTCCCCTGCGTCGAGCTGCGGTCGACATCTGGGACTTGCGCGCCTGCTTCTCTTCCCAGATGCGCTCGTCTTCCTCGGCGGCCTGGGCAGCCTCGACCGCCAGGCTGACGGCCTTGTCGAGCCGCCTGCGATCAAGCCGGACGGGCCTCCTTTCCGATTTCCGCGCGACAGCTTTGCTCGTAGCGTTGGACGGTGCCGCTACAAGCATGTTGTTGCGCCGACTGGGAGGGCTACCGGGGTCGGTTTCGCTGCTTCGTGACGAAGATGATGCGGACGAGGCGAGGGACGGGGCAAAGCGGGCGGGCACCCAAGCGGCGGCAATGTCGCGGATCGACTGGATGGAACGGGTGCGGAATCCGGACGCCCTCGGCGGCGACTTTGCCGCGCCGTAGCCGTCGACCAACGTATCTGAAGCCGCGTCGTCGAGCGGGAGCCCGGCTGCTCCACTGAGCGAGATGGTGCGGTACGACTTCGGGGTCGATGTCGTCGTCTGTGCATGGGCGACGCTCGATTTGCCCATCGCGTCCCTTGGCAGCGTCTGCCACTGAGGCATCGAGCTCGTCCGCGCGTGCCGGTTGGGGCCCCGGCCTGCCCTGATGGTGCTGGCGCGGGCGCTCAGGGGGACGTCCAGCTTGCGAGGCGAGGTGCTCGGTGATCCGATCGTGGAGGTCGCAGGCGTGAAAGTGGCCGAAGATGAAGGAGTGGCGCCGGTAGCGGCGAGGTTCGTAGATCCGGAGCTGTCGGTCGAGGAAGGCGCAGACGTCGAGCGGGAGTCCCGCATGTCCGAGGATGGGAACGCGATAGAAGAGGAGGGGTTTGACTGTTCCTGGCTCGACGTCGGGCCGCTGCGTATGACGGCCGAGCAAATGAGAGGAGGTGATGAAGGTGAGAGAGCTGTGCTGAAACCGATTGGCGAGGGCCGGGGCAAGACAACTGCCTGCTGATGGGCTCAGGGCTGCCGCGGTACCACGAGCGACGGTCCGGGCTAGCGCGAGCCTTTGGCATTCGGGATCGTGTTCGGCGACGTGCAGAGACGGCGGTGGCTCGACTCACCTGTGGGAAAAGCGGGGCCGGACCTCGTCCTGCAGGTCGATTGTGGGTCTCGTCTGTGCTTCTTGGAAAAGCCCTGCTCGCGACTCGTCGGCCCAGACCGGGGACGAGGGGTGCGACATGACGAGCTCTGCATCGATGCGAACGGCGTCGCGGTTGGAGTGGGCCTGGGTGCTGTCGGGACGAGCTCCCGCAAGGAGCGATCCGATCGAGTTGAGGCTGGATAGGAGAGAGGATGTCCTCTTGTGCTGCTGATGGGAGCGGGCGGGCCTCGAAGGCCCAGCCGATTGATTGTCCGCCATGCTGGCGAGAGGTGGTTCGTCAGGCCGCCTCAAATAGGGGCGAGAGGTGGGGTGACGAGCTAAAGGATGACAGCCGAGGGGAAGCCGGTGGCTCAATCCGAGAAGAGCTCGTAGAGTGTTTGTCGAGGCTGACCAGCCAGGAGGGGTTGACGCGGGGTGGCCGAGGAGCCTGGAAGACGAGCCAGGAGCAGCCGCTGCGGCTGATGGAGCTATGGTCGGCGTCGGCGTCGAGGCGGTCTGCGATGATGGTGGTGGCGGTGGTGGCGGTGATGGCGATGATGGTGGCGATGGTGAGGGCGAGCAGCGGCCATTAGGCGCCGGGGTCATCTCCGATGGCTAGAGGGCTGTGGGCGCGGTAACCACGACGGCCAACGAGGTGGGCGCCGAGATAACGAGGAAAACCAGGCTGGTCCCGCTTTCACAGGTGGAGGCCAGCTGGGCCAGGCAGGAACGCAGCAGCACGAGGCAGACTCAAACTACGGCCCATCCGGTCCATCGATCTGGATCAGCGATCCGCGAGCGGCAGCAGCGCAGCGCCGACAAAGCGGGACACTGGCCTGCGGATCCAGCAGCCGGTGCTGCTGCTGTCATCGGCCCTGCGTCGTTCGTCGTCGTCTGGCCCGCAACGGCACCCGAGCCGCTTCGTCGCTGGCCGGCCTGCCCGCCTGTCCTGGCCTGCCTGTTTTCCGATCCGTCTTCACTTGCCTGCCTCCTGCCTGCCTGCCCGTCGTAGAGCCGACCGCGCGATTTTCTTGCCTGCTTGCCCGCCTGCCTGGGATTTTTTTTGGGTTGACGTGCAGCCCCATCTGGTTGATGCAAGCAGGCCAGCGGGCGGGCCCTCGGCTGGGTCGAGCGTGAAAGCAGGCAGGTCAGGGTCGGCCCACGTGCTTGCGCTGGTCGCCCGCCCAACTGCCTGCCCGCTTGCAGCTCGACCACACGGCCCCTGGAGCCGACGCCTTGCAGCCCACTGCTGGCCAACATCCACCCTAGCCTGTCGGTCATCACCATCGCCGGATCATCGCCTTCAGCTTAGCCTCGCGCATCGAAGTACGTGGGACGAAGAGGCAAGGGTCCACCATCCTCGGAGATTAAACGGGTTCGCTAGCGTGTAGGTTACGTTCTATGCACTGCAAGCAGATAAAAAGACCAGAAGAGGAGAGCGGTCCTGGCTACCTGCGCCTCGGCGACGACGACGACGACGATGACGACGACGACTTTGACGGGATGGCCCACCTCAGCAGCTTCATCAGGCTCTTTGGTGGGGCCCGAGTTGGCGCTGCCGGGGGAGCGAGGGCCGGCGACGAAGAGACGGGGCAGCCCCAGTCGTTCCTGGCACTGCCCAGCTCGTACACGCTCGCCCCGCCACGCGACCTGCGGCCACCCGTCGCACGCTGATGGTCCTGGTTCGACGGCCACGAGTCCTGGCGAGCCGGCATGGTGGCGAATCCCGAGGCAGAACCGGACGCGAGGGCTACGGCGGGCACGTCGGGCACGTCGGGCAGAGGCGCCGTCTGCGTCGAGCTGCAGCGAGGCCGCACCCGGCTGAGCAGCTCAAACCCCGGTGGCGCCGCCGTGTGAGCCCCATCGAGCATCTCTGCCGACTCGATGCATCCCGGTCGCTGGACGCTAAAGGGCCTGTGAATGATGCCCGGGTCCAGCGTCGAGGCGCTCAGGTTGACGCTCGACGGGTGCATCGAGCTGTGCAGGCCGCCACGCCCCGTTTGCGCTGCGTGCTGCTCGCCGAGGCGCTGTTGGTAGCACCGGCTGCCCTCGGTGCCCACCAAGGTCTGGTTGAGGTCCGAAAACAGGAGGCTCCCGCTTCCCGTCCTCGACGGCAGGCTCGCCGGCGGCGGCAGGGTGCGGTTGTGTGCGAAGCCGAGATCCGCCTTGTCGCGGTCGCGGGGGCGCGACAGCCAGTCCTGCTCCGACGCCGACCGCACACCGATGAAGCTTCGAGAGGCCGATGGCTCGCGGCTGTGGTGATGGTAGCCTGTACTAGCTGCCAGGCTCTGTGTCCCCGCGGCCGACTCGCTGCGGAAGGAAGCGTGTCTGGACGCCTCTCTGCTCGCCGACATCCAGTCCTTTGGGGGAGCCGGTGGTGCCTGTGCCGAGTCTCGCAAGCCGCCTGGCTCGCCGAGAGTCGGGACCGGGGGTTGCCGAATCGAAGGCGGCGGCAGCATCTCACCGCCGCTCTGAAACGGCCTCTTGCTCGGCGACATCCGTCCCGCTTGCTGGTGCGACCGCGTCCGCCTCTCTGTCAGGACCCGAAAGATGGTCTCGGCGTCGGGACGGCTATCCTGGTGGGCCAGGCAAGCCAGAAGCATCCTCTGCAGCTCTGGGCTCGCGGACTTGGAGCTCTCGGGCAGTTCGATACCGTCGAGGACCTTGCTGACAATGTAGAGAGGAAAGTGCCGCGACCAGAGATGGAAGCGGGGCTGCTCCTGCTCGGCCCGGGCAGGCGTGTGGAGCGCTTCGACAAAGTCTTCCTGGTGCTTGGAAAAGGAAAAGTCGAACGGGCAGACGCTCGAGGACGAGGGCCGGTCTTCAGACGGGACCGTCTTGAGGAAGAGCGAAGACCTGGGGTGGTAACGGGAATGGCGACGCGCAGGCACCAGGGGCGTCAGCTTCAAGAGGGCAGACAGGGATCCGTCTTCGGGGCCGCGGGATGCACTCACACTGTCCGAGACCAGCTCCACATGTCGGCGCGGATGCCCCAGCCCCGCTTGAGGTCGCTCAGGGCGAGCTCAAAGTAGGTGACCTCGGTCGCGGTAAAGTACTGCTTGTAGTGCGGCTCCCAGTCCTCGAGCACGCTCCGGGCCCTGCCCTTGTGGTCAGCGTACCGGCTTGCCTGCAAAAGGATCTCTGGTGCCATGTAGCTGGTGAAGCGGCAGGCGAGGATAAGGGGACGAGACGGACGGGCGGGGATGACGAGGTCAGCCACAGGCTGAAGCGGGATCTCACAACAGCCACGATGGACCGGCCCGCCTGACTCACTGCGGAGATCCTGTCAGCGAGCTTAACCCCTCGCACCGGTCCAGAGCCAGGGTCGGCCGCACTCTGCCCTGCCGGAGGTGCTCGATGTCGCCCTGGTCGACGGCGTAGAGGTTGTCCTTTTCGCGGTTCGAGACGTCGACAAAGCGCCGGCTGGCCCCGAGGTCGATGATCTTGACGCACCCCGTGGCTGGATCCTTCATCAGGTTGGAAGGCTTCAGATCGCCATGCGTGACGTTGTGCCGGTGCAGGAACTGCGGGAGGCAGGCAGGCAGGTGGGCAGCGGGGCACAGCGTCAGTGGACCCCTCGTCGACCGCTGCCCGAGCCGACACCTGACGACACTCACCTTGAGGCCCTGAATGATTTCCAGCGCCATGCGCTCGACGCGTTCTGCCGGCCAGGTGTCCTTGGAGACCTCCCACCCCTTGTCCGTCAGCTCGGCATCGATCTCGACGAGGCGCTCAAAGACCAAGAGCCGCGTCGGGGGCCCTTCGCTGAAGTCGGGCTCGATCTCGATCGAGGTGAGCGGGCAGCCGCGAGCGGCGTCGCCGTCGAGGGCGGCCGCCTTGGCCTTGCCGTGGACGGGCAGGTCGGCGAGGAGTAGCACCAGGTTGGCATCCTCGGCGCTCGGCTCGACGTCGTTGGCGGCCTGGAGGTAGCGGAGGATGCGCCCCTCGCCCCGGACGACGCGGATGTGCGACAGGCTGGGGTCCTGCATCATGGCCTTGCGCATCTTGCGGTCCAGGGCGCTCGTCTTTTGCAGCTCGTCAAAAGAGCCCGTGCACGGCGTGCGGCACATCTTGACGACGACGACGCGCGGCGTCGCGGGCCTCCGATCGGCAAAGGGGCGCAGGTGGGCGGCAAGGGTCGAGGAACGGTTCGAGGCAGGGGTGAAGACAAGCTGACGGCTGCGCGGGAGGTGGTCGGAGCCGCCCTGAGGGCCATAGGCTGCATTGCCCGGGTCCGGGAAGATGTTCTCGGTCACGCTGGCCGGGCTGCCATTGGGGCTGGGGCGGGTCGAGTTGGGCGCCGAGATCTCGAGCGAGCTCTCGGGGGTAAAGGACGTGTCGCGCTCGTAGAGGTAGGTGGTGCCGAAGCCGCCCTTTCCCACGACGGCCGTGTCGGCATCCTCGCCCGTGCCCTTGCGGTTGTAGCGCCGCGGCAGGTTGCCTTTGACGAGCAGCTCGATCGACACTGGCGGCTGCGGGGCCTGCACGACGGCCGGTGCCGGTATCGGTGCGGGTGCCTCCTGGGCATCCGATGGGCCGGCAGTCGCCGATGGCTGCGACATGGTCGAATCAGGGTCGATCCTGCAGCAAGCAGTTGTCGGTGGCGGAAGCCTGAGCCGGGCCGAAGCGTCGAGCTTGTGTCTTTCGGGAGGCTGCCGATGGGCGCCCGACGCGAGGGTGCGGACGACGGTCGCTCCGAGGCGAAATCCAGCCGCTTTCGAGAGAATACGGGCAACTAGGGCGATCGAGGCAGCAGAGACTGGACGAGGATGGCAAGAATGCCGAGGACAGAGATGACGACGACGACGATGACGGGGCAGGGAGCAGGCAGACACGGCTTGCCAAGGGCCTTGACCGCAGAGCTTACGCCTGTTATATGTATGCAGGAAGGCAGGCAGGCAAGAGCATGTGCGAGTCAACAGAGGGCGGCAGCCATCTTCGGCCCTCGATGCCAGGAGAGTCATCTCGAGGGCCGGGGCCGTACTCGGACCTCTTCAGGCCAAAGTAGGGTGGGGGTGGTAGACTCGAATAGCAGGCTGGCAGCAGGCGTCTCTGGCACCGAGCGTGGTTATGAAGCGTCGCAACAGGTGATGATGAGGACGAGGGGGGACGTGCTTTCCGTCAATAGCCTCCGCTGGCCCCTGTTCTTGCAGCCTTGCTCTTTGCGCTGCGCCTCGCCGCACCGCGCTGCGCTGGCGCGGGCCGAGCTACCGCAGACTGAGTTGCGCTGGGCTGGCTGCTCGTTCCGTTGTGCGGGCAATTGTTGTCGCTCCGGCGTCGAAGGCTATCGCATCCTAGGGCCGCGGTAGTACATATGACGAGAAGGCGTGGTAGGTGGGCGGAATGGTGCTGCATCGACTGTAAGCTCAGCATCCCCGCCTCTTCGGTCCGCATCTTGGCGGGGCGTCGGGGCTAACCCTGGCGTCGCCCCCTCCCACCGACGCAGCAGCAGCTTGCTTGGTTCTCGTCCTCGCAGCCCGTCTCCTGGGACTTGGAAGCCGGTGCAATTGTTCTGGTGCCACCGTGGCAGGGCACCTGCTTGTTTGCTGCAGGAAATGCGAGGTGCGCACACAGAGCTTGGGCCGCGCGCTTGGATCTCGCGTTACCCTCGGCGGCGAGCTTGTCCCTCGAGGCCCGACGATGTCAGAATGGACGGCGTTCCGTGCGCCCTTCAGGCCCCTCGTCACCCTCGGCTCGTTGGCCGACGGCATCGTCCACGGTGCCCGTTGCCACTTCTTTAGCCCGCTGACCGGCGCAGCCTCCCAGCGCCAGTACGTGAAGATCCGCACTACGCGCACCTAGCTCCCTCGCAGTGGGCTGGCCTTCCCCCCATACAACCGAGGCAGACAGGCCGTGGCGGGCGAAGCAGGCTAGGCATTGCGAGAGCTGGAAGTGGTGCACACAGAAACGAAGCCGAGGCGGCCGGCGGCCTCGTCCGGCGGCTTATTCGCTAGCGAATGCGCCGACCTTTTTTCCCTGCCTGCGGCGGTGAGCGATGACCGGGAAGATGGACCCATCGAGGACCCCGAGCATGTCTTCCTTGTCCATGTAGCCTGAGGCGGATACCATGCGGAGGCGGAGGCGGAGAGAAACGGGCGTCAGTTTCGGGTCGGTCGGCCGCGATCCTGTGCCGCGCGGCACTGCGTGGTGTGCGTGCGGTGCAGGCAGGACGAGCGCAGAGGCCAGGCGTGATGCCCTTTCGCGGGGACATTGCAAGACTCACCGTCCTTGGGCCAGAGGAGCAGGTAGGTGGCGACCCACTCAAACATAAAGGCAAAGATGCCGAAAAAGTCCATGAGGTTGCGGCGCTCCGAGAGCATCACCATGGCATCGGTGAAGCAGAGCGAGTCCTTGCTGTGCTTGCTCGAGTAGTCCTCGAGGATGGCCTCGTACTTTTGCGGCTGGAAGTGGCCGCGGCGGTCGTACGACTCGGTGTCGGATCCATGCTTGCAGCGCTGGATGTTGGCGATCCAGACGCGGAAGAAAGGGTCGGGCAGCCAGTCGACGAGACGGCGCCCCGTGTGCGGCAGCGTGGGGTAGGAAAACGACGAGTGGATAACAAAGACGGCCAGCAGCGAGAGCAGGAAGCCGTAGCCCAGGCGGTAGAAGCCAAGGTAGGTGTCGTGCGGCCAGATGACGCCGTCGCAGTCGCCGTCAAAGTAGACGACGTGCTGCGAAGGTAGCAGAGGGGTCGAAGCGTGGAGGAAGGTGCCGTCGCGTCAGCTGCCTGCCGCCGCCCGCCCGCCCCGCGTGGCGCTCGGACGTAACCGTCGCCCGGGGGTTCGGTCCACCGCGGCGGTCTGTCGTCCTCACCTTTTGCATGTGGGTCAGCGACTTGGTGTTCTGCCGGTAGCTGTCGCGGTCGCCGTCGGGGTCGGCGTAGGTGTTTTGCGGCGTGTAGGGGACCTTGCCGCTAGGGCTCAGCGACACCTTGCTGTTGTCAAAGAGCGGATCGCGATCGACGGCGCGGGCGACCTGGCCGCGCAGGTCGACGCCGAGCATGCCGCTGAGAGCGTTCATCTTGGGCGGTGGCGGTGGCGAGCGATCGGGCCTTCGATGTGGTGACAGGGCGCTGCTCTTCTGCTCGTCCGTGGTCAGTTCGCCGACGTCGGTGCGGCAATGGGGCGGGGTACGGGGAGCGCTGCTGTCGCGTTCGTTGGGAGGACTTCGTGGGGACGAAGGTCGAGGTCTGTACAGAGGTCGAGCTGGGGATGGTGGCCGGAAAGAGGGAAGTGAAGGTTAGGCTGCTGAGGTCCCTCCTTGCTGCTTTTGACTACCGCGGCCGGCTGCTTGCGCGTGTGGCGAGTTCCATGTCAGCATCGCGGGGGTCGTGAGTGAGCAGTGCGTAGCCCGGCCTGACCTGGCCTGCCTGCCTGCCTGGCCTGGCCTGGCCTGCCGCTTGGTCGGTGGTGGCTGCATGCAGGGTCCACCCTCTCGACTGGAGCGTCTGCCAGGCCGTGACTGCGAAAACATTAATTTCCTCGAGCATCGATTTTTCGAATTTTCGTGAGACGACCAACCGGCCGGTCTCGAGGTCAGCTTCGTTCTTGGGTTGCAACTTTTTTGTTTCCGAGGAGCTCTCGAGGCGCTCGCTTGTTGCTAAGCCCCACGCTCGAGAATTGACTTGCAAGCAGCGACCAGCTCTGTGAAGTCAGATTCCAGATGTTCCCACTTTTTCCTGGCCTCTAAGTTCCGAGAACATCAGCCCAAGAAAAACAGAACAACCAAAATTCCAGATCGGATGCTCGCTTTTCAAATCTCGACTTTCGACGAGCGGAGGTGAGGGCAGGCTACGCATCATCAGCTCCACGCTCCGAGAGGGCACACTGCTGCCCCCGGCCGGAAGAGAGGCATGTCTACCACTCTCACACGTAGTCCAGCAGTCCGACGACGTACGACGCCGTGAAGGGCAGACAGGAGGGAGAGAGAGACCCAGGCTGGGAGGGCGAAGGAGGGACCTGACATGGAGCACAGGCAGGGCAGCGGCGAAGGGGCTGGAGCCGGCAAGCAGCCAGTTCGATGGAGTGTCTCCCGCGCCTCGACGCTCGATTGAGACCGCCGTGCGACGGAGCCATTATTTCCGTGGTGCTGCGCATTCCACAAGTCTTCTATGTCTACCTAAGTGTCGGGAGCGATCGTGGACGCTCTGCGGCCGAACGCAGCGCGGATCTAGGCCGCCTTCTCGTACTCCTCGTAGAGCTTGGCGAGCGCATCCTCGTCGATCTGGCGGCGGCGAGGTAATAGAGCAAACAGGCAAGGTGAGCATGCATCGCGCACCAGAGTGGGGGCCACAGCGGCGGTCTGGCTGCGACGGGCTCACGTTGTCGATCTCGGGCTTCTCGAGCTCAACGACGTCGGTGAGCTGGACGCCGTCGCCGAGGAGACCCTTGCAGATCTCGAGGTAGAGGTCCTTGATGCCGTAGCTGCAGACAGAGAGGCCAGGCAGAAGAAATGAGGGCGAGACACGACGTCAGCAACCAGGGGCACTCGAGGTCAGCTCGCCGCGAAGATGCGGAGCGATACCCACTTGGCCTTGGCGGAGATTTCGCGGTACGGGTGCTCCTTTTTGCGGGGGAACTCGATCTGGTCGGGCTTGAGCTCTCGGCCCTGCGAGGCGAGGCGAGTCGGGGGGCAAGAGCGGAAAGTGGTCAGCCGGGGCCGAGGAGCGATGCCCGGACCGGGGAGCGGGGGGCGCACCTTGATGTCGTCGGCCTTTGTGCCGACGACGATGATGGGGAGGGGCTCGCTGCCCTTTCGGCCGTTTGCCTTTTGGAGGGCGTCGTACCACTCCTCCATGGCCTTGTAGCTCTCCTCGTTTGTGAGGTCGAAGAAGACGACGCCGGCGTCTGCGATGCGGAAGAAGCCGTCGTCGGGGATGCCGCCCTTTGCGTGGAGGTTGGTGTCGTAGAGGGTGAGGGTGACCTGGCCGGCCGAGGTGTGGAGCTTTACGGGGTACTGGGTCGTCTTGAGCGCCTTGACCTGCTTAGCGCCCGACTTTGCGGAGCGGAGGCGGGTGGCAAAGGCCGTCTTGCCGACGCCAAAGGGGCCGGCGAGGACCACCTTGAACTCTTTGGACGTCATGATGGTGGTAACAAGGGGGGTTTGGGGTTGAAGGCGGCGGTGGTGGTGGTGGTGCTGGATGCGGGGTCGCGGAGGTGGACTATGGGGGCGGCTGCTTGCTTGAGCTGATGTTTCGGGGAAGAGAGGATGATGAAGGTGAGGGTGATGCGATGGTGGCGACGAGCGAGCGGTGAGCGGCGAGGGGTGAGGTGATGCTGGCTGGCTTTGCCCCTCGAACGCCGAGAAAGAGAGCGGTGGCTCGAGCCGAGTTGGAAGAAACGCCGGGCGGGCGGCTTTCCCGCTGCCCGCGCTCTCCTTTGCTTTGGTGTGGCAGGCCAGCAGCAGGCCGGCCGCCTGCCGCCCAACTTGCTGGCCAGGCCATCTCGCAGAGCAGCTGCGCCTGGCACGTCATGCCAGCGGCCCCTTCCGGCTCGCTTCGGTGGAGGTGCCGGCTGGCTCGCGGGCGACGGGAGCGCTGACCCCCCAAAAAAGCACACGTACGTACACCGCCCGACGGGCAAAGGCTCGGAAATCGGGAGTGTGGCGAGGGTGCAGCCCTGTCCGGGCGCAGGTGCAGGATGGCGAGGCGAGGTTGCAGGCTAGGTGCCCGGCCTGCGCGGCGGAGAGGGGTCCTGCCCTCACCCTGGTGAGCCGCCTTTGCCTAGCCTGCACCCTCGACCTTGCTTGCTTGCTTGCTTGCTTGCTTTCCCGCGCTCTTCTCGTTCGACTTGCCGCCGCTGCAGGCAGCCTTTCTTGCTTGCTTGCTTTCTTCCTTCAACGCCCGGCGGCCATTCCACGTAGTACTCTTCTTCTTCCACCACCACCGACCGGCTCCTCCATTTGACGAGCGGGTCCTTTCTGGCCGCCGCGTGCCACCCGCTGTTTGTTGGATCGCTCCTGGACACCTCTCTCTCTCTCTCTCTTTCTCTTTGGCCCCCGATTGACGATCTCCTCACGACCCGGACGACTGCGCCATCCAAGGCACCGACGAGCGGACACCCCGCCTTCCTCCTCGCCGAACTCTGTCACAACCCCGCAGCATGCAGCTGAGCAGCCTGCTCGTCACTCTGGTCAGGCATGGAGAGTCGCAGGACAACGCCCAGGCCATCTGGGCCGGCTTCAGGGACACGCCCCTCTCGTCGGCCGGCGTCAACCAGGCAATGGCCCTCGGCCAGGCGTTTTCCAACGTGCCCCTCACCGCAATCTACTCGTCCGACCTGCGCCGCGCCGCCATGACGGCAGAGGAGATCCTCCAGGCAAACCGCTCCATCCCTCCCCCGCCCCTCGTCCAGTCCAAGTCGCTCCGCGAGCTCAACTTTGGCCAGGCAGAGGGAAAGAGCTGGGCCGCTGCCGGTGAGTGCCTCGCCCTGTGCGCGCCCGTACCCGCCCACACTGCATCCCGAGACGCTGATTTCTGATCTGCCCCTGCCTCGCCCTTGCGTGTATCCCGCAACCCCGCTTGCGACCAGAGTGGACCTCGCACGCTCAGGCAGAAGATGCGCGCACCTTTCGCTTCCCCGACGGCGAGTCGCTCGAGGACGTCAACTCGCGCATCGCCAAGGCGGTGAGGCAGTTTGTGCTGCCGCGCGTCGAGGCGTTGCGCAAGCAGGGCCCAAAGACGTCGACGTCGTCGTCGACGAGCGCTGCAGAAGTGCCGCACATCTGCATCGTCGCCCACGGCATCGCCATCGCAGAGGTAAGTAGCGCGTACCATGGTGGGCTCGTGACATCGGCCGAGGTCGAAAGCCTTCACTGCGTGGTGCAACGCTGACGCAGCCCTTGCCTTCTTACCCACTCGTGTTTCTCTCGCGACAGCTGCTCAGAGTCTTTATGTCTCTCCATGACCAGACCCCAAACAGCCCCTGGGCGGATCCGCGCCTGACGTACCGCCGCGTCAGGCTCGAAAACACGGGCTGGAGCCGACTGGAGCTCGCAGTGCCCGTGGTCGGTCCAGGGGGGAGCCGCCCATCGCCCCAGCCGACACCAACGACCCCGCAAGCAGCGGGCGCAGACGCTCGCGCCGACGCTCGCGCCGACGCTCGCGCCGACGGTGGAGGGCAAGCAACGACCTCGGGAGACTCTCTCGCCGACGGCGCCGATGGGCAGCACGGCGATGCCTCGCGAGCGGCTCTGTCCGCTTCGGAAGTGCAAGCATCCTCGAAACTCACCTTTGTCCGGATCCTGTGCCAGAACCAGGTCGAGCACCTGCGTGCCTTTGCCATGCAGACACCTGGCAGCGGCGCGGCGCATGCCCTCGGAGGTGGCCTGCCTGCTGGCGCGGCAGCTGCGACGGGCAGTCCAACGCCCAGCAGTGTCGGGCAGGCTGGCGCCGGTGCCGCTTCGTCGGGCGCCGGCGGCAGCTCGACCCTGCCTGCGAGTGCCACCATGGCGTCGATCGCCTCGAATGCGACGCTGTCGACCTCTGCGTCGAACGCCACCCTGCCACCTCCTTCGACACCCGGCGCAGGGCTCGCCACATCGTCCGGAGCTCGCTCCGTCAACGCTACACCGGCCTCGGCGCGAAGCCTCAACGCGTACGACGTCAAGATGATGGCGCGCGAGCTGGAAAGGGCCGGCGCGGCCCAGATGCTTGCCGGCACGGAAAGCCAGGGGCTGTCCGGCGGCGGTGTCAGCGGCATCGGCGGCGCTGGCAGTGGCAGTGGCGGCACGACGACATCGGGAGGCGGCCACAGCGGTCATCCGTCGACCGCCGGGACGCCGAACCCGTCGACGCTGTCGGAGCGCGCGGGCATGCCGCATGCGAGCTCGAGCCTCGGCGCACTCCACGCCGGGCAGGCCGGCGCCTCTGGCAGCATGCTCTTCAACCCCTACATTGGCGGAGGCGCTTCCGGTTCCGGCATTGGCATGCCCGCCGGCTCGCCCAACGCGTCAGCGGCGGGCTTCCTCAGCGCATCTGGTGCCACGTCGGACGTGTGGCAGAGCATCTGCGTGCGAGTGCTGCCGCTCTTCAACGGCGAAGGCCTCCGGACCAGCATAGAGGATCTCAACGAGCTGGTCAGCCAGCACGTCCGCCGGACGCTGGACCGCGGGCCCGCACGCGCGCTCGATACTCTCTCGTACGACCTCACCTCGCTGGCGGCAAGCGGGACCCTGACGCTCAACTCGAAGCTGATGGGCCTCGACGATGTCAGGCTGCTGGTGCGCCTGGCCGAGATCTGGACGTTTTTCCTGGGCCAGGTGCTCCCCTACATCCAGGGGTGCTTCCTCCCCTTCCAGACCGACCCGGTCCTGCAGAGCCTCGCCAGCAACATGCGTGCCACCAACGCCGCTGCAGCCCAGGCGGCCACGTCGCCCAGCATGGCGGGCGCGCTGCGGACCGACAAGATCAACGTGCGCCGCATCCTGCTCGCCGTGTTCCGGGACCGGGTGGTGCTGCCGCTGTACGAGCGGCTCTCGTACCTCTTTTCGCACATCAGCGAGGTCGATCCGGGCTTTTGCTCCACCGACGACGCCATGGCGGGCGAGGGGTCGAAGCAGGTCTACCTGCGGCTGCTCCAGATGACGAGCATCCTCGCCAGCGTCGTCAGCGACGACGAAGCGCAGAACCACGTCGACGGTCTGGTGCGGGCGCTGAGGATGGGCAGCAAGGCCGCGGGCAAGGCCAAGGACGGCGGCGGCGTGGGCGACTTTGGGCTCGGCGTGCGGTCGTCTTCGCCGACGCAGCAGCGCTCCAATCGGCGCGGCTGGATGGCGCAGAAGGCGAGGAAGCACGGCGTCGGCTCGATCTCGGACAGCCTGAGCCTGGGCTCGATCGCAGGGGGCGGCTCGTTGACGGGGACGCCGCTCACTCTGCGCTCGGTGCCACAGACGACGATCAACCGGTTCGGCCAGGAGCTTTCGGAAGACGACTACCTCACCGCGCTGCGCTCGCCCACGCTGTCGACCGAGCCATCGACGCCGGGCCAGCCACCACCTCCGCCGACGCCCCCGGCCAAGGATCTTGCCAAGGATCTCGACCTCTCGGCACACAGGCGCAGCGAGGATTCGTCGCGCACCGCCGCTCCGAGGACGCGCAGTACGCAGGCAGTGCAGTGCGAAGGGGCCAATCCCGCTGATCACGGGCGGCGCCTGAGTGACGAAGGGTCCACGGACGACGCTCGGCCGGCGAACGGTGCGGAGCCCAGCCAGATGCAACTGACGCGCAGAGGAGGGTCGGAAGGCGATGCGGATGGCCAGGCGGATGGCGGGGCGGAAGAGCTGAAGGACGGGGCCGCGAGAGCGAACGGCGACGGCGGAGGTAGCGCCGCGACACCAGCGGAAGACCCGTCGGACATGACCAGGCGGCAGGACGCAGAGGCTCGACAGCATGCCAATAATGCGCCTCGTAGTGCGGGGCAGTCGGAGCAAGCGTCTTCGGCTTCGGCGACGGGCGGCAGCGCAGAGCGGAACGGTGCCGCATCCATCCAGCAGACGGAGCGGTGACAAGACGCCTGACCGAGTGCCGCGGTCGCGCCATCCAGAGAGGGCTCATATCGATGGCCAGGCTGGGTGCACGAACACGAATGTAGAAGGCAGAGGGAGGGGGCCCATACATCCGACGTCGGTCGTGACGCAGCGCTGCAAGCCAGGCCAGGCCAGGCCAGGCCAGGCAGGCGAGGCACAGCCCGAGTTGGGTGTCTTCGGAGCGAAGCTCGAGATCGGATCGCGATTCCGACGCGGCGTCCCGAAAGGCGAGTAAGCGGGATGAGACAGCCAGGCCCCTCTATATGCTGTCGGACATTCGCCATCGCCAGACCTCGAGGAGATTGCGGGTCCGACGGCCGAGTGTGCCCCGAGCCCCCCGTCTGTCTCGTTCTCTGCGCGCGCCAACTTCAGAGGCATTCGTCCCGTCTGCCAGCGATGCCAGCCCGCATCCTACTGGACTGCACTCGTCTTTCGTCGCTTTGGTCGTTGCCGTGACACGGTGGGGTCGGAAAGCGGTGCCTGCCGACGGGCGCACCTACCAGGAACTGCTGCGCACCACCCGGGCGTGGAGATAGAAGGAGAGGGAGCAGGAAACAGGAAGTGCGCAGCGGTCCATCGTCCTGCACTCGGCCTCTAGTCTATGTATGTGACGCAGCAAGATTTCTACCGGTGGGACCAGATAGATTGCCTCGGGTCGCCACGAGAGGGGGAGGGGAGATGGAGCATGCAAGGATATCCCGAGCCCCCATCCGGCTCCAATGGGCAATCTATGCTATCTACGACCCGACGACTTCGTCTGAACCGCCCAAGCGAGCGCCCTTGTCCCGAAAGCGCGACGCCTCGTCTCGGTGCGCGGGTACGACTCTTCCGACTGGGAGCGCGGCTGAGCTTGAAAGGGCAGAGGAGCGAGCGTCCTGATGCTTGGACCCGACGCTTTGGCCGGTCGGTCGTCCGTCGTGACTCTGCGATCGAGCGTGGTGTCGATGGGCGGTGTGCCCAAAGGGTGGGCGAACCCGACGTGCCGGTCCTGTTTGCCGCCAGACGCGTTGGCGCGATGCCGCGTCGGCCAGACTCACCTCACGACAGACGGACCGCGGGGCGGAGGTCCGCTATGCGTACGCGAATTGACCGAGCCGCTCTGGCGCAGGGGATGCGCACCGGTACCGTTACTCCGGCCCAGCATCTGTCCAGCATGAGCCGCGCCATGTGAGCCATTGTTCTCAGCTGGCACAAACAGCTCTAGCTACATACATAGCTTTCGGTAGAGGTGTGGATGGGCCTAACTCCGCACGCTAGCGGCCGCGATCGACTCCTCGTCTCCTCCATCCTCCTCTCTCCCCGCCCCTACACACCTCGCACCCCTGGCGAGGCCTGGTCGATCGGAAAGATACTGGCAGCAAAGCGCTTCGGACGTCCCCACGTCTACGCACCGACGGCGCCGGTAGTGATCTTCGCCGTACTTGGAGAAGCGTACGCGATCAGCGAGGGTGGGTTGGGTTTGACGTAACGCTTCCTTCGACTCACTTGTAGCCCCTGGCCACAGGGTGATCGATGCCCTGGCAACGGGCGAACAGGTACAAAGATCGAGGCAGGAGGGCGCAATGCGACAATTCTCTCAGCCCACGGGCTCGGCCGGCCGCGCAAAGGCCCCCGCACAGCATGTGTCGTATCATCTACGCCGTCGTTTGGCCGTCGGAGATGGACCCACGCATCGCCAACCTACCCTTACCCTTACCCTGCTAAGTACATACAGTACTGCTTGTCCGACGCACCACTCTTGTACCTCTCGTTCAGACATTTGTGCACACGATTCTTGTCGAGACACGCAGCGCTGACAGAGAGATTCGCTGTGAGACACAGCGCCAAGGCACCGGGCAGCACCTACTTACCAGCAGCAGTTTGGCAGACCCGCGATGGGAGGGGTGCCCTGGCGGGCGTTGAAATCGCCTTGGGTCGATGCTGCTACAGTACATACCTGTATCCGCCCCGAGCTGGACCGGGCACGTTGGTCGTCCATCGTGCCTGGCGTGCCTTGGCTCTGCCAGTGACGTTTCGAACCATCGACCTGCCTGGCCTCTTAGCCTGCCCCTCCTTCCCCCACGCTGTCCAACGTCGGGCGAGGCTCGGTGGTGGGCGGTGCGGCGCTTCAACATCGTCGCCGCAGACCCCGCAACCCGCCAGCCGAACCGAAGCGGCGTTTGTATGTCCAGCTCGTCTCGGTTGGCTCGAGATGGTGCGACGGTCACCGGTCGACGCTGCTCCATTCCTCACCTGCCCCGCCCTTCACTGGCCTCACGAGCGGGCTCCCCCTACCCTTCCCATGAGCTCGTACGCGACACCGTGCCCTTCCTTGCTCAGCTCGCTCGTCTACCCATTCTTCCGAGAGCCAACAGCCGGGCAGCAGGCCAGCCGAATTCGGTAACTACTGTATGTACTGTCTGAACAGTCAATGAACGAGGCCGCCGCGCACGACGCTCTATTTCGGGCGCCGTAGATGGCTGTCCCTCGTACATCGTGTACCGTACATACCGTACCGCTGCTCGATCCCTGCTGCCGGTCGGACACTTCCTGGGTCATGGCGATGCCGAACGTCGTGCGGAATACTGTAGGGCCTCGGCCAGCCCTCGACCACTGCCCGCCCGTTCGGAGAGGTCCGCCCACCGAACCCGGCACACACACTGTTGACGACGCCCCTCTCCCCCCCTCGAATGCGCCCGCTCACTCCTACTCGCCTTTTGGAGCTCCCTTGTCGCCCGTGATCCCGAATTCGTTCTGCTCCCTTTGGCCATCGGACTGGTCTCGCGGCGTCGCGCTCCGAGGCACGGTAGCACAGCACGTAGTGCGTCGTCGCCAGTTCTCCGAGCGCACGGGAACGGCCCATGCACTCGCAACAGGGGTCGCGCGCCAGAGTAGTACGTACTGCGACGTACCGCCGCCGCTCGCCTCCGCCAGGCAAGAGGCGAATCAGCTCCGGCCCCTCCAGCCCTTCGAAGGCAGGCTCAGGTCCGCAGCACATCCGCGCTCTCGAACGTACACACACATCCCCCTCTGCTGAGCTGCCGTGCTATGATGTAGCGTCTCCTCAATTCCGCGGCCGGCGCATGAGGCTTCTTCGCACCCAGCGATTAACCAGGCGACGCTAGGCTGGCCAGCCTAGCGCTGCAAGAGCCGCTCATGGGCATCCCTGTTTCCCTGCCCCGACCGGATTGCCTTGCCTTTCCCCCGTGATGCCCTCGTGGTCGGGCTCCCGAACAGCTTCGGGTTGCAGTCCCAGGGAAGGAAAGGATGCAGGCCTAGCGCGCTCCGCTGCTTCCCGACCTTCAGGCACCACCTATCACACCTCTGCTCCTCCCCTTGACGCCCACCTGTGGTACGTTCCGTCCGACCTTGCTCTACCATGCTAACCATCCTATACTCTCGACGACCGTATCAACGACACGACGAGTACAAGCCAGAGCCCCCTCGACCTCTTCGGCCCCAGCCCGCGCCGTGAACGTCCCCGACGAGGGACGCCCACGACGACCGCCGCATCCATACCTCGGCCTCTGTCAGCGCGCGGCTGCGGCCGTCGAGCCTGCTCATCAACGAGCAAGGCAAGGCAGCATGGACTTTGACTTCCAACACGCCCACCACACCGTCGCCGGCGAAGGCAGCTCGAGCTCGAGCTTTGCCAACATCGCGCAGCATCCGGCCTGGCCCGACGGCTCGCCGTCGTCGTCGCCGCCGTTCAAGCGCGGCTCGAACCTGGCTTGCCTAAACTGTCGAAAGATCAAGACCAAGTGCGGCAAGGCGCAGCCCAGCGACGAGCGGTGCAAGCGCTGCGTCCGTCTCAACCTCAATTGCCAGTACCGCCCGCACCACCGCGGCAAGAAGCTCAAGGACAGCCCGGACCCGGCGTGGAGCTCGAGGTCGCTGTCGGCATCGACCTCTTCCGAGGCTGGCATCCTGGGCGACGGTGGAGCCGCCTGGCTGCACGGAGCGTCGATGGGACACAGCGGCGGCGGGCCCTACGATGCGATGCCTTTTGCCTCGACCTCGTGCAACACCTTTTCGGGATACGCGCAGCAGCCCCTCTTCGCGCGGGGCATGGCACACGCTCGGGATGAGGTTACGCCGCCCCGTCCGAGCGGCTTTGCTTCCGAGTGGATCGATCCGGCTCGAGGCGAGCGATATCCCTCCTCCCAAGCTAGACCGCGGCCAGAGCCGGTCAGCGTGCACATCGCCTCGAGCCTCCAAGACGACGCCGTGCGCCTGGGCATGATCTCGCCAATCGACGCCATGGAGCTCTTTGACAGGTGAGTATGCCTCCGCGCCGCGTGTCCCCGCGGGTTCTGCCGCACAATGCTGACTCTTTGACGACCGGACCGCCGCGTGGTGCCGCCCTGCCGGACAATGTGGCAGCTTTCCACAGCAGCAGATGCCGGACTTGCCTACGTTGGGCCCGCCGCTGACGTCGTACGACTACGTCCGGGAGAGGTGGCCGCTCTCGTTTTCGGCGATCCTGACGACGGCCAGCACGCTGCGCCGGCCGGACCTCTACGAGCGCTGCCACGGCGCGTCCGACGCCTTGATGAACCTCGCTGCGGTGCAGGACCTCTGCTCGCTCGACCACGTCCTCGCCATCCTGGTGACATGCATGCGCAGCGGCGTGCCCGGCGCCCTCGCGCTTCGCCGCCTCACCCGCGCCATCGGGTATGCGTACGAGCTGGGCCTTCACGCCAGCTTCGACGGACCGGGCGCCTCGTACACCGGCCTCGCGGATGGGGCGACCGCGGCGATGCACCAGAACAGCGGCGCGATCGACGAGCGGGATTGGACGCACAATGCGCAGCGGATCTGGATCCAGCTCTGCGTCCTCGAGGGCAGCCTGTGCGGCTTTTCCCGGCCGGCCCGGCCCTCGAGGCCGCGTCTGATCCGCAGCGACGACATTCCAGACGCCCAAGCATGGTTGCTGCGCATGGACACATCGGCGATCCTGCCGCGGGACGCTGCGCTGGCACAGCAGCTACATGTCTGCCGAGAGCGCGCCAGGACAGAGCGTCAAGGCCGCTCGAACGTGGGGCCTCGTCCGGTCTCGATGCCGCCGCAGCAGGCGCAGCCTTTGCCCCGAGACCAGCAGCAGCAGCAGCAGCACGGCGGACAGCCTCACATGCCGTTGCAATCCCACGCCGCGCAAGACATGGCGCAATGGTCCGGCGCTGGACCGAGCAACTCTTCGAGCAACGGAGCAGGACAAGCGAGCCATGCGGACAGACCGTCGCTCGTCCTGCACCAGCCGCAGGCGCACAAAGCGTCGTGGCAGAGCATACCCGGCTCTTCGCAGGGCAGCCGCAGCAACAGCAGCAACCTCGACAGGGCGCACTCGATCGACCTGTCGGGCTCGACGACGATATCACCGTTTGGTACCGACCACCGAGCGGCAGAGGGCCACCACAACAACGGACAGGCCGACGCCGCAGAGCATCCGGATGCCGGCTGGTCCCCGTCTCGGACGACTTCGACGGGATCGGCGGTCCTTGCGGCGTCCGCTGGAATGACGCCCAGCCGAACGACGTTTAGCGGGCTCGAGGCAGCGGGCATGGCACGGCCCCCTCTGGACGACACGGCGACCCTGCGTCCCACCAACGCGGCTGAACAGAGACCGACGCCGCACCGAGTCCACTCGTTTCCTGGCAACGCACAAGATCCGACAGCGCTCCCGGCGTATCCCAGCCACCAGCACGAGCACCACCACGGACAAGCACAGCCAGCGCCCTCGTTTGGCGCCATGTCGGCGCCGATGCCCGACCTGGGCGTGTCCGAGATGCAGGGCGGCGCGGTGCCCTCTGTTCTTGGAGGAGTCGCCCCTGTGCCTGCCGGGACCTCGCAGCACGCCGCACCCGAGGGGCATCAAGATCCTTCCGGATCCAGCATCGTCTACCACGGCGGCACCGAGCTCTACCCTGCCTTTACCGATCCGCTGCCGCAGAGGGACGCTCAACCGCACGCGTGGTTCTAGCCTGACCGGTCACGCCTCGTTATACGGTGACGGAAACGATTCTTGATTCAAACGTCGCGCTTAATCTTGTAGAACCCTGCCAATCTTATGACAAGCTTGCTCGAGGCCCCATGCACCAAGACGTAGACGGGGTCGACGTGCCCTCTCGCGCTCTCTTCTTTGAGTTCGAACCTTCTTTCTGTATCGGCCGATGCTGCTGCTGCCTTGGCTTTGGGCCGGCGGTGACGGTCGGTGCGAGCGTGTTTGGAGTGCCTCCAATCTGTCTCTAATCCTGGTACGTACCTGCCTCGCTGCCTGTCATCCTTCAGCGACGGGCCCTCGCACCGCCGGGGTCGGGCGTGGCCACTTTGGAAGTCTCCCGCGCTGTCCGTGATCGCTGTGAGGCCCGACGTCGTCTCGGGAGGCCTGGATCGGCTCTTCGAGGGGCGGAGATGACGTGAGAGGAGCTAAGTCCTCACGCTCGGAGGGGCGCCGGGAGCGTGCACAACCAGGCTTCGGTGGAGCGATTGGGGTTAGAAGTGTGGTCAACGGTAGCGCAGCCGCCCGTCTGCTGGCTGTGGAGGCGGAGCGGAGTTGGAGTGCGCGCCGCCGCCCGCCCGGCCAGCTCGGGCGGGCGGCGGCTTCGAGAGCGCTACCGCCGGCCCCGCTCTTTTGGCTCTGCCTCGACCTCGATCGATGACTCGAGCTTCTGTCTTTGGCGTGTTGCCGGTTTGGTCCTGAGACGGCACCGGTGACGACCCAAGCGGATAGACTGGGGCCACTCCCTGTTTTTTCTACGCGTGGCTTCACCGCGGGAGCGCGGCCAAGACGGGTGTTGGTCTTGGACGGCGCAGCGTGGAGGTGGAGACCAACACCTTGCTTGACTTTGCCTCGGCAAGCGAGGCTACGCTGCGCCGCCCTGCTCTGCTCTGCTCTGCCCTGCCCTGCTCTGCCCTGGGCCTGCCTTTTTCGGGGCCCAAAGGCAAGCAAGGGCCGACGGTGTGGTCCTGGCCCCGCCCATCCCGGCCCGGCCCAGGAACCAGGCTAATGCCGGCGACAGCAACAGGTCAACATCCGCGCATCGCAGCGTACCAAAGCATGTGCGACGGTAGAGTTGCACCTGGCCCGGCTGCCCGGCCACTCTTGCGCTGCGCCCACAGGCAAGCAAGGAGTCGTCGGAAGATCGACGGACCTGCTTCCCCCACTCGAAAATTTCGCCTGCAGGGTGTGCTTGAGCTGTCTCCGCTTGCCCAAACTCCGTCAGAGCTGGGCCGAAGCAAGCCAAGGCGAGCAGGCGAGCAAGCGAGCAGGTGAGCAAGCCTGAGCACCGCCGACGCGCCGCAGAAACGAAAATGTTGAATGTTGACCTACCTTCCAACCTGCTGCCGCCCTCGCTGCGGCCCGCCCGCCCTCCGGCAACCGGCGGCTGCCGGGGCTGAACTTCCAATTCGGGCTAACTTGTACACGCAGCCAGCCAGGCCACCGGTCCCCGCAGAGGGGTCCGTCGCGGCTGCTGGACAGCCTCAATGAGCCACATGCTCGCAGCCTGCCTCCATGCGAGAAAGCCACGACGATGGCGGGGGAGCGTGACGCCCATTTGGCCTTTTTTAGGCTGGGACACTAGGCTAACGCCGCATAGCCATCGTGGCAGGGCAGGCAAAGGGCACCGCAAGCTTCACCCGGCAAAGGGCTTTGCGAGCTTCGTCCGTGACAGGGCCAGCCACCTTTGAGCTTGTTCCGCACACCTTGCTTCCAAACAGGCATGATGAGCATCGTATGCACTTTGAAAAGGGGCGACGGGCAGCAAGGGCATGAGCAAGCCACAAAAGGTGGCGCTGCCGCTGCTGTCTCTCGCGATTACGAGACCGGGCCGCAGGCGGAGGGATGCACGTCGATCAGCTTCGATGCCTGATCTCTTCTGCCCTGCCTTGCCTTGTCTGGCCTGGCCTGGCCTAGCCTCGCCTTGCCTAGCCAAACTTCGCTCGCTCTGTCGTCGTTGCAGCTTGCTTCTCCCATCGCCTCGACCTCGCTACGGCAGCAACTCTGCCGTCGGAGCTTGCTCGACCATCGCGCCGCGACCCTGACCCTGTCGCTCCAGGCCTCTCCCACGCCCGACCTTTAGGCACCGCAATGGCAAACAGGCGAGGCGAAGCTTGATGCCCGACAGCTTTGCAGCGCAAGAGGTAGATCTTCCCGTGACATGCAGCCGGCTCTAACTCTCGCATTCCTGAATGGCAGTCGCCGGTGCACCCGCTCGTCCTCCCTCCCGCGGCTGGTCGCAGGGAACTCTCTGTCTAGACAGGCGCTGCGCTGGGTACGAGGAGCATCAACGCCAAACGTATAAGACCTCGTCGATGCGCCGTTCTCAAGGCCAGCAAAACATCCAACGCCCATTCCCCTCATCCCCCATCCCTTCAACTCCCCTCCTCTTGATCGCCAACTATTCCATCGTTCCTCGCTCTGCTTCAGAATAAACCCGGCCTTTGATCGTCGAACATTCCGCAGGACGACCTAAGACCCCCTCGTACCATACCAAATTCATCAATCCGACCACATCGCCGCTGGACGAGATGCGCGCGACCGTCGCTGCCTCCCTTGCAATCGGCCTTGCCGCCACGGGTGCTCACGCCGCACCGCACCAGCAGGTGACCCTATACGATTCGTTCAATGGCCTGCGACCCGAGATTTACGACGACAGCCTCGCCGCCAAGGTCTCGCACGGCGTCTGGGGCGCCGTGAGCGGTCTGCTCGGTATGAACCAGGCCGAGCCCAAGCTTGATCTCCTCCCCGGCACGCGCATGCTCGAAGGCGGCTTCCCCACGGCCGACATCGACTCGGTCTCTGCGCCTCGCTTCGTCGTCTACGGCGACAGCGACGTCCCCAGCCAGACCTACGGCGCGCCGCCCTACTACCAGATCGACAACTTTGACGTCTACAACTTCGCCTTTTGGACGGTCAAGTTTGGCGTGGCGGACAATGCGGCCAAGTTCGCCGCCAAGTCGGCTGCGGACCGCAAGTGGTTCAAGAGCCGGTACGCGGGGGCGGGCAAGAAGCTCATGGTGTCGCTCTTTGGCGCCACCGACAAGCCGCAGTCGATGGGCCGCAACCCGACCCAGCTGGGCAAGGAGATTGCCGACTGGGTCAAGAAGATGGGCCTCGACGGCGTCGATGTCGACTACGAGGAAGAGGACCTCTTCGACCAGGGCAAGTCCGTTCAGTGGCTCATCGACCTCACAAAGAGCCTCCGCGCCAACCTTCCCAGCCCGACGTACCTCATCACACACGCCCCCCTCGCGCCTTGGTTCAATACCGACATCTACAAGGATGGCGGCTACACAAGGATCCACCAGGAGGTCGGAAATCTTATCGACTGGTATGGAGTGCAGTTTTATAACCAAGGGACGTTCGAAACGTGCGAAAGCCTCCTGTGGGACTCTGGAGACTACTATCCCAAGACGTCGCTGTTTGAGATCGCCAAGTACTCCAAGGTGCCGCTCGACAAGCTCGTGGTGGGCAAGCCGGCCACGGCCCAGGACGCCGGCAACGGCTTCATGAAGCCCTCGGTGCTTGGACAGTGCCTCAAGACGGCCGTGCAGAACGGCTGGAAGGGCGGCGCCATGTTCTGGGAGTACCCGCACATGACGGCCTCCCGCCTCAAGGTCATTACCGATGCCTCCGGCCTCAAGTAGTGGGCCAGAGTCGCCCGCCTATCTCATGACGGCAACGGACCCGACCTCGACGAAAGCAACGACCCACGACAACGACGATGACTCCCTAATTTCTTCCACGGACATTCTCGAGGACAAGACCGCGATGACCTTGCCCTCGGATGCTACGACATCAGCGCAGAATACGACCTCTGCCTTTCGACCCGCATGAGCATGACGAACACGCTTTTGATACCACTTCACTCTGACGACCAGTGCGACCGCCACCTTGCCACGTTTCTCGACGGGCCATTCACGATTCCTTGTCCCGCCGCATTCACGACGACGAGGCGGCATTGTACCATCGACATTCCACGCCCTGTATACTTCTAGCCAGCCCAACGCCTCTCGCCCAGCGCAGTGTCTCTGTTCGTAGGATCGCTGCTCGCCCGTACTAACGACGCCCCGACTCCGCCCTAATGACTTTCCCGGTGCCGTACTCGATGTCCGCCCATCGGCCTGCCGTTTTGCTACGCCGCTTCTTGTCTATGCTCTTATGCCGTTCCCTGTCTGACCTTTTATGACAATTGAGCTGTGAAGCTCCGCCATTGCTCGTACCGTATGCTGTGCGCCATACTTCTGTGCGCCATTCTTGTGTGCGCCAGGCTAAGCAGGACCTCAATGCGTCAGGGACAGGCCGGGGACGAGTGGCATGAGAGTTATTTGGTCACCAGGCCCAACACGAACAGCGCAGTCCCTCGAATCTGGTGTCCGAAACCCGATTTGTCGAATATCAGATGCGGCGAGGGCCAGTGGCGTCGAGTGGCATGCTTGCACGCCATCCCGAGCACCCTCCCGGCTTGTGGGTGGCGTTGCAGGTCGGTTGGTAGGGCGCGACGGAGCAGGGCGGGGGAGCCGAGGCGCCGTCAGGTACCAGGCACCATGCACGGTGGCGGTCCGCGCCCTCGGGTGGGGGGCTGTCAAGATCCGCAGGCGCCGAGGCAGGTTTCACGACGCGCCTCCGATGTGGGGCCGACAGGTGGGGGCCACCACCCGCCTCGGCGCCGACGAGGGTTCGTACTGAACTGCATTCGGAGCAGCCGAATCGGCGACCACGCTAATGCACTCGTGAGCGTTGGGTCGTCGAGATGATGTTGAGACGAGGAAAGACAAAGATTGACTGGCCGGCGTTGCGGTGCTTCGGCCGCGTCGCTCCCTCGCCTGCCCAGTCGCGCGCGCGCGATGTTTGTGAAGAGACCAAGGTGACAATGACATTCCGTATTCGTGAACGTGAACGGAGCGTGAGGGAGACGTTGACAGAGGAGAGGCGGAGGGGTATCGTAACAAAAGAGAAAGGGAAAGGAATCCCGACGGGGGAGAAGATCTACCACGGGGGAACACCGACCAGGCTGCCGTAGGGGTCACCCAGACCACCAGCACCAGCAATGGTGAGCACGGCGTTCATGACACCGCCCATTCCCTCGCCCGCGACCATACCGGCCGCAAGCGCAACGGCAAAGGAGCCGAAGGACTTTGGTCCTTTCTTGCTCCACACGAGTGCAAAAGTAGCGCCAAAGCACATTGCGATGGGGTAGTACGTCTGCGGCACGACGAAGCCGAGGCCAATGGCGTTCCAGTTAGGAACCCACTTGTGGTGGCGCTGAGGAATCCAGAGGTGCTTCACGACGACGGTGATGACGGCGAGGATGGCGAATCCGATGGCGGTGAGACCGGACGAGAGCGAGACGGGGAGCTTGGGGGAGACGACGGCGAGGGCGACGGCCTTCCAGGCTGCGGTGGCGGGTGCGGGGAAGGAGCACTCGTCGGCGAGGCTGGCGTCGATGATGCAGGGGTAGGCCTTGGCGAAGAGGACAAAGAGGCCGGTCGAGAGGAAGATGGAGAAGAACGAGCCGATGACCTGGGCCCAGAACTGGTTCTTGGGCTTGGCGCGGAGGAGGTGGCCGGTCTTGAGGTCACCGACCATGTCGACGGCGTGGCCGGCGGCCGACGAGGCGATGGAGCCGGCGAGGAGGTTCTCGAGGAGGGCGCCGTTGCCGGTCTTGCCCTGGCCGCGGAGGCAGCCGCCGATGATGAGCTGGCTGGCCTTGGCAACGGTTCCGACGGGGTTGGTGTCGGTGGTGCCCGTCGACTGGACGCCGATAAAGGCAAAGAGGAAGGCGAGGACGATGGCGAGGATGACGTTGCCGAGGTTCATGTGGTACTGGACGCAGCAGACGACGCAGGTGAAGATGATCGAGAGGAGCAGGCCGGACATCCAGGCCCATCCGGGGATCTGGTCCTCCTTCTTGACAGGGTCGGGGATCTCGGCCTCAAACTCGCGCACCGGGCGGCGGCGGATCTGGTCGTAGGTGCTGAGGACGGCGCCGCGGATGCCGCGGTAGATGGTGGGGCCGTTCATGCCGAGCTCGGCAAACGAGTAGGCAAACATCATCAGGACACCGACCCAAAGACCCCAGTAACGGGGCGAGGCGGCGTTGAGGGGCTGCTTGCTGGGGTCGAACGACATGCTGGTGTAGCTCCAGCGCAGGGGCTCGACCTTGGACTGCTTGCCCATGGCCTGGCCGGTGGCGACGATGGCGGGTCCGATGACGGCCCACATGAGGAACGAGCCGCCGAAGAACGAGAACGAGGCGTTCATGCCGGACAGCATACCCGCGCCGAAGAAGGCCGGGGTTAGCTCGATGTACCAGCCCCAGTTGTCGACGACGAGCGCTTTCTTCCAGCCCCACGAGTAGAGCCAGTAGAAGATGTGCCAGTCCATGAGGATGCCCGAGGCGTACTGGTTGACGACAACAAAGGTGAAGGCGGCGGCAAAGGCGATCATGAGGACGCGCGCCTGCTTCTTGGCCGTCTCCTCGCCACCGGGGACGTGGAGCGAGCGGATGGTGAAGGCCGTGGCGGTCGGGGTGGGGAAGACGAGCCTCTGCTTGAGGATGTAGAACTTGCGCAGCGGGACGGCGAAGAAGACTCCGTAGTAGGCCGAGACGGCGCAGAACGAGAGCAGGCGGCCAAAGTCGTCCATGGGGTTCAGGCTGAGCAGGTTGAGCTGGTACATGGCGGGGACGGCGGCGACGAACATGCCCGTGAGCGAACCGGCGGCGGTGGCCGAGGTCTGGACGGTGCAGTTCTCCTTGGGACCGAAGAAGCCGCCACCGAACTTGGGAGGCAGGACGCGGCCAAGGAACTTGAGGGCGGCGAAACCGAGAATGGCACCAAAGAGCGAGGCGCCAAAGGTGAAGCCGGTCTTGAGGCCGAGGTAGACGTTGGAGGCGGCGACGACGCATCCCAGGAGGGTGCCGACAGTCAGAGCGCGGACAGTGAGCTGCTGGCCCTCCTCGGGGAAGTAGTGCTCGTCGAACTGCTTTCCGCTGTGGATGTCCTCGACCTCGTACTCCTTGACCGACGCCTTCTCGGCATCGTAGAGGGCGGGAACGGGGGCGGCCTCAAACTCGCCCTTCTCGGAGAAGGACTTCTTGTCGTCGGGGGTCGAGGGGCTCTCTCCCCGGTAGTCGGGGACCGACTCGGAGATCTCGTGCTGGTTGTTCATGATGGGCGGAGACCTATCCAGGCGAGGACGGTGGCGTACGCCTTCTTGAAGGGGGGGAAGAAGGGGGAGGAAAGCCCTGTGGCGGTCGAGGCCAGGTGGACGAGGGCGTTGGGGAGGGGCCGGTTAGGGGAGGGGAGTCGTGACGAGGATGGGATGAGGGGAAGTGGTTCTAGCCACGACGAAGGCGGGGTATATGTAGAGATCCGTGGCGCTTGCCACGCGCACCGGACGACGTGCGTTGTGGACGCCCAGCTGCACCACGACTCTACGATACCCTGTGGCACCGGAAGGCGACCGAGGGCAGCCGGACTAATCGCAAGCTCCAGCGGCGAGTCACGGCGAGGAGCGCTGCGCTGCGCTACCGGGCTTCGCGACGGCCAAGCGCCGAGGCGGAGGGCCTGGGCGAGGCCGGAGCGAGGAAGAAGCAGGTAGAGGCTAGACTGCACTGCGAGGCCGGGCTGACATTCGCCCCTTGCCAAGGACGGACCAGCATGAAACGAGATGCAGCCGCATCCAATGGACGGTTCCTGACATGGCAAGAGTGGGGATAAGGGCCTGCCTTGGCTTCGTGGCCATGCGCGCGACGGGGGCACCTCGACGGCGGCCAGGACGTAAGAACGGCCAGTGGACGGATAAGGGACGCAGGGCGGTCCGCCCAATCACAGCCAGCTTTACCCGACCCGGCGACGACCGCAAGAGCAAATCAGGCAGGCTACGTACAGAGCTGGGCGCAAGAACCGAGTGCCCAGTAGTCTCGCGACCCAGCTGAGACCTGAACGATGGAAGGAGGAGGTGGACCCAGGAAGCGTCCGTCGTGTTGCCTCGCTCGGCGCCGAGGTGGCATCCGACCCACACGACGTGGCTTCTCTCGCCATGAGGCTCCCCTCCGGCGACCAAGGCGACAAAGGTCGATGCTCGGCTCTGGCATGGCTCGTCGCCTCGCTATCGTTGGCCACCTGGGAGAGGCAGGCATACTGGGAGAATGCCGAAGCCAGCTCAATCCTGATTTCCCAGCTATCTTTTTTGCCACTCGCGGGCGCCAAAGACTTCTCGAGTCGCGCGACTGTGCCGCAGCGAGCAGGCACATCGACCGAAGTCGATGTGTACGTCTTGATGGCGCCCAATAAGAATCAAAGAGGGGCGAACGAAGGAAAATCACCCGGAACTGCGCGGACCTGCAGTCCGCTGTGCTGGAGGCCGCGAGGAGCAGGCAAGGCAGGCAGATGGGCAGGCAGGGTTTGTGTACCTAGGCGAGCTGCCTGCGTTTGCGGGGTAGTGAAGGCCGGACGCCGTGAGGTGAGGGTTCCAGGCTCCGCCTGGCCACGCCTGTCTCTACTCGGCGAGCTCCGTCGCGCCTCGCTGCGGTTGGCCCGCCGAGCCGCAGCCTGCCAACCAAACTTCTGTTCCACTTCGCTTCATCCCGGCACGCCATGTCAACGCCACAGACTGCTCCTTCGCTGGTCGCCACCGTCGCCTTTGTCGTCGTCGTCGTCGCACGACCATGCCAAGCTCCATATGCGAGATCCGGAAGCCGCCACAGTTGCACGCGGAGGCGGGGGGGAGCGCAAACATAAAGTCGTACAGTGTCAGCTGGTGGGGCGGTCGTCGGAAGGAAGTGGGCCGATTCTCGGTCCCTTGCGGCTTGGAAGGCGACGGGCGGTGGGGCGCTGCCAAGATCGTCGCCAGGCCTCGCACCAGAACCTGGATGGGGCTGAACCGCGCAGGGCTGCGCTGCGCGGTGGCGGAGCGACCGGCGAAAAAGACGAAGGGCCTGTCGACAACGGCGGGCCGGAAGGCAATGCTCCGACGCACCAGCGCATGAACCACTCCCGCTCGACGACCTCGACGAGGCACGAGGACAGAGGACGGCGAGCGCAGAGGCCTCGACCAGGCTGCGGCTTTCCGTCCTCTCTGCCTTCGGCTTGTGGTGAGCCGAAGGTTGAGTCTGAATCTCCTGGCACGAATCTTCCTCAGTGGGCCGGCTTGCGTTTTCTAATTTTCGACGTCCAACTTGAAATGGCGCAGCGTGATCCTCGAGACCGCCCTTTTGTGTCCTCCTCGCCGGACCACTGCCTTCCGAAGCCACCGCGATCGCCTCCCCTCGATCGCACAGCGAGCCAAGAGGCGCCATCAAGCTGACAATAAGAATGGCGATGCCCTCGCCGCCCTCATATGACGAAGAACTGCGCTGGATGATGAACTACATTCGTACTCGACGCTGTCGTCGCCGGACGAGGATGGAATGGATCGCCATGCTTCGATAGGGTTGGAACCGTACGTATCGCAAGCTCCGGCGGTGTGAGTCGTGAGCTAGGCTGCTGGCCGGCACGACAGTCAGGAGAGAGTCGGACCGACGGTTGGGAGCGAAAGTTTTGCTGCATGCAGACGCCAAAAGGGGGCGCGGCGGAAAGTTTTGCAAACCCGGCGTCGAGGCCGGCCTGAAACCCGTCAGGCGGCCCTGGCCGCGGTCCTGTCCTAGGAGCGCCGACGACGACGATCCCTGCCCTGCGTTTTCTGTCGCGGTCGTGGCCGATCCTGTCGTACAATTTTTCTCGTAAACGCCTTTCGACAGCGAATGGAAAGGCGAGCAAGCTTCCCGCCGATCGATGACTGGCCATCGTACGTCCCGTACCGTCATGAGCCCGCACGTAAGGTCTCGACCGCCGTCGTACGACTCGGGTGGTCGCGGAAGCCGTACTGTAGCGGGCAAGGACGGGTCGGTCCGGCTGAGAAAGGATGGCGGGAAGCTCGGTGGAACGGTCAGCATATCCAGCTTGCTCGGCGATACGAGGCGCTGACCTCGCAACTGACCGTACGGCCTTCTGATGAAGCGAGGCCCGTTTTGGCAAGGGCACGGGAGCACCGATCGCGGTCAGAGGGCGGCGGCTGTACCGATGGACTGCCAGGACGGCTCCGCGCTTCGCTTGGGAAACAAGGCTGCCCTGTTCGGTCGTCTCGCCGGTTCGGAGCGCCTCGTGGCCGTCAAACTCGACAAAGCCGACGCCGCTCGCCACCATCACGTCGCGATGCTCGGTCTTGCACCACCTCTTCCTCTTTCGACACGTACGGCTTTCCCCCTCCCGCTCTCCCCTCGCTCTCTGCCATCACATCGTCTGACCTATGTGCTGTACCCATCTTACCCCGCCTTTTCTGCTCATCTGGGACGTACCCAGCTTTCCTCTCTCGCTGTACCCCGCAGCATGACTCTGTGGAACCTCGCGGCTCGATGTGCAGCGAGTCTATCGCCACCTTCTGTTTCGATTGCGCTCCGCCTCACGTGGGGTAGGTACCTACCGTCCGCTCAGGAATGTGGGGTAAAGGGCTCCACCGCCGGCTCGCCCCAAGGCCCCTCCGGTGGGCCGGTCTGGCCGAGCCCGACGATTCCTACGTCAGCGATCGAAAGCTGGGGCGGGATGGGTGGTCGTCGCGCTCATGCTGATGCGTTCGTGTCAGCGGACGACCGGTCGGTGGCTGCGGAACACTGCCGACGTCGATGGCGCGCGAGACGCACTCACGCCGCTCGTCATCGGGCCGCTCGAAGGCGATATGGAGGTGCTACCGTCGCGATTGGTCGATGAAGTCGACGGTGTCCGCACCCCGTTGCGTGATCTGTGCGCGTGGCGCGTGCGTACAGTATCACGATACCGTACTCACCTATCTGGCCTAGCCTGCCCCGTCGCGGCTCGGTATCTCGCCGGGTTCCTGCCATGTTGAAAGCAAGGTACAGTGCGGTACCGGTACATGCAGCGCGTATGACGGTCAGAAGAGCAAGCAAGCAAGAGGGTAGCGTATCGGAACATGCGGAAACATCCAGTGCAGGGCGGCAGGCGCGGCCCTGCATCGCTTGCCAAGATCCCGGCCAGTTGGGCTGCCCTCGCCTACCCGCCCGTGCTGTATGGGGACGCGCACCCGCGTGTCCTGGCAGCAAGGACTGCGATCGCGTGGTCGCCGTCGTCCGTCCGTAGGGGGCCTGGCGTCTCGGCCTTCCTGAGCCTGGCCAGGCCATGGGTGCCCTGCCTGCCTTGCCGCCACCTCTCGTTCCCGAGTGCGGCGTGCGCGCTCGCTTGACTCTTCTCCGGACGATGCGTTCACGAGGTGCTCTGCGCATCGTACTGTATCGTCTGGTCTCGCCCTGGCCCTGCCTGCCACGCCACAGCGCGGTGCGGTGCGGTGCCTGGCTGTGGACGCCGAGCCGGGATCGGGTGGCGAGCGAGCAAGGGCGGAGTCGCACACACGCACGCTCACACGCACGCTCGCACGCTCGGAGGACAGGACACTTCCCGCCGGTCGCCGTGGGTTCCTTGCCTGATGTGGTGCGGCAGGGCACGCCAGTCGGCGGCACTGAGACATGTCGGCGGCCTCAACCTCCGATCCCGTATGGTCGGACTAGTTGCGACTGTCCATCGATCCGCCAGCACGGAGGTGCCACCTACCTCTGTACGCCGGAAGTCTGCCACCCGCATCCCGGCGCCCTGCCTCGTCCAGCGTGTCGTATTCGCGGCTTGCTCCTGGTTGGACGCTCGGTTGCCATCCTCCCGAACGTCTTCCTTCCCTTGCCATGTCGGTCGATGATTGGACGACGAGTGTCGAGAGGACGTCAGGCGGAAGTCGTGGCTTGTGGATACCGTCGCGCGGCATTTCGCGCGGGGTCAACTAGACGACCCTCGCCTCTGGGGAAAGGTGGGCGAAATCAGATGTGAAAATGGTGGTGGCCGCACCGGGCGCCGCCCAATCCTGGCCGAGACGCCACCTCGACATCGTCTGGCACGCTCGCAGCACCAGCCGCCGTCGCCATCGACAGTCGTAGACAACCGAAGAGACCGACCCCCGGCTCGACGAGGAGGGCGTGCTCGCTCGCTGGCCATCCACAGCCGGAATCGGGCCAAGGAGGCAGTGAGGACGACCTGACATGTCCTCCCATCGGGAAGGGAGGCCGCCAGGAGCGGTCTGATAGCGGATCTGGCTCACCGGCCACCTTCGCTAAGCGTCGATATCACATTAGCGTCGATAACACGCTACCGATCCCGGCCCCCCACCTCGTTCCCGCCCCACCATCTGCCTGGTGCCCCCCCACTTGGTCGTCGTGTAGATAAGGTATCCGGACAACCGTGCACCGATACGTACCGTGGCTGGTCACCTCTATCGACAAGACCCTGGAACCAGAGAACGTGGCGCGGCGGGTTCCTATCGAGCCTCGATACCGATAGGCAGTGCAACTTCCGACATCGCTCTCCAACGTCCTCCGGTCCACACACCCAGGAGCCGGCTACGCAAGTAGCGTCCGCACAGACGATGAGGTGCTGGGTAAGCGGCAGCTGCCTCGTGGTGGGTCAGTTTTGCTATCATCGTCAACACGCCTATCGAGGATGTCCTTATCTGGCCGGATTCGCCCTCGTCAGGCCCCGTCCGACACGCGGAGCACCATCTTGCCGCTGTGGCCCGGCTTGGCGTAGTCGGCGCGCATGCGCTCTACGTCTTCGAGCGGGTAGGCCTGCGTCTTGACCTCGATGCCCCTGTCGGCCACCAGGTCGCACATTTCCTTTGTGAGGGCCGGGTCGCCCAGGAGCGACCCCTTGACCGTAATGTCGCGGAAGATCAGGTCGTTGTACGAGACGGGGATGGGGTTTTCGGGCTGGCCAACGACCATCAATAGCCCGTGGTTGCGCAGGATGGCGAGGGCGACCTCAAAGGCCGGAATCACGTCGGTGGCCACGATGACGGCGTGCACCGGTCCGCCGATGTCTTCGAGCAGCTTGGAAACTTGCTTCGGGTTCTTTGGATCCACGCTGCCCGAGTTGTAGGCGACGTCTGGCGGGTAGGGCAGCTTGCGGCACATGTCGAGGGGAGGATCACGGGCGTCGAGGAGGATGGTCTGCAGGCCGAGGCACTTGCTCATCTGCACGCCGAGGTGGCCCAGCGCGCCGGCGCCGATGATGGCGAGGCGCTGGCCGGCCCGTAGGCTGCACCCCTTGATGGCCGTGTAGATGGTCGCGCCTGCGCAGCAGAGCGGTGCGGCGGCGTCGAAGCTGAGCTTGGCGGGCAGGCGGAAGCAGGATCGGATGTCCGCTCGCATGTATTCGGCACAGGCTCCGTCGGCCGTGACGCCTACCATGTCCTGGTCTGGACCGCGCAGCAGTGAAAGAAAGAGAGAAAGCGGGGGAGAATGTTGAGCTGCGACGAGAGCGTCGGTTGGCGCCGTCGGGCTTCCACTCACCCTGGCAAAACTTTGGCTGCCCCGCCTTGCAGTCGTCGCACTTGCCGCAAAAGTCTCTGAAGGTGAGGCACCCGACGCGGTCGCCGAGCTTGAGCGGCCCGTCGTTGCCGATGCCGTCGACCTCTGAGGCCATCGCCTCTGCCTCCTGTCCAAAGGCGACGATGGTTCCCGTAGGCTCGTGGGAAGGGATGAGGGGCAGGCCTGCGCGGGACTTTGAGGCAAAGTCGCCGCGTGTGACCATGACTTCGGTATGGCAGTACCCCGCGGTGGCGATCTTGAGGAGGACGTCCTGCGAAGACGGCGTCGCAGCGGGACAACAACAAGGGGGCGGGGTGCGTGTCAGCCGGGGTCATCTTTACAAAGAGCAAACGAGATGCGCATGATGGAAGGTTCACCTTTGGGCCGAGCTGGGGCACGGGTAGGTCGTCACGTAGCTCGTAGGGCGGGTCGGCCTTGAACTGGGCGATGACGAGGGCCCTCATGGTCTTTGGCAGGTCTTTTGGGGACATGGTGGCGATTGGTCAAGTGCCGGCCGCCGGATGAGGATAGCAGACGGACCGTTGTATTGAGACGGGATGGTGGACATCAAGGAAGCTGCGGAGGGACGGCCGGCCCTCTTTGCTGCTCTGAAGGCCTTTGGTCGGCGACTGAGGGCCAGAGGGGCGTCTTGGTGCCAAGGGTCGAGGATCCAAGGCCGACAGAGGATCGAGGGCCCATCCATCGCCTCGGCAGGCGTCCAACAAGGGTGGAGGCCGTCTCTCCGTTCTCTCTTGTCCGACTTCCGGGATTCTTTCGATGGAATCCACGGCTTGGGCGCGTAAAGTGGCACACCGCGTCGCGAGCGGGCCCAGGGTCAGACAGCAGCAGACGGACGAGGGCCGGTGTGCGTATGTTGGGCTCGCCTTCGGAGCCCTGCCGACGGCTACCAGCTCACCTCCTGGCCTCGACGACACCGCCACCGGCCCCTCCCTATCGATCCCGCCTCCCTCGCCTCTTTCGTACCGCGCCCAACGCTTCTTGCCGAAACCTGGACGGACCGCCCCGACACGATGCCGGACGTGGCCATCTCGCCCGCGCTCCGCCGCACCATCCTCCGCGTCTTTACCAAGAAGCACAACCTGCAGCTGCACTCGTCGGCCGTAGCCTTTATCGCACACACCCTCGACTCCCACGGCCTCATAGACCAGCCAGAGGAGTGGGACGATGCCATCGAGGCGCTCGCGACCGGCATCCTCGAGGCAGAGGCCAGCGGCGCGGACCCGGGCGTCAGCAGTGAGTCTCACTCGCAGTTTGGCTGACGGCGTCGGCCCCCTGCCGAGGAAACCCCGTGCTCATCCCCATCGCTGCCCCAATCTTTGACCCAATCCGTCCTTTCGACGCGACCCGCCCCAGGCTCGGTCGTCACACAGGAAGCGCTCAAGCATGTCTACGACCAGCTCTGCATGGCCGACTCGGCGGGCGGCGCAGCCGGTGCCAGCACCACCGCGACCACCATCAGCCAGGCCATCCACGACCTCACCGAGGGAGAGCGACCCAACCCGGACCGCTACTTCCACGTCATCAACGCCTTTGACATGCCCCGCGTCGTCTTCGACCCGCAGCGCAAGGTGTTTGAGCGCTCCAGCGTCCGCCCCACCATCCTCCCCGCCGCCTCGGCAAAGTCGGCCTACCTGCGCCAGCGGCTCAGCATCGTCCGCTCCGCCATCCAGCGCAACGAAAACTTCTGCCCCCCGCTCGCCGTCGGTCAGGGACGCCAGCGCGACTCGTTCATGAAGCTCACCTCGACAAAGAACCTCCTCGGCAGGCAGGGACAGCGCTTCCTCCTCTTTGGCATGCTCTCGACCTCGCACGACGGCCGATACGTCCTCGAGGACGCAGACGGCAGCGTCGGCCTCGACCTCCAGGACGCCATCCCGGGAGAGGGCATCTTTACCGAGGGTGCCATGATCCTCGTCGAGGGCGAGTACACCGACGAGGAGCGCATCAAGGTGTTTGCCCTCGGCCACCCGCCCTCCGAGACGCGCAAGCAGGCGCGCCAGCTCTACGCGCACATCGACATGCTCGGGATAGGCGCCATCTCGTCCAGGGACGAGGAGGCCCTCCGCGCCCACGAGCAGATGCACGACGACCTCTGCATCGTCGTCATCTCCGACCTCCACCTCGACCACCCAAAGACCATGGCCAACTTCAAGCTGATGCTCCAGGGCTACGTCGACGCCGACTTTATCCCCTTTGCCTTTGTCCTCTGCGGCAACTTTAGCTCCTCGCCCTGGACCGGCGGCGACATGCTCAAGAGGTATCAGAGTGGGTTCCGGCGGGCCAGGCAGCCTGCTCGAAAGAGGCCTCCAGCTGACCTCCCCTCGCCCCGCTTCGCTCGTCACTCCTCGTCGTCACAGCCGCCTTTGGCAACCTGGCCGATCTGATCGGCGGCTTTCCGGAACTGCTGCGCTCGTCGCACTTTGTGCTGGTTCCCGGCCCCACGGACCCCTTTGTGACGCCCCTGATGCCGCGGCCGGCGCTGCCCGAGATCCTCACGACCAAGCTCAAGGCCAAGCTGGGCGCCCGCGTCCACTTTGCCAGCAACCCGTGTCGGATCGCCTACTTTGGCCAGGAGATTGTCGTCTACCGCGACGGCATCATGGCGCGCATGCTGAGGAACTCGGTCCGCCTCAAGGAAGAGGCAAGGGAGGGCGACCTCAAGAAGTTTGTGAGTCGTCGCGGGCGGTCGTCGGTCTGCCGATATGAGACGAGGGTGTGCAATAGCTGACGTTGCGGGGCCCACGTCGCCCGACGTCTGCGTTTGCGCAGCTGGTCTCGACGCTGCTGGATCAAGCCCACCTGTGCCCGCTTCCGCAGACGGTGCGGCCCGTGTTGTGGGAGCACGACCACGCGCTGCGCCTCTACCCGATGCCCACAGCGGTGAGTGCACGCCGCATCCGCATCGTCCCTCGCCGTGCCGCGCCGCGCCGCGCCCGACACTGACTCGCTAGCTCCCCGGTGGCTTTCCCCTGACGCCGGATGTGTGCGACGCCAGCTCGTGCTCGCCGATACCTACGACCGCTTCGAACTGACCTACGAAGGGTGTCACGTCTTCAACCCGGGCTCGTTCCGCGGCTCGTCGTTTGGCTGGTCGACCTACTACCCGGCCAGCGGACGCATGGAGAGGAGGTGCGTTTGCGCCCGCCCCTCCGCCCGCCTGTCGATGTGTCGTTCAACGTTCGGCTACTGATGCATCCCTCTCCTCTTTTTCTTTCTCGACGACAGCGAGCTGCCACAGGTCTAGCCGATCGACGCAGGGTCCTCGCGCGATGTTGTTTCTTCCTTCTTGCCGGGCAAAGACCCCCCCCCCCCCCCCTGCTGTACTTTTAGACCCATATCCATATCTCCTGGTAATGGGGACCATCCGCTCCGTCAGAATGCCCGTCAGAGCTTGCACGACACGCCTGACCGCCACCGCTGCTCATTGTCGCCGACCCGAAATTCGAGAGGTAAAAGAGCCCGAGGCTAGAGTCTGGTCCAATCGATGCCGCCACTGGCGCCGTAGCGCGCCTCGAGCCACTTGTTGGCCTTTGCAAAGTGGCCGTTGCCGAGGAAGCCGCGGTGGGCCGAGAGGGGCGAAGGGTGGGGCGAGCGGAGGATGAGGACGTTTGGCGATTTCTACGACGGTGGCGCAGCCGCAGCCGCAGCGACGAAGGCGAGGACGGACGGAGGTCAGCGCGACGATCGAGATGGGTGGGCGGGGGCGGAGGCGAGGACTGCGGCCGGGACTCACATCGGTGATGCCGGCCTCTGCGAGCGTCTTTGCTGCCGGCTGGCCCCATACCATGAAGACGACGCCCTTGCACGCGTGGTCTCCGTTGCTCTGCTTGCCCTCCTTGGCCTTGCCCTCCTCCTCAGCCGCCGGCTTATCCTCGTTTTTCTCCGCCGGTGCGGGCTGATTGTGCTTCTTGGACGCCTTTGCAAACATGGTGGCAATCTTGCTGTTGGCGACGGCATCTGCGCCCGCCCTGCCGGCGCCCCTTGCGGCGTTGTCGGCAATCGTCTTGAGGACGACCTTTGTGAGGTTCTCCCACCCGCGGCCGTGGTGGGATCCAGCGTTGCCCGCGGATACGGTGAGGCAGGCGTTGAGGAGGAGCACGCCCTGCCTGGCCCACTCCTCGAGGCAGCCGTGGTTGGGCGGCTTGAAGCCCGGGAACTCGTTCTGGATCTCCTTGTAGATGTTTTTCAGCGAGGGCGGTGCGGCGACGCCGCGGGGCACCGAGAAGCTCAGGCCGCACGCCTGGCCCGGCCCGTGGTAGGGGTCCTGCCCGACGACGACGACCTTGACGCTGTCGAGGGGCGTGAGGCGCGACCAGCTGTGGACGAGGTGCGGCGGCGGGAACGTCTTGCGCCCCGCCTTTTCCTCGGCCTGGAGGAACTGCTTGAGCTTGGTGAAGTAGTCCTTGGACAGCTCTGCCTCGAGATGGCGGAACCACTCCGGGCCCATCGTCTGGCGCTCGACGTAGAGGAGGTCCGAGGGGTCCGAGGGAGGGACAATGGTCGGGTGCGAGGGCTGCGAGGGCGGCTTGGCGCCAAAGAGGAGCGTCTGCTTGGGCGTCGACGTGGTCGACGAGCGGGTGGCCGACGTCGATGAGCGGGTGGCCGGGCTGGATGGAATGGCAGGGGCGCTTGATGTCGATGCGGTGGGCTGGCTGCTGGCAGCCTCTGCGGCCGACTCTGCAGCCTGTACGGCGGCGAGGAGCTGTGCGTCGTCGAGTCCGGCATCATCGTGGTCGTCGAATTCGTCGTTGTGGGCGGGGGAAGCGCTTCGCCTCTGCTTCTTTGCCGAGGGCGACGGCGAGGCAGCTTGGTCTGAGGATTTTGTGGCGTCGTCGGCGCTGCGCTTGGTCGACGGTGCGAGCTCGGGCGAGGTCGAGGAGGACATGTTGGCGAGCGGGTGTCGAGGTGCGAGGGCGAGGGGAGGCGGGGGTGGGTTGCGCGCCGAGATGCGAATGTGGGCGAGGCGGGAGTGGGAAGCTCTGTTGAGGATGCGGAACGGCAGAATGGTGAGCGAGGTGGTCTGCTGGGGGTGGCGAGTAGGGCGGGTAGCTGGTGCGACGATGGAAGAAGACTCGACGCAAGGCGAGGGCCGGCCGACAAGATGGTCTCGGTCGGTGTACCTGCACGCGTCACAGAGGGGTCCCGCGCAGGGTGTGGAGGCTCGTGGCGTCCAACCCGGTGCGGAAGTCGGAAGTCGGGAATGGAATCGCGCGTCAAAGGGTCAAAGGGTCGAAGGGTCGATTGGGCGTCAAAGGTCACCCTGCCTGCCTGCTTCACCTCGCTCTCTTACCCACACCACCACTCGCACCACCACCACCGCCATGCCCCTCGACACGACACACACCACCCCGCCATCGCCCACCAGCGCGGCGGCATCGACGCACTACCTCGTCTTTTTCAGCTCCGGCTCGCCCCCCTGGTGCCCAGACTGCGTCGACGCCCAGCCCGCCATCCAGTCCGTCTTTGTCGACGAAAAGGCGACCAACGGCGCACACGCCTACATGATCCTCGTCGGCGAAAAGCCAGAGTGGGTCCAGATTGAATCATCCGTACAGTGCAGTGCCACAGCCAGAGTACTGACGAGGCCTTCACCCTCTCTTCTCTCCCCGCACCGGCTCCACAGATGGAAGACGCCCGAGAACCGGTACAGGAAAGAGTACGGCCTCAAGTGCATTCCCACCATCCTCAGAATCGAAAACGTGAGCTGCAAAGCGAGACCAGCGCGAGTCGACGACATCCTGGTCCGCTCACCAAACCCCCATCCCCCTCTCCCCCGGCATGCCACCGACAAATAGGGCAAGGAGACGGCCAGGCTCGAAGACGACGAGTGCAAGAGCAAAGACACGCTCGCCGCCTTTGTCGCTTGAAGCACGGCGCCGAGTGGCGAGGCGCGACAAGTCGCTTCACTGTGGCCATCAATCACACGGCGAAGCAAGGACGAAGTCCATCGTTGCTGCTGGTATCAGTGTGCGGATCGTTTCGGTAGCGGTACAAAGGGGGGAGAAACGACGACGAGGTGCGAGGACGACAGAGAGGCGAGATGCGAATGGAAGCCACGCTATAGACAAGGCTGGGAAGCAAGCGAGGTGGAACAGCGAGCGAGAGACAGAGGAGCGGATTTGAGATGGTGTCATGAGTCCAGACGAGGCGAGGCAAGGTGAGGCGAGGCAGGGCAAGGCGATGCGATGCGATGCGATGCGATGCGATGCGAATCGATTGTCCAGTGGCGGCGCATCGTGGCCTAGAACTTGCCAAAGAAGCCGCCGCCGCCGTGGTGGCCCGGATTGGGCGGGGGTCCACCGCCGTAGCCGCCGCCGCCGCCGTAGGGCGGGTTCTGGTGGTTCTTCTTGTCGTCAAACTTTTCAAACAGCTTCTTGCCCAGCTGCGCGGCAATGGCGCCGCCGGCCATGGACGAAAACGTGCCCATGTGGTTGCCCGTCATCTTGTTGCCGAGCCAGCCGGCGCCCGCGCCCGCCGCCATGGTGCCCAGACCGCGCTCGCCGTCGGGCAGCGGGTTGCCCTGCGCGTCGTACTGCACGCCCTGGTGGTCGGTGTTCTGGCCCGGGTTGGCGCCACCGTACGGCGCGGGAGGGAGGTTGCTGTTGTACCCCTGCTGGTCGTGAGGCGGTGGCGACTGGAAGCCTCCGGGCCCGGGAGAGGGAGAGGGAGAGGCACCGTAGCCACCAGGTCCGCCCGGGTAGCCGCCGCCAGGGCCGCCAGGGTACGGAGGGTTTCCGCCGGGGCCGCCGAAGCCACCGGGCCCGCCGGGGTACGACGATTGAGGACCGCCGGGGTAAGATGACTGGGGACCTCCCGGGTACGACGACTGCGGGCCTCCTGGGTACGACGATTGAGGGCCGCCCGGGTACGACGACTGGGGACCGCCAGGGTAACTGGACCCGCCGGGGCCGCCAGGGTAGTAGGACATCGAGGGCGAGGGTGTCGTTAGGGTGGTGCTGGTGCGAGGTGGTGGCGGTTGCTGAGAGGCAAGGCGGAGGCGACTTTGAGGTTTGCTAGGTGTGCGGGGTGGCTGATGGTGGTGCAGACGATGGGCCCGACGGCCGGGTTTCTCTCTGTGTCTTTATGTGGCTGCCCTCACCGCCACACAGGGCAGAGGGCTGAGCTGGCCAGGCGCTGCGTAGGTACGTGCGTGAACGGGCCAACGCTGGGGTTGCCAGCGACACTACTAGCTCTGCCGGTGGTTGCTGGCAAGGGCCAGACAGACCTCCGGTGGACGAGGCTGTGCGGTTGCCGCTGGAAACTGACAGCAGCAGCAGCGCCGGCCCGGCTTGTTCAGCTTCCGTTGGTCTTCAAAAAGAGGCTGTGCGCTGCCCCCGTGCTCCGCCACCCGGGCCGGCAAAAGAGTCAAGGCCCCAGCAAGCAAGCAAGCAGGGTCGAGCTGGCAGGCTGCTGGCCGCGGCTGTTGACTACTGGCCCAGCCAGCGGCGCTAGCCCAGCCCTGCCTATGCCGCCAAGACATGCGCGGCCCCTTTGGGCCCGGCTTCGCTCGGCACAGCCTGCAGCGGCGTGCATGCCGGCCTCTTTCGCCCTAGGCTCGCTTCCTGATCCGGCCCCGCCGGCGACATCTTCAACCCTCGGCCCCGAAGCAATGTGTCGACAGGGATGCCACCGTGCTGCTTGACCAGGCACTCACATCTGCTGCTACATCTGCCACTCAACAAATTGCATGCCAGCCAGAAAGATGTTGACCAACTAGCATCACGAGGTGTGTAGCATCACAAGGTGTTGCTCAGCCTGCAAAAACGGCAGCAGTCAGATGTGCCGCACGCGCCCGATCCCAAGAGGGAGGGCATGAGGTCTCTTGTCCACCCGGTCACCTTTGTTGGCTACAAGTGGTGAACAAGGTACTTAGGGGACAGGGTCGCGATCCAGCGCCTGAGCAAGCGCAGTCTCAGTCTTGCGAGCTCCGCCCGCCTTTGCTCTCCGATCCGGGCTTGTCAGCAACACCTTTGATCTTCGGCTCCGAAGGGGACAGGACAAGGAGGCATCGAGATGCGTCGCCCGCTCAGCTGATGGCGAAGGCGTGTGCGAGGCAACGAGCGAGATCCAATATGGCACCGCCACTCAACCACTCTGCCTTCCAGCCGCCGTGGCCCGGTCCAACCGTCTTTCAAGCTGGCCTGTGCCGCTTCCATTTCTCATCGCGTTCGGACCTCGCGTCGACGAGGAAGAGACCTGCATACTGAGCTCCACCTTTCGGCTGCCGGCCCATCCAGGCGGCACAAGGGAGGCTCCTGTGATATCCCCTGCTGATCACCACCCCTGACTATGGCGTTTGCAACAGGGGGCCAGGCTGCGGTCAGCAAAGGCGCGGAGGCAGCCCGTGTGCTTGATGGCACTCTACGTAGCTTGCCTCGTGTTTCGAGGGCAGCCAGCCCACCTCTCCCCAAAGTCTCGTCTCGTCAAGACAACCCACATCGCATCGCGGTGGGTCACTCCTTTGTCCTCGCTCCAACCGCTCACGGTGGCACCGAGGCACGGCAGACCCGAAATGGGACGCGTCGGGTGTGGCCCGACGGTCGGGGGTCAGCCGATGGCCACCGTACGATGCAGCCATCGTCGGTGAACCCACCTTGGGGCCGTCGGCCTGCATCCGAAATGTACGTACTTGCGTGAGTGGCGACGCTGTGATGGGTGGTGGGTCGCAACGAGGTCCGCTTTTCAAGGGATGCCCGCCTCTGCTCTTCACCATCCTCATCCTATATGGAGCCGCTCTCCTTTGCGGAGCGAATGTATCCACACTCGCAAGGCTAATCCCCTCACACGACAATGTCCGAGGTCATCTTCAAGGTCGTCCACGTCGCTGCCGGGCTGGCGACGATGGCGGGCGCGGTCCTCAACCAGGTCCTGAGACGTGAGTCGCCACGATCCCGAGGACGCTGCTGCAACCGTGGCAGGATCTGTCCCTGATCGCTTGCCCTTGCCACCTGCCCTTGCAACCCGACTCGCCGACAGCCGAGTTCGAGTACCACTCGACGGCCATCGCGGTGGTGACGGGCCTGTTTGGGATCCTCTTTGTCGCGCTCGAGTGCTTCCCCAGACGGGCGGGCCACTTTTGCGCCCGCTGCTTTTCCACGCTGAACTCGCACACCGGCCGCGGCGTCGTGTGCATCCTGGTGGCCATCATCCAGTTCGACCACCTGCCGCGACCGCCCCTGGAGGAGGGCGTGCCCATCGGACATCGGATCATGAGCCAGCAAGCGGCACACATCGGACCGTCGCGGGTCAGCGCCGTCCAGGGCATCCACGAGCTCCGCGGCTTCCGCACCAAGGAGAGGCTGCTGTGGGCGCTGTGCGGCACCCTCGTCGTGCTCGGCGTCGCGCAGATCGCCATCGGCCTCTTTACCCGCCTGCCAGCGTCGGAGAGCATGAGCACGGAGGGCCACGTAGACTGCGCGCGGTGCCCGCTCGATTTTGAGAAGGGCATGGGCATCGCCGAGCCCGAGAGGTCCGATGGGGCAGCTCAGCATGGTCCTCGACCATCGCAGGCCGCGACAGACGATGCATCGAGGCAGACACCCGAGGGCATGTCGCCGGGGCGGGCGACGCTGGAGCTCGACTGTCTCGCCACCGGCCGGCAGAGCCCGCAGTCATCGGCGTACATTGTCCGCGCTCGCGATCCCAGGGGCGGGGAGAGCAAGCCGCTGATGCGGCCCCACCCGCCGTTCCATCCATCCCGGCGCGGGTCGGAGGCGTTCTCGATGATGTCGAAGCGGTCGGTTCACATCCCGGGCGTCGGAGAGCTCGACGTGTCGTCGGACAGCGAAGGTTCCGACACGGCGGGTCCCAGCGCCGCGCGGCGAAGGCTGTCGTCGGCGGGAGGTACGCCCAGGTACCCGCCGCCGCCGCGGGAAAAGCTCGCTGCCGGTGGTGCAGACGCCTGGCGAGGTTCAGGACAGGATCCAAGAGGCATCGACCCCGACGTGCCCCGGCGCAAACAACGAACGGCCAACGAGGCTCGGCCGGCGACGGCGGATTGACGATTTGCGATGTGCTTCACGTAGGAGGAACGGCGACGTCCTTGATGCAACGCTATCGATCGGTGCCATCCGTCGCGTGTGTACCGACCGGGCTTGACTGGCGTGTGACTCCAGAGGGGAAGCGATGATGCGGCGAGCGAATGAGAATGGCAACAAGGCGCGGCGCGGCGGCTCGAGTCAGGTGTCGAGAAGAGTCACGTTCGCTCGACGTCGCTGACTAACCCCTTCCGCGGGGCTCTCCACATGTCCGTCTTCCGGACGAGGAGCGCAGCCGCCGAGGCTGTAGCCTCCGCCGCCGATGTCGCTGCAGCCCTGCTTGCCACTCGTTTGTCCCGCCCACACCACCGACGACCTTTCGAGGCGCTCGTGGCCGACGAGTCCCCAGACACATTCGCCTCACTATCCGCCCCCTTCTTCAGACATAGACCCTCGATCCGGCCTCGTACGGAAGCATCAGCCTCGCTCCCAGCCGATCGGATCATCTTCGACCATGACAGAGCCCGAGCAAGGACTACAGCTGCACCCGCCCGTCGTCCAGCTGGACGCCGTGGCACGGTCGCCACCCTCGCTGGAAGCCGACAAAACCAAGGCGGGTCTACCGGTGGCGAGTACGGGTGCGATCCCGATGTCGCTGCCCTCGATCCTGCGCAACCCGCAGCTCAAGCACCTCAACGGCGCACCTTTGCGGGCCCCGGCCTCGTCGACGTCGACGTCGACATCGACATCGGGTCGACTCGGCGGCGCTGGCGCTCGACCCGCCCGCGACCTTTCGAAGCGCAAGGCCAGGCGCGCCGACAACGCCCGGCTGGCGGGAAATCCGCACGTGGTGCGACCCACGCCGGCCGACTTTCGGCTGCAGGCCAACCCCCGCTCCTCGACCTTTCCTGCCTCGGCGTACCTCAAGACCGGCTCGGGCTCAAAGTCGACCAGCCTGCCCATCCCGCAGTACGGATCTACGCGCGCCGCCGAGCCGTGTTACGACGCCAGCAGCGCCAGCTCCGGCCAGTTCCGCATGAGCCTCAAGGACGCCCGCAAGGTGCTCAGCGATCGCATCAACGTCGATCGCGAGCGCTTCGGGACCCCCGGCGACGGGCCCGTCGAGCGCACCGTGTGCAAGGCCGAGGCCGAGATCAAGCTCTGGCTCGATGAGACCGTCTTTGTCACCCCGGACGTCAAGCAGCGCGGCCGGGGTCGCGTCCTGGTCGACGAGCAGTACCGCGTCGTGGCCCAACCCAGCGAGGCCGTGGACGGGCGCGACGACGACGACGACAACATCGACGACGACATCGACGCCGCGCAGATCGTCGAGCTGCAGCGCACGCCCAACGCGCTGGTCTGGTCCATCCCGGATCCCTTCCTGCGCCTCGCCGTCCACTGCCTCGCTCGTATCCACGGCTGCCCGTCATTTTCCAAAGACGCCGGCCCATCCTCGACGTCGACGTCGACGTCGACGCCGGCTGCCGGCCAGCAGGGCAGGCACACCTGGATCCTCAACCCGAACCCGCTCGCACGGGGCTCGCGTCGGCCGCGCCGCCGCGGGACAGGTGCCGACCGCGACCGGCGACGGAGCGACTCGGTCAGCACCGCCGCATCGTCGCACGTGCTCGGAGGGCCCGGCGTTGGCCCACAGGCGACGCGCGCCGCACAGTTGGCCGGAGGCATCGAGACGCCCCCGACGACGGACCTCGACTCGCGCGACGGCGGCTCCGTGCGCGCGTGGAACCCGGATGAGGATACCGACGATGCGGGCTTCATGTCGTCGTCGGCTGCGTCCGTCGACCACCTCGGCGGTGGTGGAGCGGCAGGTCACGATGCTGCGATACCGGAGGAGACTGGATCGGAGCTGTCCGGGTCCGAGGCAGAGGAGGCCAAGCTGATAGAGAGGCGGGTGAGGAGGTGGGCGCGACACAGCGACGTGCACGCCCACCGCCTCGCTACGCCGGTAGAGGGCAGCGAGAACGACGACGGCGAGGGTGACGACCACGCTCGCGACAACGGCGGCGGCGACGACGTGGGCGATGTCACCGTCGTACCTCTGTCGTCGCGGGCGGGGGCAGCCAAGCAGGGGCCCGAGGTCAGGGATGCCGACGAGGAGTGGGAACGGATCCCCGTACCGCGACAGGACGGACTAGAGCATGGCCGCCGACGTATCGCTCTCGACGGCGGCGTCCCGCACGACGAGGGCGACAGCGACTGGGCGGCCGACCACGAGGATGCCGCCGACTCGTTTTCCGAGTCCGATGCCGACGTTGCCTCGCTGGCCGAGAGCGTAGATGCCCTCGACGTGGCTCAGGGCGCTGCTAGGTGATGGATGTCTCCCCGCCTCGGTTCGCAATGCATGCTCAGTCTCGCCAGGCAGATTCTACGCCCGCTCATCAGGACGACTGTGACGGCGCGTGCTGGGGGGAGCGAACAGGACATCGTGTGCGGACTGCGGATGCATGCTGCGAGTGAGATTGCGGACGGCGGAGAGTGGGGTGGTGGTACAGGTGAAACTCGCTGCGGTGCGGCGTGCGATCACTTCTTCTTTGGCGTCCGCAGGCGAATGGTCTCATCGCCGACAAAGACGCCCTTGCCCTGTTGGGTTTGGTCAGGGGGAGGAGATGGAACAGAGACGCGCCGACATGGTCAGCATGCGAGCCGTACGGCAGTCGTGGCCGGCGGGGCACCGCGCGGCGACAGCGGGCGACACGCACCTTGTAAGGCTCGGGCTTCCTCCAGCTCCGGATCTGGCTGGCAAAGAGGCCGAGCTGCTCCTTGTCTGCGCCGCGGAGGAGGATGCGGTTGGGCTGGGGCGTCGAGGCCGTGATGCCGTAAGGAACTGCGAGCAGGACGGGGTGCGAGTAGCCCAGCCGGATGTTGAGGCGCATCCTCGGGCCGGCCTTGGCGGCCGCCTCCTCGTTCCTCCGTAGCCGCTCAATCTCCCACGCCTTCTGCGCGTCGTTGAGGAAGAAGGTGCGGCCGGATGAGAGGGCCGACTGGAGCTTCGAGGTGCGGGGTAACGGGTCGGGCTCGACCGAGGCACGGTATCCGACGCCGACGAGGCGCAGCGCGACAGAGTGGCCCTCGGAAACGCCCGTGATGGCGTTGGCGAGGAGCGCCCGCGTCAGGCCCCAGAAGGAGCGCTGCGCCTTGACGTCGGCATCCTTGACCCGCAGCGTGAGCTTTGTCGGTTCGGCATCTTCGCCGCTGGTGGAGGTGGCGGCGTCGGCGGAGGCAGCCTTTGGCGCCTCGAGGTCGAGGTCGATGCAGTCCTGCAGCGGAACCACGGTCTCGCCCTGCGGACCGCGGATGACGGCCGTCTTGGCGTACCGCAGCGATGTGGACAGAGGTCGCGAGGGGTTCGGGTGAGGCGGGAAGGGGAGGATCTCGAGGGTGGTGGAGGTGGGCATGTAGAGTGGTGCGGAGCCGACGTGCGAGTGGCGGACCGAGTGGCCGAGCATGGCCGGGTGTGCGGGCGCGCTAGACGTGGCGACGCGGCTACTGGCCGTCAGCATCGTCGAGGCGGCCCGCTGCAGGCCGCGAGAGCCCGAGGGAGACGAGAATGCCATGACGGCGCGAAGGAGTGCGGAGTGACGTCCGGCGTTCAGGTGTCGGGCGGGCCGCGTTCCTGACCAAGTCGAGCAAGCAATGCTGAGCGCTAGTCGTGCCAGCGAGAAGCGTAGATGAGGAGCAGGCGGCGACGGGCGGCGGGTATAGGGATGCGAAGGTGGTGGTGTCCGAGGAGTGATGATCAGGTAGCAAAGGGCCAAAGGTGCATCTCGAATCTCGGGGCGCGTGCGGCCCAATGCCGTCTGACGGAAGAAAAGCCAAAACGGCCTCAGCCGGTCGGGACCCTCAGACGGAGGTCCGCACGGAGCCGAGCTGACAGAAGTTCGGAAATCGGGTCGAGCTTTGGATTTTCGTTTTCGATCGGCGATGCCGGTTGCCCCGATCTTGGAAAGTCGGGGCTAGGATCCGAACACGGACTGCGAGCGAGAGAGCGTGAGAATTTTTCTGCTGCCCCAGCTGACCTGCCTTGGCCAGGCCACGCCTGCCAGGAAGACCGCTGGCGACCCTCGGTGACGGCTGGCCCGGAAGCGAAATTCGAGGTTGGGCCAGCCAGGCCAGGCCACCCGGCGTCGCAGAGGGACGGTTGCTGGGCCCACGCAGCCAGCCTGGTGCAGCCTGCCAGCCCGCCAGCGCTGGACGCCAACAGAGCGCAGCGCCCGCTGACGCCATCCGAAAGCTTCTCTCGCTCACCTCACCTTACAGTCACCCCCTACCCCTCCGTCCCCCTCAAGATCCATAGTCAAGGTTGGTATCGCCACAGAATGCTGCCCTCGACTCGTGCAGACCGTACCGCTGCCACGACGACGACGACCACGACGACGACGAAATGACGACGATGTGCTGCAAATCAACTATCGATCGAACGAATGCCCGACGTGTGGCGCCATGATGGACGACCGACCTCAGCCACCTCGTCCAAATTACGACCTCGACAGACGTACGACATCACCTCTGCCGCCCATTATAGCGCCGGTCCCGCCGCTCTATGGCGAATGCTGCCCGGCGGAATGCTGCCTTCGAACTTCGACTCGACCTAAGACGGCATTCACCGACGACCTGCCGGAAGGCGGGAGCTCATTGCTCAGGCGATCGCACAGGGCTGTTAGAGACGAGTACGGGGGTTTCGGCGGGACCGGAAGCAGGCTGAGCATCGCTGGGCGGCCGGGGAAGGATGCCTCTCGGTGCGACTGGGAGACTTAGGGGCTAGGGGCCGTTTCGCTCCCATCGGAGGGCTTGACGGAAAACGGCGAGCGCTCTGCCGTTCCAGTCAGAGGGGGACCGGTGAGACGTCGGATGAAGATTTCGTCTGGGGACCGGAGGATCCGGCAGGAACAGCCGCCCATGCCCCGCCGGCCGCCCACTGCTGCGCCATCTGCCGACCACTGCGAGACGCCCACGCCAGCACCACACCATCGCCATACCCGACCGCCCACCCAACACCGCCACCTCGTCGTCGCTTCGTCGTCTGCGCCGTCGAAGTACGACGCCTCTCGCAGCACCGGCCCGAGACGCTGCCCGCTTCTCGTCTGCAATCTCACCCACTGACCACGTCTACCACGCCGCCCCGCTCGACTGCCGCACCTCGCAGATGGCCCAGCGAGTCACCCTCCGCAAGCGCACCCCCTACAACACCAAGTCTAACCGACGACGCATCGTCAAGACTCCCGGTGGCCGTCTTGTGTACCATCACACGCACAAGCTCCCCACCTCGCCCAAGTGCGGCGACTGCCACACCGCCCTGCCCGGTGTCAAGTCGCTCCGCCCGCGCGAGTACGCCACCGTCTCCAAGAGGTTGAAGACGGTCCAGAGGGCCTACGGCGGCAGCCGCTGCGCCAACTGCGTCCGCACCCGGTGAGTGTCCTAGCCGGTCGACTCTATGGCTCTCGAAGTGCAGCGGCTGCAGGGTGGAAGGTCGCACGCCGAGTTGCCCGGTCCGGCCAGCGGAGCTGCCTGAGGCGGCGTGTTGGAGGGCGACTCGGGCCCCTGAAGCCGCCTGCTATTCGGCCGGGCCAAGGCCGCTGCTGCTACGCAGAGGATCCGGAAGGCACGTCGGGAGAAACGTTCACTGACCGATGCCTCTGGCCGCCTGTTCTTGTCTCGACCCCTCGTACAGCGTCATCCGTGCGTTCCTTGTTGAGGAGGCCAAGATTGTCAAGAACGTCATCAAGGCCCAGGCTGCCAAGGCCAAGTAAGCGTTGCTCTCTGCAGCAGCCCTTGCTTTCCGCCTTGTCCGGTCCCGGCCTTCCCCCTTGTTCTCTGCGCTTGCCCCGTCTCTCTCATTTCCCACCCTCACACACACCCGCAAAACGTTCAATCCTCGACGCATTGTTTCGTTGATTCTGTAACACCAAGCTTTTCCCGGCATCCCCATCAGTCCGGTCCCAGGGCGCACCGACCGGCACCACTCGCGATGCGATCCTGATTCCGGCTCGAAGCCGCCTCGCCGACGCGGGACGTGGGACGATTCTCAGGTCCTTTTTGGGACCAAGCCTCGCTCGCAGTGCGCTTTTGCGACGGTTCCGCCAGGCGGGATGGGGGATGCTGCGACGAGGGAAGATGGCGGACCCGTTGCCTCCGTCCCTCGCCCACCACCACATGCACACACGCTCGCCTACACCTATATCTCGCCTCGCCACCTGCGGGGCATCACACATCCCATGTCACGCCCCTCTGCGGCCGGTCGGTCAGCCAGGCCATCGCCGTGGGGAGGTGTAGAAAAAGGGCCAGTCACACCGCATCCTCTTCCTGTGACTGCCTGCCAATGAAAAACCTCTATCGCGACCTCTTTCTTGCGCGCGGCTGCTCAGGGGACAAGGGCGAGGAAGGAATCGCCTGTCGCGGTGCTCCAGCTCATCGTGCCGTGTCTATGGTCTTGACCAAGGCAGCCGCCATGTGGGTCGGTCTCGCATCGATAGCCGCTGCCTGCCGTCTTTGGGCGTACCATCGCTCGTGTTTGCTCTTGCCGCCGCGAGCGATGCGACCACAGAGAATCGAGCCTCGTGGTCGATGAGAGAGTCGTTGCATCCGCCATGACAGGGTGGCGGGCGGCATTTCGTAAGAGTTTCCAGCTCAATTTCCCAGCCGCGTTTGATGTCGTCGGACGGCCAAGCTCGTCTGCCCCTGACCGCCAATCTTCGAGTCCACCGCGTGCGACGGAGCGAGTAGGGCCAACGGTCGTCTCGCCGTCTAAAGCAAGCAAGGACCCGTGCGGACCGTCTGGCACGGCTGAGCCCGACTGGCGGATAAGTCGCCGCGTCACGGGCCCGGCGGTGGCAAAAGTGGCCGGTCAGCGGCGTGCGTGTGTTGGATCCCGAGGCGCGAAAACTCTCCGAGGACGGCATGCCGCAGGCAGGCAGGCTTGCATGTACGCACAATGACCGACCGAGCGACTCGATCTGGCTGCCGTCTGACTCTCCCTGGGACCAACCGCGAACGTGGCGTCTGAATCGATCCGGCTTCGGGTCGAACAGGAGGCAGGCTAGGGCCTGGCAGGCCAGCCAGTGCGCGTCCTGCCCGACTTCCCGACCGCTCCCGAACGAAAAGAAGCCGGGAGGCGGGGGACCCTTGCTTCCTTCCTTGGCTGCGTGCTTGCATTTTTGGGCCTGCCGCAAGTTCGAACGACAGGCAGGCAGGGTGCGCGCAACACGACAGCTCGCCTGCCCGCGGAGTGCGTGCGTGTCCCTCGGGACGTTTCTGGCAACGCGGGTGTTGGTCTGCTGACCCTAGCCTATCGCGGCCCAGCATGAGGCCAGGCTAGGTAGCTTTGCGCGCCTGCCTAGCCTGCTCTTGCTCACCCGTTGCTTGCTCTCCGTCGGCGGCGTACGGGGTCCCTCGCCCAGGCGGGCCAAGACCTTCGCTCCGAACGTGCTCCGTTGCTGGTCCTGGCCCGGACGCCTCCGGTCAGCTTTGCCTTGCCTTGGCATGCTTTGCTTGGCTTGCTTCGACGGTCGGTCTATAAAGGTCCCGAGCATCCTCGTGCGCCACCGCCTCACCACGCCTCCAACCAACACAACCATTCGCCAGTGCACAACCAAGCCCCACACCAGCGCCACACTGCATCGCACGCCAACCTACTCCCACAGCACCATCTCGACACCCACGCCATGCTGGTCCATTCCACGTTCCTGGCCGCCGCCACCCGCTCGTCGGTGCCACCGCTACGCCACGCGCCGAGATCGTTGGCGCTGCGAGGGCTCGGCGTCGAGGCGATCCACAGCCCGCGCCACCTCTCCACCTCGACCCGTTTCGGCTCGCCACAAGCCACCCAGGCCCGCTCCGCGTCGCCCGCCCTTGGGGTGGAGCAGCAGCCAGTCGCAGGACCCAGCTCAGAGCCCGAGCCCAAGCGCAGCAACGACGACAGAGACCGCGCCACAGAATCCCGCGACGTAGTCTGGGGCGAAAAGCACCCGAGCAAGAGCTATCTCCTCTTTCACCCGGTCTACTCGGAGTCGGACCTCGACTCGGTCCAGGTCGTCCACCGCGAGGCGCAGACGACCGGCGACCGGGTGGCGGGCAAGATGGTCTGGCTGGCCCGCAGCATCTTTGACCTCGCCACGAGGTACCCCGGCTACAAGAACAAGAACCTGCCGCCGCTCAGAGCCTCCTCGACGACCGACAAGAAGGTCGAGCTGCCGCGCCACATTGCAGCTCAAAAGGACCGGCTCGACCAGATGGCCAAGGACGGCCAGGCGGTCCAGGTCGACAAGGCCTCGTCGGTCGACGCCGCCGAGATCCAGCAAGGCATGACGCTCGACGAGATGAGGAAAAAGGGCATCGTCTTTGGGCCCGACGGCTGGATGAACCGCATGATCTTTCTCGAGACTGTCGCCGGCGTCCCCGGCATGGTGGCAGCCACCTGTCGCCACCTCCAGAGCCTCCGCCTCATGAAGCGCGACAAGGGCTGGATCCATACCATGCTCGAAGGTGAGTGGCGCGCACGAGCACGAGCCCCGAGCCCTTCTTTAGCGACTCCCGCCGACCAGTCAGCGACTGACGTATCCTCCGCTGCCCCTCGCCTCGCCTCGCCTCTGCTCGCCTCTCCTCGCCTCTTTCCCCACCCGACAGACGCCGAAAACGAGCGCATGCACCTGCTCACGTTCATGTCGATCGCCAAGCCGGGCATCATCGCCCGGACGTTTGCGCTGCTGGCGCAGGGCGTCTTCTACAACTTTTTCTTCTTCTTCTACCTCGTGGCGCCCAAAGTGGCGCACCGCTTTGTCGGCAAGCTCGAAGAGGAGGCGGTGCACACCTACACGCTCGTCCTCGAGGACATGAAGGCGGGCCGCCTGCCCGAGTGGGAGAACCTCGCGGCGCCCGAAATCGCAAAGGAGTACTGGCAGCTGCCCGAGGGCGCGCGCTTTGAGGACGTCATCCGCGCCATCCGCGCCGACGAGGCCACCCACCGCCACATCAACCACACGTTTGCCTCGCTCGAGTCGACCGACCCCAACCCGTTTGCCTACCGCGACGCACCCGCCAAGATGCGCGGCACCACCTACGGCCTCGAGAGGGACGAGGCGCTCGAGTGGGCCAAGCGGAGCGAACGCGAGGCCATCGAGTCGGCCAACAAGACCGCCTAGCCTACACCCCGATTCGTTCGCATCCACCCTGCTTGTCTCTAGAATCCGACCCACCGGTCCGCCCCACGCTTGTCCGCACGTAATCAGACGCACGCAATCCGGCGCACGCGGCAGCGCCTTGCAACCACCCCGCCCGGTCGCGGACCTGGACAGCGCGCCGTGTAATATAATGAAGGCGCAGACGGAGCCGCTTAGCGCCGCCTGTGCCTCTTTCGTCTCTTGGCGCGTCGCAGCTCCGGGGTCGAGGCAGGCTTGCCAGGCAGCGACCAGGGAAGCCGGTGCAGCCTGTCTACCTGGCCCACGCACGTACCCTCCCGCCGGTGCGCGGGGCGCAGGGGGCTAGGGGGAGCCCACCCAACGCGCCATCGGCGAGCGGACGGTCAAGCTTGATATTTCTTCTAGCTCGATTGCGCCGCCGCCCGCTTGGCTTCGGAACCTTCTCTCTCCTGCTGCATCACACCGTACCGGACCGCACCGCAGCCCAAACCTACCCTTGCACGCTACCGAGCTGCCGCACGTTTGTGACTTTGTGAGATCCACGCCGCATGTGACAGAAGCCAGAATGTCGTCATGGTTGTGTCCAGGGCGGTTGACATCTTCAACCAGGCCACTGGTTTAGCCGCTCGAGAAGGCCTGCGAGATGGTTCTGTATCCGGAGCAGGCCGGCCGCTTCCATAGCGGCCCGTTGCAGAGGCAGGACGAGCTCTAGCCTAGCCCGCCCCATCGGACCATCGTCGTTTTCCGACGCTTACGCGGAGCGACGTCGCCGAGCGCGTTCCTCTGCGTGGGCCATTCGGTGGCAGAAGCCGATCGAGCCGTCCTGGCCTGCCCGTTGGACTGGCCCAGGGGGCTGGAGCGTAGGAGAGGCGCTGCACCCGTGGGCACACCTTTTCCCGCACCCGGCAGGCCGGGCGTCGCCTGCCTTCTTCCCGGGCCGTCGGCCTCCTCCGGCGCTCACTTCGCACTCGGTCTTCTTGCTTCAGCCCCCATCTGCTGGTTGCCTGGGCCGTCCGGACGCGCTAGCTGACGGCTCTTCCGGCCCTTTGCGCCATCACGTTCCCACACGCCCTCCCCTCTCTGCCATCACATCGACCTGCCTTCCTGCCCATCGTTCTACCCTGGCTTCCCAGACCAACGGAAGGGCCAGTGCGGCCTTTCCCAGGCTCTTTGGCAACCGGACTGGCCGTATTTGACCACCTCGCCCGCTGGTGACGCCCCCTCTTCTTCTCCCTAGCCCGCTCCTGCGTCCTTCTCCTCTGACACGCCGACCAGCCCCTCGCCAACCCAGCATCTGTGCGCGTCTTCGTCCTCTGTCCGCCAGATAGGACCAGCCGAGACCTTCGCGCGGCCTGCTCCGACGAACCGTGCGTGCGTCCGGCTCGAGGCCCGTTGGCATCATCCGACAGTACGGCTGCACCTTCCAGCCCTCTCCCACGGTCGGCAGCTTGCTAGCGTGAGAACCGCCACGCCCACTGCAACGCCGGCGGTCCACGCGCTACTCTCGATCCTACCTGCCTCACGTCCAGGCTCGCTCGGCGTCCTCTCTACCCGCAAACGGCGACGCGGACCAGCAGCCGATCGACCATGAAGGCCGCGCAGCGTGCGAAAGGCCTGCGCCTCTCGGTGCAGCAGAGCGTCGAATGCGACATGGACCTGGGCGAACTGCCTTCCACCCCGATAAAAGAGACGGCCGCCGGCCTGGGATCCGATGTCCAGCTCTTTTCGCCACCGCGCTCCCGCTTCGTCCCTGGCCTCGACCCTGTGCTGCTCTCGCCGTCGTGCAACACCCTCCGCTTCAAGAGATCACACCGCGGCCGCACTGCCCCTCTCGGAAAGGCGCTCTCCACCGACCTGGACGAGTCGGCCTTGCCCGTGGCCTCGTCGCAGCCGGTCGCCCAAGGTGATCGCACTCCCCAGCTACCTCGCCAAGAGTCGCCCTGCTTCGAGCGCGAGCACGGAAGCGTCCCTGCCACCCCATCCCGCGACATCCAGCCACTCCGCAACGGATCTCTGCCCCAGACGCCGCCGCGAACGGACAAGATGCAGCGAGCTCGCTCCCTGACCAACGACTCGCGCGGCCATCCCTACTTCCACTACCCGACCCCGGTGACGCCGAGCCGCTACGTCGGGGGCATCTGGCGCTCGGTGTCGTCGTCTCCAGTGTCGCGGGGTGCCTTCTTCCCGTCTCCGTCTCCGTCGACGTTTTCGACCCCTACACACTCGTGAGTGCGCGCGCGGGGCGTCGTTCGGTAGTCCCTCGACCGTACGTCCTAGCTCACGGTTCGAAATCTTCTTCGCGCCGCCCTGTTTGCCAGGCTCTCCCGCACCAGCTCCTTGCGCTCGACGGCGGAACAGGAAGAATGGTTGCCGCCTTCGCCGCCGTCTGCATTCGGCCAGGCGCCAATGTACGGCATGGCGTCCGGCCCTGGCTACCGAGATGACACATTCTGGACAAGCCAGGTGCCTCTACGAGCCTCTCCTCGCAAGCAGAGTCACCCGAAAACGCCAACGCAGCCGGCTCCCTACCCGGTTGTTACCTTGACGAGCCCCTCTCACGCCGCCCGCTTCTGGCAGACCCCGATCCAACCCGGAAAACACAACGCTCTCGCTCTCTCGACGACACCTATGGATTCGCAGATGTTTCTTCACCAACCCTACCCGTCTCCGCTGCCCGGCTCGTTCGCCCTCGATCCGGAGCCGACGGATGTACAGCTGATGCGCATCGAAGACCTCCTGCTGGAGGAGCGCGCGGGAGAGGACAGCAAAAAGGCGCTGCATGTCGCCCCAATGCAAACCAGGATGGAGCCGACGATCACGAGGCAGCCGAAGCTGGAGCCCGCCGCTGCCTCCGAGGTTCGCGTTCGCGGGCCGACGCTCCGCGCACCTGCCGAAGGCGACTCTGGAGAGATCTTCACCAACCCCACGGCCATGCGAGCGGAGCTTCTCGACGCCGATGGCGATTCGTGAGTCTCGCGGATTCGCCTTTTGACCCTTTGATGTGTAGCGACGCGCATGGCTGATTCTTCGCGCTGGCCTTGGTGCGGAATCCGTCTCCGGCAGGCTTTCCTGCGAGCTGCAGAGCACCACGCACAACTGCTTCATTGTCGTGTGAGCGCAGTCCTGTCTCGTTATCAGCTGTGGCCGCCGTCGTCTTCTGGCTGACCCAAAAAGGTCTCCCTACCCCCTGGGTCAACCCTGTACAACCAGCGACGGCAAGTGGGCCTGCTACCGCCGCAACTGTGGGTGCCCGCCGAGGCACGATCGCCTCTCACAACAAGGCCAAGTCGCTCAATGCCCTCAACCTCCTCCGTCCTCGCCCCTTTTTTGCAATCTCCGCCTTTCCGCAACAGACCTCAAGATCGACACCTCTTGCAGCGTCATGAAGCGCGCCAGTGGCCAACTTGCCGAGTCAACTCGGTACTTTGTCAGGCAGCACGGCTCGTCCGATCTCCGCACCGTCTCTCACTTCACCGTCGGGCTATCGGCGCACATCGCCGACCATCTGGGCGGCGTCAGCGAGCTTCCGCAGCACGAGATCCCCCTGATTCAATTTGGGCCGGCTCGCGAGCGAGGACCGCGAACCGAAGTGTACCCGCGCCAGCTCGAACTCAGCGGCGAGCCAGCAGCCGGCGAGCGCAGCCCTCTAGCCGCGGACCGCGTCGCTGCCTTCCGCAGGATCCAGATCCGCTCGGCGACGCTCAACAACGGACAGAGGGGCCATGCTGGGCAGCAGTACTTTGCGCTCAAGCTGACGCTCTACGCTCACCTCCAGCCGGTGCTGGATCCTCGCAGCGGCACGGCCATCCGCCGATCTCGACGCATCGGCGCAGCGGCGAGCGCGGGCAGGGCCACCCACGCTGCCACTGCCACTTCCGCCGCCGCCGCCGCCGCCACTGACCCGGTGGCCGGCACGATCGTCGAGGTGGCATGCACCGTTTCGCAGCCCATCACCGTCCGCGGACGCTCCAAGATGCACTACCAGGCGCTCTCGGAGCAGCGAGCCCGGCAACGGCTGCAGGGCGAGCCTGGCAAGGTCACCGCTGTCAAGATGCGGGCAGGCACGGTTGGCGCACAGACGCGCACCGAGATCGACCCCGACTCGAGAGTTGGCTCTGCGACGAGCTGCGGGATGGGCTCCTCGTCGACGAATCTCGATGTTCCGGTCCGGAGCCTTAGCAGCAGCAGCAGCAGCAGCAGCAGCGACTGCTCCGACTTCTCCTTTGACAGCGACAACGACGGCGACGGCGACGGAGACCGGCGCCGAACCGACACGCTGATGGCCGCGGAAGCGTCTCTGCCCTCGTCGCCGACGCCTGCCCAGCTGCAGAGCCGCCGGCCCTATGTGATGGACATCCGCAACGTCATCTGAGCCTGGCCGCTGCTGCGCCTTCCGGGACCCTGCCCTCGAGGCTTCAAAGCGCCACGTTGCGCCGAGACCCTGCTTGCCTCTGATCCTGACTCTCGGCCCGCGCTTCTCGCCGACCCGCAAAGCTGCCGCACCCTTGCCATCGACTCGGCGACCCGCAGCATCCCGCGCGTCGTCGACACCGCGCTCGGACCTATCTTTTAGTGTACCCGGCTCCAACCAAAACTGCGCACGGGACAAGGAAGCCCTCGCCTGCAACGACTCTGAGAGATTGAATGCTACCTCTTTTTCGAATTTCTTCAACTGCCAACCCGAGTCGCTCTAGCCGATGGATAGTCGGTGGAGACACGGACAAGCGAGGGCCGAGGGAGGGGAGGAAGGGAGAGAGAGAGAGACGAGAGGAGGGGAGGGGAGATGGCGGGAGAGAGGGAGGACAGGGGCTGGGCTGCGCGCGGCGAGCCAGCCGCCTACTCGTAGACCCACGAGTTGATGGTCTTGTTGTAGTTGATGGTGGGGTTCTGCTCACCGAACCAGAGGGCGATCTCCTTCTTGGCCGACTCGACGGCGTCGGAGCCGTGGCAGATGTTGCGGCCGACGTCGATGGCAAAGTCGCCGCGGATGGTGCCGGGGGCCGAGGCGAGCGGGTTGGTGGCGCCGAGGAGGACGCGGCCCTGCTTGACGACGTCCTTGCCCTGCCAGACCATGGCGACGACGGGGCCGCTGGACATGTACTTGACGAGGCCGGGGAAGAAGGGCTTGCCCTTGAGGTCGGCGTAGTGCTGCTCGAGGTGCTCGACCGAGGCGTGGACCATCTTCATGGCGACGAGCTGGTAGCCGCGGCGCTCGAAGCGGGCGATGATCTCGCCGACGAGGCCGCGCTCGACGCCGTCGGGCTTGATCATGATGTAGGCTGGCGCAGGGGGCGACAGGGAGCCATGGTCAGCGGCGTTGCTCGTCGACGAGGTAGGGACACGGGGAGGGCATGCTACCACGGCGGGCGGCACTCACTCTGCTCGGTAGCCATTTTGAAGGATTGACTCGACGGTGATGAAGAGTGGTTGGGTGTAGGAGGGGATGATTGTGGTGGTGAAGGTAGAGACGGAGGGAGCGGAGCGAGGGCGAGCCAGGTGCAGACGACGAGGAGCAGCAGCGCTGCCAGCTGGTGAGCTCGTGCCATGCCTTTTTTCCTTGCTTCTGATTCAAGCTGGCGGGCGAACGGGCCGGCAGGCGGGCGGGAAGACGAGGTTCGAGCCACTCGAAAAAGAGCTTGCTTCCGCCTGGGCCAGGCAGGGGCAGCCTCGGGGAAGGGAGCAAGAGGGCCAGGCTAGGTGCTGCGTCGGCCTGCAGCTGCCCTCCAGCCTCGCCGAGAGCCCCGAAGGCGGTTGGTTGCCAGCCCAGCCACAGCCAGCCAGCTTGCCAGCCAGCCACGCTTTCAAGAAGAAAGGGGGCAGTGGGCCCGCCCAGCGACGGCGGAAATTTTGCGCCGTGCGGTGGTGATCAGAGCGCAGCCCGCTCCCTCTTGCCCACTTGCCCGCTGGCTCGCTGGCCCGAGCGAGGTGAGCCCTTCTCGCACGACAGACGAGCGCGGTTCCCCCTTCTCTCCACTCCACCTTTCCGACTCCCGCTACCTCCTCCCGGCCGCCCCTTTGCTCAGACGGATCCCCTCCCCGACGTCCATCGATCGAGCCCCTCCGACGACCACACACAACATGGCGCTGACGGCACCACCCTCCGACGCCGCCCTGTTCCGGGAGCGCGGCATCACAGTGAGTCTGCACCCTCTCTGCACCCTCCCTGGTCCGCACCCGCTGACCCCGACCCTTGTCCACGCGCCCTACCCCGTCTCGATAGCTGCCGTCGTTCCAAAATTACAAGCCGTCCAAGGAGCTCAAGGGCGGCCACCGACTCAGCGTTCGCGGCGTCGCGTGGTCCATCGACGGCCGCAAGCTCGCCAGCTGCGGCGCCGACCGATCCGTGCGCGTATGGACGCCCGAGCGCAGCGTCGACGTGCGCGCTTCCACCGAGCTCCGAGGTCACACCGAGAGCGTCGACCAGCTCGCCTGGAGCCCCACTGCGCCGGATCAGATCGCCACCGCGTCGGCGGACAAGTCGGTCAGGATATGGGACATTCGCTGTGAGTCGATTCGCGCCCTCGTTTGCCGGCGCATAGCCCTCGAGGATCCAGTCTGACTCCCCCTACCACCTCGCGTGACCGACCGCCCCTGCCGCAGCGGCAAAGGCGACGCAGGTCATTTCGACGCCCGGGTCCAACATCAACATCGCCTACCACCCGCACGGACACCAGGTGGCAGTGGGCGACAAGGCGGACACGATCAGCATCATCGACGTTAAGATGGGCCGGATCGTCGAGACGGTCCAGGACCGCAGCCGCGGGCCGGTCGAGGAGATCAACGAGTTTACCTGGTCGCCCGATGGCTCCCTCTTCCTCCTCACCAGCGGCACGGGCAGCATCCACATCCACGACGCCCGCAACCCGCTCGAGGGCGACGCCAACACGGCCAAGGGCGCCGCCACGCGCTGGTCCCGCCTCCACACCATGGTCGCCCACACGGCCAACGTGTTTTGCATCGAAATGGACCCCAGCTCGAGGTACATGGCCACCGCCTCGGCCGATAGCATGATTGGCCTGTGGGCCCTCGACGAGTGGATGAGCGTCCGCATGTCCGGCTCCCTCTCGTTTCCCGCCCGCAGCCTGAGCTTCTCGCACGACGGCGAGTTCCTCGCAGCCGGCGGAGAGGATCCGTGGATCGACATTGTGAGTTTCCCCGTTCCGGCGCCGATCGGTTGATCGGTCGATGGTTGTCCGACGCCCGAAGGTCACCCGGCGCTGACAAGCAGTCGAATCCGCCTGACGCTCTACGACGCAGTCATCGGTGGCGACGGGCAACACGGTGTACAAGCTGCCCGTTACGGGCATGATCAACACGCTCGCCTGGCACCCGAGCAAGCTCTACCTCGCCTACGCCGGAGACGAGCCGCCCTCGACGACCGCCAGCGGCGGCGGAGGAAGCGCTGCCTCTAGCGCCGCAAAGGACAACGGCGTCATCCGCATCTTTGGCTTGTAGCCCCGCTGGCCGAGCGCCGTCCACCGGTCGCTCTGCCAGCCGCCACGACCCTGATACCCCGGCCCTCGCCCTCGCTCTCGCCCTCGCTCTCATCATGTACACTATCCAATTCCTCGCGCAGGCGTACCGGTCGCCCCCACTCGCAAGACTCGCGCGGCGAAGTATGCCACGGCTGCTTGTATTTCAAACCGTCATCGCGACCGACACGTCACTGGAGAGCGAGAACGAGGAAAGAGAGAGAGAGAGGAGAAAGATGACCGGGGGAAAGAGGAAGCGGGCCGGCTAGACGACCCGTCTAGTACGAGAGGGTGCGGACGAGGGCGTCGGCGATGCGGACCGTCTCGGGCTTGTAGAAAGTCTCGTGGACGTGAGGGAAGGGCGTGTCCCAGCCGCCGATGCGGCAGATGGGCGCCTCGAGGTGGAGAAAGCACTTGTCCTGGAGGTAGGCGCCGATTTCGGCGCCGGCGCCCGCCGTGATGGGGGCCTCGTGGACGATGACGCAGCGGCCCGTCTTTGCGACGCTCTTGGCCACCGTCTCGCGGTCCCAGGGCAGGATGGTGCGGAGGTCGATGAGCTCGACCGAGGCGTTGCGGAGGTCCTTTGGGAAGTGCTCTGCGATCGAGGCGGGCGGGTTGCGCAGCATGTTGATGGCCTCGACGCACGAGTAGAGCGGAGTGCCCCACGAGAGGAGCGTAATGTCCTTGCCCGGCTCGATGACCTCGGCCTTGGAGAGGGGCAGCGTAAAGTCGTCCTCGGGCACCTGCTCGACCGAGGCGCGGTAGAGGACCTTGGGCTCGAGGAAGATGACGGGGTTGGGATCGCGGATCGAGGCGAGCAGCAGGCCCTTTGCCTGGATGGGCGAGCGCGGGATGACGACCTTGACGCCGGGGACGGCCATGAAAAACTGCTCGACGCTCTGCGAGTGGTACAGGGCGCCGTGGCCCACGGCCATGCAGGGAGAGCGGATGGTGAGCTTGCCCGCCGAAAACATGCCGCCGGAGCGGTAGTTGTACTTGGCCGCCTCGTTGACAATCTGGTCAAAGGCGGGGAAGATGTAGTCGGCAAACTGGACCTCGGCCACGGCCGTGTGGCCCATATCGGCCATGCCGATGCCAAAGCCCACCAGGCCCTGCTCGCACAACGGCGTGTTGAAGACGCGCTCCCGCCCAAACTCCTCGGCCAGACCGACCGTCGACCGGAAGACGCCGCCAAACGCCACGTCCTCGCCAAAGATGCACGTCGTCTCGTCGGCCGCCAGGGCGTGCGCTTGAGCATCGCGGATGGCCTGCAGAGGGGCAGGGGGTGGAGGAGGGAAAGGGCGGAGCAGGGCAGAGATTGGTGAGAGGGAGGAGAGAATGGACCGTCAGTCAACCAGGCGAGCCCCCGAGTTCGTTTTCGGGGGCGATCAATCGAGACCCGTCGGGTGCGCAGCGAGAGTCTGACAAGTCCAAGCGGGAGTCAAAGACAACCCGAGACGCCAGGTGGCGAGCGCAGACCGCCGCCTGCCCTACTCGTCCGCGGCGGCAACCCAGCAGGGAGCGCCCCATGTGATGGGCCACCCGGCCTGCGGATGCGTCGTCGTCGATGGCGAAGGTTGGCAGGGTCTCTTGCGCTGTTGCCGCCGAGCGAGGAAGTGGAGCTTGCTACGATTACGTCGGGAGAGTGCCATCGCCTGCAGAGGCGTATACGGGAGAGTGTAGGATGGGCAAGAGGCGAAGGGGAAAGGGGGGAAGGAGGCGGGGATGACCGCAACGGCGGCCAATGTGGGGAGGGGGAAGGACTAATCTAGAGCGTGACGGCGCGCGTGTCGACCATGGGAAACCGGAAAGACGAGAAGGGGCCACGACCGAGGGCAGAGGCTGCAGCCCTCACGCCGACGACGACGACGAGGGCGAGCTCTGCTCCTCGAGCGCCCGCTTGTGCGCGTCGAGGGTCAGGGCGAGGTTGCCACCGGCCGCCTGCGAGAGGACGCCGGCCAGCTGCTGCCCCGGCGCGCTGAGGAGGCCAACGATCTGGCCTCTGAGCTGCGACAGGGTGCCGAGCCTGCCGACCTCGCGGACGGCGGGCATCTCCATCAGCCGGTTGGTCTCGAGGACGGCGGCCAGCGGCACCATTCGCGGGTTGGCGACGGCGGCGGTGGGGAAGGCCGCGCCGCGGGCGGGTGCCTTGGGCGGCGTATGTCCGAGGGCTCGGTCAACCACGTTGAGCAGCGAGCTGACGTACGCGGGCGACAGATGTGGGCAGGTCAGCAGTGCGATCGGACCGCTAAAGAGGGGCTCGATCGACTTCATGGCCTGCTGCGTCTGTCGCCGGCACACGGCCTTCATCAGGCCGGAGCGGACGATGGTGAGCCTGGCCCGCTTCGTCTCGCCCTCGGGCAGCTTGATCGAGGCAATCTCGCGGCGCAGCTTCGTCATCTCGGCCACCGTCAGGTTGTTGTGCTGGAGCACGACGGCGAGGTGGCTCTCCCTCAACAGGCTCGCGTACTGCTCGAACAGGAACGTCTTCCGCGTCGTGTGCTGTCGGCGGGGCTTGGCTGGGGGAGTCGAGGTACGCACCGTGCACATGTTCGTCTTCTTTGTCTCTCTCTGGATGCCCTCCTCTCCATCGGCGAACGCAAGTCCAGGGGTCTGGAGTGCAGCCTCGGGTGTGGTGCGCAACAGCGGGTTCGAGGCGCCGGCCACGGGGCCCTCGGAGGCGGCCGTGGGGGCGGCCTCGGCAACGGCGGCGGAGCGGCTGGAGCTGGCGAAGCCGCGGCCGAAGTGCGAGCGGCGCGCCAGGGCATCCTGCAGGGCGGTCGTCCTTCGGGTCGAGGAGAGCGACGAGGTCATGGTGTGGTAGGACTGGGCGTTGCGAGGCTCGAGGCGGTACTCGGCGGGCGACTCGGCCGCCGGAGGGGGCACGTAGGCGTCGCCCTTGAGCTCCATCTCGCGAGTCTGGTCGACGCCGTCCTCGAAGATCTCCTCGGCAACGTCCCAGCCCTGGGTCGGGTCCACAGTGCGCTCGATGGGCTTGCTCTGCGCCTCGTAGGTGAGGTGCTGGACGTCGTCCGCGGGCAGCTCGAGCTCCATGACTTTGAAGTTCTCCTCGATCCTCGCGGGCGTGACAGACTTGGCGATCGGGATAATGTCGCGTCCGAGCTGCCACGCCAGCAGGACCTGCGCCGGCGTCATGTTGTTGCGGCGGGCCACGTCGACGACGATCGGGTCGCTGAGGTACTTTTCGGCGTTCTGGTTGCTGCCGAACGGCGAGTAGGCCTGCAGCCGGACGTCGTGGGCGTGCGCATAGTTGCGCAGCTCCTCGTTGTGGACGCCCCAGTTGACCTCGACCTGGTTGACGATGGGCTTGATCGACGCCTCATCGACGACCTGGCCGGTGCGGCGGATGTTGAAGTTGCTCACGCCGAGGTTGCGCACCTTGCCCTTCTTGACCATCTCCTCCATGACCCGGTACGTGACCATAAAGTCGCGCGACAGCTCCGGCTGCTCAATCGGGGCACCGCCCGTCGACCGCACCGACGGGATCTGCGACCCGTTCGAGTTGAGGAACGCAACGGGCCAGTGCATTTCCCACAAGTCGAGGTAGTCGGTTCCGAGGTCCTTGAGCGTTGCGTCGAGGCACTGAGGAGGGGGGTGGGAGGCGTGTCAAAGCGGGTGGGAGACGAGGGAGGGTCAGCAGAGGAGTCGGGAGAAAGGCCAGGCGGGCGGACGGGAGGGAAGCTCACCTTTTCCACGTTCTCCGGGTCGTGGAAGCTGTTCCAGAGCTTGCTGGTGAGCCAGAGCTGCTGGCGCGGGACGCCAGACTTTGCGATGGCGGCACCGACGGCATCCTCGTTGCGGTAGGCCCAGGCGCAGTCGATGTGACGGTAGCCGACCTTGAGCGCGTGCGAGACGGCGGGGGTGGCCTGCTCCTTGGTCATCTTCCAGGTGCCCAGGCCCAGCTTGGGCATCTGGGCACCGTTGGCCAGGGTGAAGTTGGCGGCTCGGCGGACGGCAGAGGCGCGCATGATGGCGATGTGTGGGGCGGCGGTTGAAGATGCAAAGAAGGCGGGCGTCGGGGATGCGCAAGTCACGCTCCTCCTGATTCGATGTCGGGCGGGAGGAGGGCTAAAGGAAGCTCCCTGCTGCGGTGACGGTGGTGATCAGGACAGAGGGGAGGCGGGCAGATGGTCGGAGGGTCGCTGTGGTGGGCAGCTGGTGCGGTTGGAACAGGATGGTATGCGGAGGAGAAGGTGGTCGAGGGCGGAAGGATGGAGATGGAGATGGGGGTTGCTTGATGAGGAGGAGAAGAGAGAAGAGAGACAGAGAGAGGCAGAGAGAGACGAAAGAAGACGAAGGTATGTGCGTTGAGGCGGGCGGGGGGGTTGCTTGCGGGTCGGGGGGGGGCAGAGGCGAGGGTGGGAGAGGGGGAGGGAGAGAGAGACAGAGAGAGGGGAAGAGGGCCTGGTTGATGCGAGGGGGTGCTCGAGGTCCTGGATGGGGGTGGTGAGGGAGGTTGGGTGGATCCAGGAATCCAGCGAGATGGGGGGGTGTGAGAGAGGTTGAGGGAGGTGCGGTAGGCAAGCAGGCTGGAGCGGCGCAGCAGAGAGGGAGCGAGCGTGAGGGTGCAAAGCAGGCCAGGCCAGGCCAGGCCCAGACGAAGCGAAGAAAGGCGGCGCGCCGATGGGCGGAGGCTGGCGGCCCGCCAACAGGATGGCGTAAAGCCCAAAGCCAAAAAGCCAGACGGCGGTGGCGGCACGCTCGCTCGCTCGCTCGCTGGGCCTCGAAAAATTGGAAAAGGCCTTGCCCGCTTGCACTTTGGCAATTCAAAAAGACAGGCGAGGGAGGGAAACGAAACACAAATCGACGCCGGGAGCCGATTAGAAACGCTGAGCGCTCCGCCTGGTGCCCAGCTCGACTTGGAAATAGCCGCCCTAAAGTCACACACACACCACGCCAAGTCCCCGATGGCCCCGGTGGCCGGCAAGCCCGTCCAGCAGTCAGGCCGCTTGCGGGGGAACAGTTAGGAAGCTAAGGCAGGGCACCTCGTCGTCGTCGTCGTCGTCGTCGCCCCAGGCGCAGGCTGGTGCCCTATGGTACCGCACCTCTGCTCGATCTGGGCTCTCCGCGCATGCTTTGGCCTCGCTTGCCCCCGGTTCCCGGCGTCGCATCTTGAGCGGGGAAAACGCAAGCGAGCGAGCATGGTCCACATCGGCGTCCCAAGAGGCGGCAGGCCTAGGCACAGTCTGCACAGGCCTGCCTTGCTTGCTTGCTGGGCTTTGAGATCGCAGGCGGGCGGCCCAGAGGAGCGCTGCCCTGCTGGCTGGGTCGACGACGATGCGCATCTCGCCTCGCCTGGATGGGCGAACCCCGCGCTTTTGCTTCATTTGCGCTTTCAACGACATGCGGTGCGATGCGCTCAGGCCCGGTCTCGCGCTAGAGAGAGTCTTTGTCGAAGTCCCGCCCCTCGAAGTCGTCACACCCCGACCCTACGCCAGACCAGGCGCTCTAACTAGACGACAAGTCACCGGCATGAGAGGCGGAGGAGGGCGAGGACGCCGTTTGAAGCCCGTAACCCCGTGCCTCTGCTAAGCGTGCGTGCGTAAGAGCTCCTTGCTACCTGTGACGAGGTCGAGATGAAGCTTCTTTGGCGATCAAGCAAGCAAGGCTGGCTTACGACGTTGCCCGGAGCACAGGCCCGCTCGGGGTGGCGTGAGGGGTTGTTAGACTCGATTGCAAAGAGGTCCCAAACCCGCCCGTCGGTCGTTCCGGTGGGTGCTTCGGCGGGGCCGAAAGCGACGGCCCGGTTCCGAGTGGCCCGCTGGCGCGCCTTCCCCCGCGAAAGCCGCAACGACCGACCCCGCACTGCCCCGCACTTTCGGGATTCCCGCTCCAGACTGCCTAGCCTCGTCGTGCTTGCCGTCGTCGGTCTCTGTTGGAGCCTGCTTCGCTGTCGGTGCAGGTGCAGGTGCGGGCGGCAGCATTCTGTGTGCACCCAGATTTTGGCAACGACGACGACGACAAGGACAACGGTGCGGGCCTCAGCGCCGTCCTGCTGGCCGGCAAAAGCGAAAGGGCCGACAGGTGGTAGAGCGAGTGGGCCATGGCCGCAGCATCGATCGGGTGCGCTCCTCGACATGTCGTCCCGCCCCCCACGCCCGTCGTCAAGGATCGGCGGGAGTGTCGCTCCCACTCATACGCACGGGAGCAGCGCTGAATTCATGGGCCGGCCGCTGACCATCATCATTGCCACGATAATCTACCAACGTTGCTACTTCTCCATGCCACGGAACCATCACCACTGGACCGCGAGGCCACTGACCATCTCGTCCTTGACTGCCCGGTACTGCGTGCGAAAGAGCCTCTTCCTCGCCTCCACCAGCGCATCGGCCAGCTCGCCCTTCTGCTGTCCGCCCAGGAAGGCGGGGCCGGCGGCGAGGGCGCTCAGCTCCTTGGTCACCAGGTCCGCGAGCAGGTCGGCGTAGATGAGCGAGTCTGGCTGTACCCTCACGACGCCGTCCGATTCGGCGCCATCCTTGGCCGGAGAGGCGATGGCGGCCTGCTGTGAGACGAGCGCATCGAGCAAGCGGGCCTTGTCCTCGCCGCGCGCTTCCCGCTTCGACGTGGCGGCGCCCAGCGGCGTCGAGGCGCCGCGGGTGCTCACGCCGCTGCGCAGGGGCGTAGACGTGCCGCTGGCGCTCGTGCTGCCCAGTACCGCGCCGACGGGCGTGTGCGAAAACTGCGAGGCGGACCAGTAGGCCCTCTCGACCCGCTTGACCCACTCCTTGCTGGTGCCCTGCCAGCCCTTGATCTCCTTTTCCTCGCCCTTGCCGTCGCCGCCGAGCCCGTGCATCTTGACGTCCTGTTCCGCGTCGACCGAGGCCGTCTGCGCCGAGGCCCAGCCCGACGTGTAGCCTTCAGGATCGAGCGAGACCTGCGCACCTGTCCCGTCGGCCGCCTCGCCACGCTTCGAGCAACCCTTGTTGATCATAGACCCGGCATCGTCGACATCTTCGGTCGCTCCGACGTCCGGTGCCGGCGCCTCTGATCCCACCGGCGGCCGCAGCTGTCCTCCTCCATTGACGCAGCCGCCGGGACACGCCATCACCTCGACGTAGTCGTAGCCGTACGCCTCCTCTTCGTCGCCATCTGCAGCGGCGGGAGTCGATGCCCCGCTTACAACGTCCGAGTCGACGGCGCCGCGCGAGTCGGCGGCTGCGCCGCCTCGCCCCCTTCGCACCATGCCGCGACCCCTCCCGCGCGTCATACGGCCACGGCCACCCGCTCCGTTGCCGACGGCCTTGCCATCGGCGTCGACCAAACGCCCGGCAGCGCCCTTTCCGCTCTTGACGCCAGTCTGGCGCTGCAGCTTGCGGACGAGGTTCTGCAGATTGCGGAAGCCGTAGCACTGTGCTGCCCTGAAGAGAATGGGCCGCTGCAGCTGCTGCCGAAGCGTCGACTCAGAGCCTAAGTCGGCCTCCGCGGCCGTCGACGGCAGCGCAGGTGCACGCAGGACGTACTCGGTAAAGTCCGAGGTCCGAATGATTTTGACGTCGAGCTGCGGCAAGACGGCCGAGCTTTTGACGTCGCTGGGCAGCCGGTCCCACGCCTCGCCGAGCCAGTCGAGCCAGACCGCCCTCATCAGATTGAAAAGGTAGCCGCCGCTGCTGCTGCCCGGATGATCGAGCAGCGTGGGCATCTGGGGGAGGACAGTGACGCGGTCTTTGTCGGCACCGTTCGCGCCGCAACTCGCCGTAGCGCCTCCGAGCGCCTCGGCAAGCGTAAGATCCGCCGTTGCAGCCAGGTCGGGCTCGGCCGCCTCGCCATCGACGGGCTTGCTGACGTCGAACCCCTCGTCGGTCATCAGCTTGTCGAGCTCGCCCGTGGTGAGCACGCAGTCGACCTCCTTTGTCCCGGTGATCTCTTCGAAAAAGTCGGGCCGGCTCGCTTCGAGCTTCTTGTCGTAGCAGGGCATGACCGTGACGTGGTAGACGCCAGATAGCTTGGAGGACGCTGCCTGGTCCTCGTCGGCGGCCGTCTCCGGCGTGATGCCGAGCCGAGATGCGATAAACTTCTTGGCCAGCACGCCCGATATCTGCTGCGGAGATTTGGTCTTGGAGACAAAGGGCAGCAGCTCGCCGTGGGTCTTTTCGGCATAGCAGATCCAGCCGGGACAGGCGCTGGCGAGCATCGGCAGGGTGGGCTCGTCGTCGGCCTCGTCGCCGCTTCTCCGCGCCGATGCCCCGAGCGCGGCGGCGGGGTCCCTCTTGCGCTTGAGCGAGTTGGATCGCCGTTCAAAGAACTCGCGCTCGTGCTCCTTGAGCGAGAGGTGGCGGGCAAAGGTGGTGTCGAGGACGTAGTCGAAGCCGAAGCCCTTGAGGAAGTGGGTGATGCGGTGCAGGAGCGTGCGCAGGGGTATGGATTGCGAGGCTGCCGCCGAGGACGATGGTCCAGAGGCGGGCTGCTGGTCGCTGAACGAGTAGCGAGCCGAGAGGGATGCGAGCGTCTGCGGGCTGATGGAGGCGACGAGGAGCTTTGGATGTTGGGATGCGTGGATCTCGTCGATGGCCCTGCGCATCTCTTCCTGGCTCTGCATGGTGATGAGGACGCTCTCTGCGCTGGTAACGCAGCCGCTGCAGGCGAGGCAGTCGTCGAGCGAGATTTCGGCCGTCTCGAGCTTTGTGCGCTGGCGGGGTTTGGTGGTGGTGCCGTCGTCGTGCTGCTGGGTGGCGGCAGCGCTGGGTCTGCCGTCTAGCTCGTAGTAAGCTCCTTCGCGGTCGATGGCAATCTGAGTCGATGCCCCGCCAGCGGAATCGCTGTCGGGGGCGTCGCCGTTGGCATCCTTGCTGTCTGAGGCGGAGGCTTCGACGGGCTTGATGCACGCCTGCGAGGGCCCGAGATAGTCATTGAGGTCGGTGAGGGTGAGTGCACCGGAGAAGGCCATGCTGGGCGCGTGCTTGCGGTTGGCCTGAGCTGTCGGGCGATGGGAGTCGCTGTTTGACAGCGCTGGACGGGGTGGGGGTGAGGGTGAGGGTGGGGGTGGATGATGGTGCGAAGAAGGAAAGGGCGAAAGGTGTGGCAAATCAGAGTGTAGATAGGAGCCGACTCGGAAGAAAGCGTGACTCGGCAAAGGGCCGCGTGTGGAGGGCGTTGGCTGGCCTGGCCTGGCCTCGCTTCTCCTGGCGATTTCTCCCGGCTGAGGTCGCGCCCCAAAGCAAGCCACCGCCTTCACCTTCGCTCTCGACCACCAACACCGCGGCCACGAGGCTTACCACCATGATGGCGGTTCTTCGCCACCTTGAGCCGACATCGATGGCCTGATATGTCAACCGGCATCGCCGATGAGCTTCCCTAGTCGAGCCGTCCCGCTCAAGCGCGAAAAAGGCTATCTCCGGACCATCCTCCCCAGATGTTGGCCCCAGACTCAACTTTCGCACTACTCTGCCGCTCGCCAGCCAAGTGACAGGCGCTCTCGTTGTCGTGTGAGTTGAGAGTGCGTGTATATCGCCATCTCTGCTTCAGATCCACTGAGACCGTCCCCCATGCTTGGCCTCTCGGCATGCTTGAGCAGCCGCGCCGCGTTGGGCAAGCCGGCGTCGGGCCTCGCTCCCGTCTTGCGCTGCTCAGCCTACCTGGTCCTCGACGCCCTTCTTTCCTTTGCCTGTGGAACACAGCACAGTGTCTTTGCCTTTGCTCGATCTGTCAAAGACGGAACCAGGCCGCCGGAACAGCTCCGATAGAAGCCGCGGCGTCGGAACAGCGCGGTTCGGGCCGAGACCATGCCTTGCCCCCCACCCCCCCGCACAGCCCGCCGCCTCGTGTGTGACAGCGGCAGCAACGTCCGCGCCACACAGGTAGAAGGCAACAGCTAGCACCGCCCTTCAGCGGCAGTCATCGTCTTCGAGTCACGATAACGGCTAGCCCGGCACGGCTGTCGCTGTCAGAGACCACGCTGGGCTCCCATGGACCAACCGGCGGGCCAGCCCGAGTCACCCCACGCGATGCCGCCCTGCACCGCCCCCCGACCATCTTCCAGCGGAAAAGGGCAGGCCGCACCGGCATCCCCAAAACACGTTGCGTCCTACAGCAGCAGCACACATCCTCGACTCTGCCATACAGCCCGGCTGCAACGACGATTCCTGCTACATACTGCACCTCGGCGTGATCTCGAGCAGGCACATGGGCTGCGACTGAGCACTCCCAAAGGCGGCCCCATCTCCTCGACTTTCAAGGCGCGGTTCGATCCACCAAACAAGGATAAAAGGAGGCGATCCCAGCGTCCTTCTCTCCCCTCAAGCCACACCAATCCAACTCACTCGCTATCCCCTAACAACCCCTCAAGAACTCCAAAATGGCCACCACCCCTGCTCCCGCCACCCACGCCCAGTCGGCTTCGACTCCGGCCTATGCCGACGCCGCTGCCGCTCCCACGCCTGCCCCTTCTTCCCCTCCTCCTACTGCTACGCTCGCACCGGCAGGGCACTCAGCCTGCTGCTTCCACGGCCATCCTGGTCGCCTCGGTATGGGCGACATGGGGCGAGGCCGTCATCATGCCCACGAGCATGGCCGCCACCCCGCTCACGACCGCCATCGTCATGACTTCTCCGGACCCCCTCGCTCCGACCACCATGGTCACCACCACGGCCCGCCTCCTGGTCTTCGATCTTGCTTCGGCCCCTTTGATGGTGGCGATGACATGTCACCTCGCTTCGCCATGAACGGTCACTGTGGAGGACCCCGTGGCGGTATGGGCGGCGGCCGCGGCCGCGGTGGCCTTTCGCGCGGAGGCGGACGTGGACGTTTTAGGGACACTGGCCGAGGCGACGGAGAAAGGCACTTTTGCCGTTGCGAGAACGCCGGGCCTCCAGGTCTCATGGGCGAGATGGGCCCAGTGAGGCCATCCCCCACGCGTGATGTTCCTCTGAACTGCGACGAGGCATGCTCTTCCTCCTCATCCGAGTCCGACACTGCTCGCGACCAGGAGGATCCCGCTGAGCAGGGCGAGAACGACGCCGGGCACCATCAACACTGCCGCCGACGCGACGATCCCTCTCGCGGGGAGGAGGCCGAAGGTAGGATCCCTCTGAACCATCACCGAGGCCATCAACATGGCCATCACCACCACGGCGACGATCGCCGCGGCCGCGATCACCCCGGATACGAGCACGACCCGCGATGCGGAGGGTTTGGCCGAGGCCGCCCTTTCGACGATGACGAGTTTCCCGGCTTCCCCCGTGAGCGAAGCCATCACGGCGCCCGAGGTGGCTTCTTTGACGACCGACGCGGACACGACTTCCTCGGCGGTCGAGGTGGATTTTTCGACGACCGACGTGGACAAGGAGGCCCCCATGGTGGCGATTTCTTCGGCGGCCGGGGCGGCTTCTTCGATGACCGACGTGGACGAGGTGGTCATCGCGGCCGCGACTCATTCGGACGCCCCTGCGAGCCTAGGGGCTTGCGCCACGACAGTGTCTTTGGTCGTCACTGCGATCCCTCGTCGCCGCGCCCGTTCCCCTTTGCCGTTTCGTTTGATCGAGGCATTGGCTGCGGCGACTTTGACCGACGCCGCTGAGCCTCGACGGAGGAAACACGCCCGCCCTCTCCCTCCCTCTCCATCTAGCCCTCTGACTGCCGCCGTGACGGCGCTTCAAGGTGAGTGGCCGCAAGATACACGCAGCTTAGCCGCAGACTGCCCCCTTCTCTCGCCCCTGGATCAAGATCAAGCCCGCTAGGTAGGTCCCTCTTTTAAAAAAAAACGTATATGGAAGAACGAGCAAGGAAATCAAAAAGAAATGTCCCCCTTCCTTCCCTGTGTGAATGAGTGACGGCCCAGCATGGCCGAGTGTGTGCACGAGATCGTTTGGATGTGGTAGAGTACAGCCAGCCCTACCCGCGAGAAGCGCAGTGGGCTGGGCGAGAAGGCGGGAAGTCGCCCGTGAAATCGGGCTTGGGCCGCCGGCAAGGCGATCTCAACCTGGCCCGAGGCGGCGTGCGTTGCCGGAGCTGCGACGATGCGATCCGCTTTGATCCGTCCGGGCGGGCGGGGCCCACGTCCAGCCCTGCCTCGGCGGGCGGATCCTCCATCCATGCAGGTATGCAGGACGTTGCATTATCAGATTGCCAGCTGCGATGTGCGGGGCGTCCCAAGGCCGACGGCGCGCGCCCGTTGTGCCACGAGATTCGGCGCGATCGCTTCCGCAGAAATCCTGATGGGACGACTGCGAGGCCGAAGACGTACGGCCTCGCCTTGACTACGGCAGAACAGCGGCTGATCGGAGGGATCCTGGTGAAAGTGTGGACCGTGGCGTACTGTACGACGGCGATGACTCGGAGCGGGGCAATTGGATTCGTCGGGCAGGCAGACTAGGAGGTAGGTGTAGGGCGTCGGCTTGTTTGTTCAGCAAGTACGTGAAGGAAGGAGTCGGTCGGCGTGTGGTCGGTTGGTCGTGCGACCCGTGCGTGTACGGTAGAGGGGCGTGGCAGGTGGGATGGCTGGAAGATGGAAGATCCGCTGCGACCCGACCCGCTCGCCCGCTCACCCGCTGCTCGGCTCAGCGCCAGGAAATTCGCCGAGGAAGAGGGCAAGCCGCCTGATTGGCTGATAAAGGGCGCGAGATAAGAGAAACGCGGCGAGTCGAGTTAGAAGAAACCGATGCAAGCGCGCACGCACGGCCAGGCCGCGTATCTCTGGCATGCCATCGACCTATCAAATGCCGGTCCAGACGCTGTCCACCCAACCCCCTCTCACCCCCGCTGGTGATCTCATCGTCGTCTCTGCCCAGTCCTCGGATCGGGTCGGCCTGGCTCGCTCGTCCTCTGGATCTCGCCCGCGCCTCGCCGAAGCCCGAGCAGACAGCCAAGCCTGCCTAGCCTGTCGCCCGGCCCGCCTGGCGAATGAAGCGGCCAATTTCCTTCCTTCGGTCGAGGGCGGGGCAACGCTGCGCTCGCTCCTTCTTCCCGGCCTGGGGGATGTGCTGAGAAGAAAGCGGCCTGCTGGCTGAACTGGCCACCGACGTGTGTCACTTCTCGCCGCCCGAGGTCTCAGCCCTCACGTTGCGGCCTGCTCCACACCTTTGGGCAGATGCTGGATGGATGGCAAGCAATTCACGCTCGAGTCACGCCTCGCCTCGCTGACGTACCGCGGCGCTACCTACGTACACAGCACCTCTCCGGACCGCACCTGCTGGTGTCCTGACTGGCAGCAGCCTTCCGGCCGGCGCCGACCGCCTGACCTGCCTGCGGTGGAGGCAAACCTTCTCGTGGGCCCCCCTGGCGGTCTCGCTATAAGTAGCCTAGGCTGGCCAGCGGCCGTCTCCGCAACTCCTGCTTCCCCTGACCCAACTACCACCTCCCTCCAAGCTCTCCTCTGGCGTTTCTTTCACCACCATCGCACGCAAAGACAACCTTGGCCACCATGTCCAACCTTCCTTCTGAGCCCGAGTTCGAGCAGGTAAGCACCAGTCCGAATGCCACCTTGACACGCCGACAAGTGCCAGCTCGAGGACAGCGGCTGACGCTACTCTCCGGTTGCTCCGCCTCGTCGCTGCTCCGCAGGCCCTCAACGAGGTCACCTCGACCCTCGCGCCCTTCCTCGCCAAGTTCCCCGAGTACAAGAAGGCGCTCGAGATCATTCAGATCCCAGAGCGTGTCATCCAGTTCCGCGTCGTCTGGGAGGACGACAAGGGCGTCGCCCGCGTCAACCGCGGCTTCCGAGTCCAGGTGAGTGGCAGCCAGCCGGCCGCCCGGACGCAAGGCGCTGAACCGGACGCGGGCGAGTGGGGGCTGACCGTGCCCGCTCCTCTGCTGCGGTACCGCCAACCCCTTGACAGTTCAACTCGGCGCTGGGCCCGTACAAGGGCGGCCTCCGTCTGCGTTCGGACGTCAACCTGTCGGTGCTCAAGTTCCTCGGCTTTGAGCAGATCTTCAAGAACTCGCTGACGGGCCTCAGCATCGGCGGTGGCAAGGGTGGCTCCGACTTTGACCCCAAGGGCAAGTCGGACGCCGAGATCCGTCGCTTCTGCAAGTCGTTTGCCACTGAGCTGCAGCGACACATTGGCGGCGACACCGACATCCCCGCCGGCGACATTGGCTTCAGCACCACCGAGGCCGGCTACGTCTTTGGCACGTACAAGCAGATCAAGAACGAGTGGGTCGGCATGATTACGGGCAAGGGCATGGACTGGGGCGGATCCAACATCCGTCCCGAGGCCACCGGCTTCGGGCTGGTCTACTACGTCGAGCACATGATTGCGCACCTCGAGGGCGAGGGCGTCGGCTTCAAGGGCAAGACGGTCGTCATTTCCGGATCGGGCAACGTGGCGCAGTACGCGGCGCTCAAGGTGATTGAGCTGGGCGGCACGGTGCTGTCGCTGTCCGACTCCAAGGGCGTGCTGGTCTCCAAGGACGGCAAGGGCTTCACGCCGGAGCACATTGAGCGCATCGCCCAGATCAAGGCCAAGCGTCAGGAGCTCTCGTCGTTTGGCGACGAGAAAGGAAAGTTCGAGTTCCGCAACGACGGCGCGCGGCCCTGGACCAACGTGGAGCGGTACGACGTTGCGCTGCCGTGCGCGACGCAGAACGAGCTCAACGAGCAGGAGGCCGAGGAGGCCATCAAGCGCGGGTGCCGCTACGTCGCCGAGGGCTCCAACATGGGGTGCACGCAGGAGGCCATCAACGTGTTTGAGCGTTCGCGCATCGAGGGCGGCAAGGCCAAGGCGTGCTGGTACGGGCCGGGCAAGGCGGCCAACGCCGGCGGTGTGGCCGTCTCGGGACTCGAGATGGCGCAGAACAGCGCGAGGCTGCAGTGGACCAAGGAAGAGGTGGACCAGAAGCTCAAGGACATCATGTTCAACGCGTACAACAACTGCCTCACGACGGGCCAGACGTACGCGGCCGATGGCGACGCCAACGCCAAGGAGATCCCGTCGCTCGTGGGCGGCGGCAACATCCACGCCTTCAAGAGGGTGGCCGACGCCATGCGCGCCCACGGCGACTGGTACTAAGCATCGACGGCGGCCCAGTGTCCGACCATCCGCTCTCTGTGTACATAACTGTAGAAGTAGTCTCGATTCGATCCGCCTAGAGCTCTTGCATTCGATTGCCGTTCCTCCTTGCACAGAGAGAAGCGAGGAGATGGTGGTGTGAAAGTGGCGGCAGTCTGGAGTGGCGGAGAGGTGCCCGGCAGAGGGCCGCGTGCAAGCCTCGGCTCCGGCTGCTCCACTTTTTTTTGGGCGCCTTGGAAGAAAGGGGAGCGAGGCGCGCGGGGCCGGAAGAGCCGGTGCTGAGGCAACCCGACCCTTTCTCTGGTTGGGGCCGCTGCCCCGTGCCCAACCCTGACCCCTTCCACCACCACCACCAGCACCGCGGACCTTGCAGCAGTCCCAAAACCCCCACCGACCGCACAGCACACCATGCTGCTGCCACTCCGCACAAGCGCGCCGAGGGGACTGGCCGCCACCACGCTGTCCGCCGCCCATCGTTCGGCCCGCCTGGCATCGACGGTAGCCGCTGGCCAGCCTTCGGCCCCGGCCAAAAAGACGCTCGCTGTCCTCGGCGGCGGCATCTCGGGCCTGGCATCCGCCTACCGCCTCTCGCAGCGCCTGCCCGCCTCACGCTACCGCGTCGTCCTCCTCGAACAGAGCCAACGCCTCGGTGGCTGGATCGATAGCCGCAGAACAACGCTCGCCTCGCCGCCCACCGACCCCAATGCCCCATCGACCGCCCTCATCGAAAAGGGCCCTCGCAGCATCCGCCCAACCGGTCCCACGGGCATGGTCATGCTCGAGCTGCTCCGGTCCATCGACCTCCTCGACCGCATGCTCAAGGTACCCAAGACGGCCCCGTCCGCCCAGAACCGCTTCATCTACTACCCGGACCGCCTCGCAAAGCTGCCCAGCTCCCTCCCTTCGCTCTTCACCGCCCTCGCAAAGCTCCCCTTCCTCCGCTCCGCCCTGCCAAGGGCGGCGCTCGAGTACCGAGTGCCCTCCCGCTTCGCCCGGCCGCGCTCCGAGTCAAAGGCAGAGCAGGACCGCCTGCGACGCCGCGAGGCCCTCGATGACGAGTCGGTCGACTCGTTCGTCTCGCGCAGGTTCGGAGAGGGGCTCGCTGCCAACCTCGTATCGGCCGTCATCCACGGCATCTACGCCGGCGACTCGCGCAAGCTCAGCGTCAGGAGCGTCATGCCCTTCCTCTGGGAGGCCGAGCGCACCCACGGCAGCGTGCTCAAGTCGCTCTTCCTCTCGCCCAAGCGCAACCGCAAGTACAGGAGCCTGCCCGAGCACGAGGCTACCGCCAAGAGTCGACGCGAGGGGAGCGCAAAGCAGGTCGAGGCGCGCCTCGGCAAGGAGCTTACCGACAGCTTTAAGGGCACTAGCGTCTACTCGTTCCCCAACGGCCTCCAGGAGATCATCGACGCCCTCGAGCAGAAGCTCGACGCTGCCGCCAACGTCGAGGTCAGAAAGGGTGCCGGCGTCGTGTCAGTCGTCGTCGGCGAGGACGGGAAGGTGCTCCTCAAGACCACGGCCGGCGACACGATCGAGGCCGACCGCGTCATCTCGGCGCTCCCCTCGGCTCAGATGGCCAAGGCGCTGCACGCCGAGGCCGATGGGCTTCCGGGCCTCGAGTTCAACCCGTCCGCCAACGTCGGCGTCGTCAACCTCGTCATCTCGCCCGCCGCCGAGGGCGAGGCCTCTTCCTCCAAGCCCCTCCTTCCAGTCGAGGGCTTCGGCTACCTCATCCCGCGCACCACGCCCAACAACGAGGACGGCATCCTCGGCGTCGTCTTCGATAGCGACTCGCTGCCGACCCAGGACATGAAGGACCCGCTCAGCCCGGCCGCCGCCAGCACGCTCGCCCAGCGCCCGATCAAGCTGACCGTCATGATGGGCGGCGCCCACTGGTCTCACCTCGACGCCGCCACGCTGCCGACCGACGACGAGATGCGACGCCGCGCCGTCCGCGCCGTCTCGCAGCACCTCTCGATCCCCGCCTCGCTGCTCGAGGACCCGTCGCGCACCAAGATCCTGCCGACGATGCAGCGGGACTGCATCCCGCAGTATCTCGTCGGCCATCCGGTCCGCATGCACGCGCTGCACCGCGCGCTGGCGCAGCACGAGACGCTGTCGGACAAGCTGACGCTCGTTGGCGCCAGCTACACGGGCGTCAGCCTCAACGACTGCGTCGCCTACTCGATCGAGGCGGCCGACCGCGTGGCGGATGCCGAGCTGCACGGGCAGGGTCGCAGGACCCGGGCAGTGACCGGCCTCGAGAACTTTGACCACGCCGCCGCCGAGCCGCAACCGGCATCGGCCGGTTCGATCAAGGAGAGTGTCACCGAAACGCCGCCCCTCTCTGGCGCCATGCAGAGGATGGCACGGAGCGGGCAGATGTGGTGGCAGCAGGCGGGCCGCACCGACGCCGCCCGGCCGGCCTTTGCAAGAGGCCTGCACACCTCGTCTGCACGATCCAACGACGGTGCGACTGGCGCCGCCGCTACCGGCTCTGCCGCAACCGCCAAGAAGCCTCGCCCGCTCGGAGAGGTGCTGGCTGAGTCGATCCGCGCCTCAGGTCCGATGCCAGTCTCGACGTACATGCGCACCTGCCTGCTCGACCCGGTGCAGGGCTACTATTCGAGCGCCAATGCCGAGCCGACGTCGGCCGACGGCGTGAGCCGGGAGGTGCTGGGCTCGCGCGGAGACTTTATCACCAGCCCGGAGATCAGCCAGGTGTTTGGCGAGCTGGTGGCCGTCTTCTACGTGGCGCGGTGGCAGGCGTGCCAGATGCCACGGCGGACGCGGCTGGTCGAGCTGGGCCCGGGCAAGGGCACGCTGCTGGCCGACATGCTGCGGACGTTTTCCGTCTTCCCGCAGTTTCTCGACACGGTCGAGTCGATCCACCTGCTCGAGACGTCCGAGGGCCTGATGAAGCTGCAGCTCGAGGCGGTGCGCGCCGCCCTCGACCGGGCCGGCAAGAAGCTCGTCCCGGCCGACCAGGCCGAGGTGGCCAAGGACGAGATCCGCATCGAGTGGTTCAACGACATTGCCGACATCCCGATCCAGCCCGAGACGTTTACCATCCTGACGGCGCACGAGTTTTTCGACGCGCTGCCGACGCACATCTTTGAAAAGACGGTCAACGGCTTCCGCGAGGTGCTCGTGGGCGTCAAGACTGAGCCCCAGGGGCAGAAGGGCATCACTGTGCTCAAGCCGTCGGACCTGCAGTCGCACAAGAAGCAGCAGCACGACGGCGGCGAGAAGCGCAAGGACGAGCTGCAGTTTGTCCTGAGCCCGGGACCGACGCCGTGGTCGAAGCTGCTGGCCGAGGGCAACAAGCGATTTGCGACGCTGCAGCCAGGCCAGCGCATCGAGGTGTCGCCCGAGTCGTGGGCCATCGCTCGGCGCGTCGGCGAGATCGTCTCTGGCCGACCTGCCTCTGCACCCCGCTCGTTTGCTTCCGGCGCGGGCGCGGGCGCAGATGCGGATGTCAACGCGGCCAAGGAGGCCGAGGCCGAGGCCGAGGCGCAGCGGCTCGCCGCGCCGTCCGAGGGTGGCATCTCGCTCATCATCGACTATGGCGGCGACCAGACGTACGGCGGCAGCCTGCGCGCGTTTAAGCGGCACGAGATTGTCGACGTCTTTGACGAGCCGGGCCAGTGCGACCTGACGGTGAATGTCGACTTCCTGCACCTCAAGTCGGCCTTCGAGACGACCGAGGCATCGTACCTGGGTCCGATGGAGCAGGCGCACTTCCTCGTCGCCATGGGGCTCGAGCAGCGCGTCGAGCGGCTGCGGCGCGACGCCGATGAGGAGCGCAAACGACAGATCGAGGGCGCCGCTAATCGCCTCGTTGACCTGACGGGCATGGGCCGGCAGTACAAGGTGCTCGCTGTTCAGGCCGACCGCAGCGAGGGCGGGTGGGACGAGGTCGAGCACGACGGCGGCAAGAAGGTCCGCAAGCTCAAGACGCAGCCCGCCGCCAAGCTGTACCCGTTCGAGATGTGATGGCGCCCACGGTCGGGGGGGCGAGTGGTTTAGCAGGCATAGAAAAAAGCAGAATCTGCAATGCTCGCAGAGCCAGTTCTGCATAGGATCGTCAAGAAAAGTCTGCAAACGGGTCGTAGAAGCGGACTGGGTCGTTACAGTAGAGGATGGGGGCCAGCGCACGCAGCCCGTCACTTGTCGAGGTCGAGGACGACGCGACCGGTAATCTTGCCTTCGCTCATGTCGCGGAAGACGTCGGGGAGGTCCGAGAGGCCTTTTAGCTGGTAGACGACCCTGACCTTGCCCTGGGCGGCGATGTCGAGGGCCTCGTTTGCGTCGCGGCGGCTGCCGACGGCCGAGCCGACGATGCGGTGGGCCAGGGCGACGGTCATAAAAATGTCGAGGGGCAGCGTGGCGACGGGCATGCCGACGATGACGAGGGTGCCGCGCGGTCGGATATAGGTCAGCGCCTGGCCGGGCAGGACAGGACGGGGAGAGGGCAGGTTCAGGTGGAAGAGGGGGATGCGTCAGCGTACGGCGACGGGGGCGGACGTCGAAGCGAGGGAGGCCGTATGGACACGCACCAGCTCGTAGGCCTTTGCGCTGGCAGCAGCGACGGCGGCGGCATGGGCGCCCAGACCGCCCGTGACGGCCTTGATCTCCTCGGCGACGTTGGACGAGGTCTTGAAGTCGACGCTGCAAGCACGCGTGGGGGCGGGGAGGGGGGTGGGACAGGGGGGTCAGCACGGGTGGCCCTGCCACGCGCCCTCGGCGTATGTACTCGACACACGACCTGGGCGAGCGACGCAGGTCGGACTCACAAGGCCTCGCAGCCGAGGTCGAGGCTGAGCTTGCGCTTCTCTTCTCCCGTGTCGATGCCAATCACCCTGTATCCGGCGTACCGGGCATACTGGACGCCCAGATGGCCCAGCCCTCCGCCAGAACCGGGAATGACGATCCACTGTCCAGCGCGCAGGTTGGCCTCTTTGATCGCCTGTACGCCGAGGGGAGGGGGTCAAAAGGAGCGGGAGCGATAGTCAGCGGGCTGTCAGCATGGGCGGGCTTCCGAGGTGGCTGCAGTGCGGGCCGGGATGGACGTGCTCACGCGGTAGATGGTAACGCCGGCGCAGAGGATCGACGACGACGCCTCGAGGCTGATGCCGTCGGGGATGCGGGTGAGGTAGCGTGCGGCGTGGCGAGTGTACTGCTGGAAGGTGCCGTCGACGGCGTCTGTCGGTCGTCGGTGGGTCCAGATTTAGACGTCGATGTCGTCAGCGGAGCGGCGCAGCGCAGCAAGCCAAAGAGACCCCTGGTGCACCGGCGACACTCACATCCGCTCGGCTTGTACTCTGCGCAGCTGGCGTCGTGCCCGTCGAGGCAGTAGTCGCACTTGAAGCACGTGTTGGCCACCCACTTGATCTGCGATGGCGGCGGGGAAAAGAGCGAGGCGGAGCAAGGCGAGTCAGCCATCGATTGCGGCCACCAGACTCGGTCGCTAGCTAGCAGAGGGGGGCAGCCCGGCTACTCACGCCTACACGGTCGCCGATCTTGACCCATCTGCAGCGAGAGATGGTGCGCCGGGGCCAGCGGTCAGTGATCCGCTACAGATTTCGGTAAGGAATGCGAGGGGCTCGGCGGGGTACTCACTCATCGGCGCCTGGTCCAAGGGCGACGACGACGCCCGCACCCTCGTGTCCGCCGACGAGGGGCAGCTTGGTCGGGAAGGGCCAGTCTCCGTTGAGTGCGTGCAGGTCGCTGTGGCAGACGCCGGTGAAGAGCGTCTGCGCCAAAGGAAGGCAGACAGGGGTGTGTACCTCGCCGCCCGAGTTGTCAGCGCATGGTTCCTAACGCCCTCGACTCCGGGGGGCTCGACGAACACAACGACGGCACGTACCCTGACGAGAGCTTCGCCCGGCTGCAGGTCCTCTTTCTTGGGAGTGGCGAGGTCCTTGATCTGGATGACCTCGGGGCCGCCGTGCTCTTCATAGATGGCGGCACGGTTGGTGGCCGATACGGCCAGGTTGGTTTCGCGCGGGTCCCTGGTCATCGTTGCTGGGGTCGAGGATCGAGGCGGAGCAGAGTCGGGCCAAGTGGAAGGGAGGGGCAGGTGTAGAGAGGGTCGAGGATAGGCAGGCAGGCTATGGAGGATGGGGGATGTCACACGACGCCTTGCGCCCCGGCCGTCGCCTGGCTCCTTATATGAGCCTCTGACGTTGAACGCACAGGCCCGCCACTCACGCTCGGACCAATCTGGCCGGCCACGAACGAAGGGAGCGATGAGAGGCTTGAGGGCGTGGCTTGGCTTTGCCTTGCCTTGCCCTGCCTTGCCTGGCCCTCAACCTGCATGTGGAGACACGATGGCCGGTGACCCCACATCTCGGGTGGCTGTCCGTCGGTCCCTGCCTGTCTGCGCAGCTGGAAATTGCGGGGTAGTCAACCCAGACGACGCTCGACGTTAAATGCCGCGTGGGCCTGCTGTAAAAGCCGCCAGCCCAGCGGCTATCGGCATCGGCAGCCACCCGACGCCGCGCCGTTTCACAGACGCCGATGGCAGCATGTGTATGTCGAGACTTGGACACGACCGGTGCCTGTCCGTGTTTGTCGCTGTGCCAGTTCGAAAACAACTACAAAGGAGGTGGGCAGCCAATCTGCCGTGCCGTTCCACAATCCAGTCGCTAAATTTCAGCAGGAAAAAAGATGAAAATTGAAAAAGAGCCTCAGGAAAAAAAAATGTCCGCGGAGAGGCTCGAACTCTCGACCTCAGGATCGCACTTGAATACTCAAGATCATACGGGAAGTTGTATGAGACCTACGCGCTGGCCAACTGCGCCACGCAGACTTACTTGTCGATCGCCGAGAGAATTATAAATATATCCCAACTAATCTTAAATCTACTCCCACTGACCAGAACCACCACGGTTCGGACCATGGCCTCGACTCGAGTCTTACCACTGCAGATGAGGTGGAACGATACATGGCACAGCCTCATGGAGGGGTGGGCATTTCTTTCGCCGCGGCCAACTCGACAGTATCGTATAGATGCCGAGGGCCAACGCTGCCCTGGCTCAGCCCCGAGATCGGGTGGTGGCGTGAATAATGCGTGTCTAGGCTGTGCAGCCTCGCGCGAGGCTAGCCTTTGTCCGCCACGCTCGGACCGATCTCGGAGGATCCGAGGCCAAGCTAGAGCAGCGTGTTCGAGGAGCCGTGCTGGCAATACGGCTGGCCTTGCACCGCCACCGCAACCCACCTTTCTGCGGGCTTGGACCGTTGTCTCTTCTTCGATTCAGCAGGCCGAGCCCAACTGCCCTCGAATGCAGGGTATCACTGCGACAGCCTCGGAGCGCTTTCGAGGAACCAATGAAGCGATCATGATGATGACCTGGCCGCCTGGACGGACAGGCATGGTGACAGCGAGTGCATACGAGGAGGAGCCTGGATGGGGCGCATCTGCTCGAGCCACGGGTGCGCGTTCCGCTCCGCCCGATCCGGCCCTTTCCGGTGCCTTTATCGATACTGCAGACGTCTTGGCGCCCGGGCAAGGGCACACGGCGCCTTCGGGCACCGTATTTCCTTCAAGCGGTCTTGAAGACGAGGACGGCGACGGGGAGCAGAGACGAGTCGGGCTTGGCTAGCGACGACGACGAGCCAGGGGCGGCAGCTCTGCCGAGAGCGACTCAAGGACGCTCTCGGCCCTGGATCGACGTGGGGGACGGGCTGACGCGCAAGCTGAGCCGGCCGGCCCGCATGGATCTTCATGATTTTCGGGGGGCCGCCGGCAGGCACCACAACGCCTGACGACCCACACCATATGCATCCCCTAGCCTAGAGCGAGGGGCGAGGTCCCGGCTCCATTTCCAACCCACCTCGGAGTGCTGCGGCGTGCAACGTACGTTCGATGTCTTCGGGGGCAACACTAGTCTAGCGTCGTCCCCCACCCTCTGGCCCCTTCCTCAACGCCGTTGCGAGGCTATAAAGAAGAGCGAGCTTCGGTGGCAGCATCGACCTGGCACACCATCCACTCCTCTCCCCCATCCCCTTCGTTCCCATCTGATCCTTCCATCTTCCATATAGGCTTGCAAACCCACCTTCCCTTGCCTTTCTAATAGATATTTCCCCCTCCCCCTCCCCCTCCTCGACCGACCGCGATGCGCTTCACGTCGACCTTTGCCGCGCTCTCGAGCGTCATGGCGCTGGCCATCTCGGCCTCGTCGGCCAGCCCGGCCGCGGACCGACGCTCGACGCAGCCCAGCAACCAGGTGGCGTTTGTGACCAACTGCACCTCGACGTCGGACCAGCCCGTCTTCACCATCGCGCTCGACGACGGCATCCGCAGCCAAGAGTACCACTCGTACGTCGTCGACGCCTTCAACAAGCGCGGCTACACGCCCTTCTTTTTCACAAACGGCGACAACTACGACTGCCTCTTCAAGTACCGCCACGAGATCAAGAAGACCCTCAAGCACGGCCAGGCCCTGTACGGCTCGCACGGCTGGGCGCACCCCAACGCCACGGCCATCTCGCTCGAGGACTGGGAGCGCGACATTGAGCTCCTCGAGCTGGCCTACATCAACATGGGCCTCGGTCGCCCCTACTTCTACCGCTTCCCCTATGGCGAGCACAACGACGAGCACCTCGTCAAGCTCAAGGAGCGCGGCTACCTCGCCGCCGTCCAGTGGAACCAGGTGAGACCGCGTCGCGATCGGGGATCCATGTCGACAGCGACGACAGGCATCTGACCCCTCCTGCTCTTCAACCCCCGACCTCCGGCGCGCTCGCATGCAGGACTCGTACGACTCGTGGGGCAAGACCAAGCACGAGATCCTCTCGATGCTGCGCCAGGACCTCCGCTCTCCCGCCCTGCCCAAGAACCTGCTCTGGCTCAACCACGAGACCCAGGACGTCGACGTCAAGCAGGGCCTGCTCAACTTTGAGTTCAAGCACATGAAGAAGCTCGGCAAGAAGTACGTCGACCTGCCCCAGTGCCTCAACTACAACGGACCCCTCTTTGCGCCGCCCACCGAAAAGGAGCGCCAGCTGGCCAGCGTGAGTGTGCGCCCAAGGCCGGCCGGGCCACGGCTGTTCGGAACGCGTGCTGATGCCTGCGCTCCCTCATCTCTTGCTTCGTGATCGCATCGGCTGGTATAGCAACTGCCCACCAACGACTGCAAGGCCTTTGCGGCTGCCTACGACCAGCTGCCTGGCCCCAAGGGTCGCAAGTCGCTCTGAAAGCCCGGCGCGGCCATGGCAAGACCGGCGATGCGCGGGCTTCCCCTCCACTCCTGACCGCAAGTGGCTGGACGACGTCCGAGAGCTTGCGGCTGCGGGCTGACGACGCTGCTCTCGCCCCTGTCACTTATTTAGATGGCGGGATGCTTGCAATTTCGACAGCGGTTTAGAGCCTCGCAGATGATGGCTTGAAGCGCGGTGTGCGTTTCGGGCGGGGTCCTCGTCCGAAGCCCGAGAGGCTAGGTGGATGGCTCCGCCCCTTTGCGGATGAGAGACAGTGATTCGCTGTGGAGCAGATTGCACTGCCGCGATCCCTCTGGCCCTACTTTATTGACGACGAGGCGGCAAACCCAGCTCCTGCGCCACAATGTCCAACGCTCGCCTGGCGAGGTCGGACGCGTTCACCATGCCGCCGCCCTCCTGGCCCCGCCTCTCCTCGTCGTCGCTGACAGCAAAGATGCCCCGGGACCTCCCCACCGATCCGAGCTCGACGCCGTGCTTTGCGAGGTCCGCCTCGATACCTTCTGTCGAAACGCGCTGCGGGAGGCTGCTGCCGGCCGTCGCGCTCACCGCCATGCTGCCCGGCGACGGCCGCAGGTGGGCGAGGTCGCAGAGCAGATGGTATGCAGCGAAGACGTGCGCCCGTGGCGAGTAGAGCGTCGCGATGTGCAGGCCCGTGGGCGAGGCGGTGATAGTCGGTTCATCTGCGGTTCGAAGAGGCATGATAAGTGCCGGCAGGTCGATCAGCATCGCGCCCGCAGGACGTCGGAACCACCACGATGCAGGGCGGCACTCACCTTGCTGCTTGATCGCCTGCGACGGCTCAGCGGAGCGCGCGGCTGCGAGGCCGCCCCGGTACAGCTGCAGGCGCAGATAGCTGGCGAGTACGAAATGGAGCTCCTCCTCGCGCACTCTCGGCATCGGCGACATGCCCTTGAGCGCCGCATCGCGCGTGTACTCGGCAAGGATGTCCTCGCAGCGCTGAAGCACGTCGGGTAGGACAAGCACGGCCAGCCTCTTGCGTGCGGCCTCGCTTCCGTCTGGCGAAAGCGACATCGACCGAGAATGCAGTGCGCCGGGTCAGTACCGGCGCTGTCGCTGTCGCAGCCTCTTGCTCAATACTCACCACTGAGCCGGTCAGAACACGCCAGCATAGCGAGGTCGAAGCACCAGTAGGCGAAGCGCTCTCGTGGATTGTCGGCCAGCACTTCGGCGCTGAGGCCGAGCGAGGGGATCGTCGGGACGTGGCTCCCATTTGCCGGCGGCCCTGACCGCACGTCGGGCGCCTGGACAGCGCACGGCCGCGAGTTGCTGATCAGCGCACGTCCCACACGCCGGACCAGGTCGTCTGGCACCGCCTCGCCGCCCAGCACGGGCAGCACGTGGCGTTCGATGGTGGCCAGCAGGCAGAGGTCGAAGCGCTCATCGGCCTCTTGCTGCTCAGCCGGCAGCTCGGATGCCGCCGAACAGTCAGCCGAGAGAGCCGCTTCGAGGCCGTCGATGACGCTCTTCCAGATCGACGCCGTCTTGTCCGGTCCGATGGCTTCCGAGTGGCGGTCGAGCATTTCGCAGCACCTCCGCACGGCGCGGCACAGCGCGACCGACGCAGACTGCCACAGCGGCGGTACGTCTTTGGCGTACCGGCTCGCCGGTGGGCAGCCGTACCGCAGCTTGACGGGGATCGTCAGCGACGAGAGGATGTTCTCGACTGCACCGTCGGTATAGATGCCGAGGTCGGCTTCCTCGGCGCCGGGATCGAAGAATGTCGACGCATCGGCGATGCACGCCTTGGCCAGCGCCACAAAGGTGACGGGCTGCTGATGCTTCCTGACACCGTCGGCCGAGGTCTGCTCTGCGCCGCCCGCCATCGTGAAGGCAAGCAACAGCTTATCGGCGAGGTCATTGAGCTTCAGCGAAGGCAGCCCAGGCACGGCGTCCAGCGCTCGAGTCACCTTCCGCGCCGCCTCCTGGACGGGAGTCAACTGATCGACGTCGCCGGAGTAGTCTGGGCTGTCAACGTATGCGACACAGGTCTTGAGGCGATCGAGAACAGTCTCGGCCTGAGCAGCATCGAAGCTCGACCGCACCTCCCGATGGATGGGCCAGAAGGCCTCGACAAAGGCCAGGAGGTTGGCCTGAGTGAACGGCCTGGGCGGCCGCTCGTCCTGGCGCGAAGCCGTGGCCGTGCGCTCGTGTAGCGAGGCTCCAATATCGGCCCAGCACTGCCACGCCGAGTGCCAGGCCGCGCCGAGCCGGTCGCGAGATTGAGCTGAGGCCGTGTCTGAGAGCGGGGCCGAGAGCACCGTCGAGAGCATCTTGATGGATGCCTGCGAGATGGCCGGCGGGCCGCGCAGGAACGACGCGCGGACGTGCTGGAGCAGCATCGACCAGATCTGCGCAAAGTCGTCGCACTCGACCAGCTTGGTGCCGAGGAACTCGCGCACTACGCCGCCCAGGCTGTTGAAAGCAAGCACACGGCTCTCGTCCCACTGCCGCGGCTCGCTCTGTGCGACGCCCATGGCCTGCGCCCGGCGGTCGTTGGTCTCGGAGTGCAGAGCGCCGACGTCCTCCTCGAGCTGGATTGCGGTCGCGTCGAGCGCCTTGATGACGGGGAACAGGACCTCCCAGAACGCCGTCTGCCAAAAGGCTGGCTCCAGGTCCGCCCCGTACTGCTCGAGCACGCGGAAGAGATTCGAGATGGCGCCGTTCCTAACCTCCGAGCGCGAGTCGCGGGTGATCTGGGAGAGGCACTGGAGCAGAAAGAGCCAGAGATCCGCGAGAGCGCGGCGATGCGTGCCTTCGACGGCGGGCGAATCTTCCGGGCCATGGACCGGCGGCGAGTCGGCCGCAGCCCTCGACGAAAGTTCGGCGGTCACAGCCCACAGGCAGCCATTGGCCGTCAGCGCCACGTTGACGTCGTCGAGCTGCTTGCCAAACTCGGTCAGGCACGAGATGCACCGCTGCAGCTGCTCGGTGGTCAGCGTCGAGAGGAAGTCGGAGCAGACAATCTGGATGCAGGAAAAGGCGATCTTGACGAGCACGACGCAGCTCTTTTGCAGCGTGCTGGCGGTCTGGGACGTGGACGGGGCGGCCGAGCCGGAGCGCTCGCAGGCGGCACTGCAGACGTCGCAGATTGTCTCCCAGCCCAGGAGCAGGGCGTGGCCGCGCGCCTCGAGGATGCGGTAGAGGGTGTCGAGGCCCTTGCGGCGCACCTCGGTCTCGACGACGGTGGCCCTGCGGCGGTCCAGGATGGCGAAGCGCGCCACCACGTCGAGGCTCTGCGACTGGATCCGGCGTCGCTCCGCCTCGCTGAGGCCGGTGTCCTCGACGGCGATCGCGGAGAAGAGGAACTTCATCGCGGCGTCGGCCGCCTGCAGCCGCCAGCCGCTGAGTACGTGGTCCGCGGAGCAGACGCCGTAGAGGTGGTCGAAGATGGCCTTCCAACCGAGCTCGGGGTCGCGCCGCGTCAGCCTGTCGACGTTGAGCGTGGCGACCAGGCTGATGCCGGTGATCGGGAAACTCTTCTTTTCGTCAATCGAGCCGGATGTGGTGCGTACGCTGGCGCGCGACATCGAGCTCGGCAGGCGGGACGCGCCGCCGCTGGCGTCTTCTGGCAGCTGCAGGCCGACGTCGACGTTGCTGTGGCGGCAGAGGGCGTCGACAAAGTGTCGAAGCGCCCCATCGTCGAGGGCGGAAGCGTTCTCGAAGACCTTTTCGATCTGACGCTTGAGCGCCGCGGGGCGCAGGTCGGCCGGCGAGAGCAGCTGCAGCTGGTCCTTGCCGCTGCGGGCGCCGAGCGAGGTGAAGGGCGTCCGGGTCAGCGTCGACAGCGTGTCGTGACTGACGTCGTCGAATCCCCCTTCAGCGACCTGATCTTCCGCGCCGACGCGTCCGTCCGCTGGCGCCAGGCTAGCGTCGAGCACGCTGTAGGCGAAGCAGAGACAGCGCAGCACAGGATACCAGCCCGCCTCCAAGCTGCCGGATAGGTAGTAGGCCACCTGGGCCAACGTACGGAGGCACGCGAGGTTGGCCGTCGGAAGCCGATCGAGACCGCTGCCGCCTGCGACGTCCGAGGACTGTCGACGGTCCGCCGCGAACGATTCGGATGGCTGTAGCTGAAGAGCAAAGACAATGATGCTGCCCAGAAGAGCGTCTCGCTGCTCGACGAGGCCGAGGGCACCTACGGCGTTGGTCAGATTGCGCAACGCGACCAGGTTGTCTTCGAAGATGGCCTCCGAGCATCGGATCTGGAGGAAGCGGCCAAAGACGTCTCTCAGCACCGGCGCGGCGAGCTGCAGCATCCCCTTGCTGGCCCTGAGGCCGTCTCGATCCGCGGCAGAGGCGAGTGCCTCGATGCCGCTCTCCCCGATGGCCGGCGGGGCGGGTGCCGCGTCTGCGGGTCTCGAGTTGACAAACTTCGAGTAGATGGGCAGCGCATAGCCGACGATCGACTGCGAGAGGAACAGGCACGACTGCAGCGTCAGGAGCTGCAGGTACGTCTTGGGGAGGGCGGCCGACGCGACGGCGGGCGGGTCCGTCTTGTCGAGCTGGTCAATGATCTGGATTGGCGGAGAGCTGGCGCCCGTCATCACCTCTGTGCCAGCCGCATCCGACGTGCTGAAGACGCCGATCATGGCGGCGCTCGCCACGCCAGCAGCGGCCTCGTAGAAGCCCGAATAGCCGCGATCGATGCTCTCGCGTATCCGCGACTTGCGCGGGCTGCTGGGAGCGGGACCGACCTCGTGAGTCGGCGGCTGCTGCTGCTGCCTGCCCCTGGCGACCGACATGGAGGGTTCGGGGGCAAAGGTGCCCTGCCCCTCGCGCACGACGCCGTAGAGGGTATCGAGCAGCAGTGCAAACAGCTTCGAAGAGGCCCCCTCCCCGCCGCCGCCCTGTGGCCCCGTCAGCCCTTGCTCGCTGCGGTCGCCCTGGTCGTACCAGGTCCAGAGGTTGCGCAGGAACACGTCGTCCGAGCAGAGGCTGCGCGTCACTTCGAGCGCGAGCACGCGCTGCCAGGTGTGGACGCCGCCGGAGCCGGAGCCGTGCTCGTCGCGCGATGTGGGCCGGACGAAGCGCAGCAGCATCGTCATGAGGATCTCGACCTCGAGCACGAGATCCGCACTAAACTGCCGCAGCAGCAGGAAGAGGAGCCGCATCGATCGCAGGTGGACCGGGAAGCTGGGTGCATCGCTGAGTGCGCGGATAAGCAGCGGGCACGTCTTGGACCGCAGGATGAAGAGGAGCTCCGGGTGGGCATTGGAGCCGGGAGCGTGATGGCGGGCAGAGAAGAAGCGCGCATGGTTTGTCAAGACGCTCTCGACCAGCTCGAGCGAGAAGGTCTTGGAGAGCGAGGCGAGGCCTAGGAAGTCGGCAGCTTCGCCGTTGGCTAGCGAGCAGAGGTCGGAAAAGAGGAGGTAGGCGTCGCGCGAGGCTGGGAACAGGGTGACCGGCTCCCTGCCCGGCAGGTCGACGCTCATCGAGGCGAGCGGGGCTGCGGCGGCAGCGTCCTCGCCGCCTGCTTTTATCCCGTCGAGGACAGCATCCTCCTCCTTGACGCGGTCGAAGACGGTCATGACGCTCTGGCGGAGCGTGGCGGCGGCCGTGGAGCTGACGACGGCGACCTTTGAGCCTTCCTGCAGCTTGAAGCAGAGGAGCAAGGTCGACGACAGCAGCTCTGCGTGGATGAAGGCGTAGGACGAGAGGAGCGCCGATGCAATCTGGAGGATCTTTAGCTGTACGTTGACGTCGGAGCGGGTGATGGGGGCGAGGAGGGCGTGGAGGGCGTCGACGATGGCCTCGATGGACGCGTCGGGCACGAGTCGTTGGAGCACGAGGCGCTGGAGGAGAGCCATTGCGATTGAGATGAGCTTTGGCAGCTTGGTCTGGCAGCTGAGGAGGATGGGCCTGAGGACGAGGTTGTCCGCTGCGGGGCCGTCGTCGAGCCTGGAGCGTTGCAGCGCGGCGTCCGGGTTGGCCTTGATCTGAGCGAGGGCGAGGTCGGCGGCCTGCTTGATCTCCGGATGCTTGCGCCGCGCCTCGGAGGCGAGTGAGCCCAGCTCCAACACGATGAGCTGCGACATGGTGGCAACGACGACGGCGAGCGGCGACGAGGGACAAACGCGAGGGGGTCGCGAAGTGAGGTAGATGGTCGGCCTCAGAGAGAGAGTGTGTGTAGTAGTGTACGTCTGGTCGAGTCGAGCTCGACTCTGAGAGCAGTCGGACCACGCCGAAACACACCGTGCGGCAGCGCCGGCGGCGGTGGGTACGTGCGCGGGCAGGCCATCGGCGCGGGGCCGGCCTGGCTGGCTGGCTGGCGGGGCTTGGGCCCTCGAAAGGGTCCACGCTCGAGGTCGTCGGGCGTGTGTGTGACTTCATCGAGGCAGAGGCCCGCCTGCCTTCGCCAAGCCCAAAAAAAAAGTGTGCCAGCGCCAACGAACCCCCTTTTCTGGAAAATCACATCCAGGCGCCCCACCTTCCGAGGGCGGGGGCGTGATTTCGTCGGTCGCTCCCGTCGCCTTTCTGCCATCACGTACCGCTCCCCGACACCGGCGGCCCAGGTCCGACGCCAACGTAACCTCTTTGCGCGGCGCGCTCCCAACACAGCCTCAGCCTCCTGCTGCTCTACTCTCCTCTCTTCCCTCTCTCTATACCTGACGCTTGCCGACCAGCTCCTAGACGCAACACCCGCCACCACCAACCTCGACGTCAACGCTGCCACCGCCCATCCGTCGACCGCAAGACACGCATCGCGGACCGCAGCAGAAGTTGCGCCCACGACTCTGGACTCGCCCTCGACCTCGCACTCGGCGCAGGCTACTGCCCACCGCCGCATCCTCGTCCCGCGCTTGCACGGGCCTTGGCGCACTTGCTCACGACGACGCCGGACAGGAATCTCGGATGGCTTACACCTCACTAGACGCCGCCCTCCCACAGCGCACACGCTCCTGAAAGCGGCGCCCGCGCTCGTCCCCGACCCTGTCTCGACATCGCGCCCATACTAGCATCACCTGCGCCCGCCATGGAACCCGCTTTGGGAGCGCCCTTCGGCGGCGATGCCGCACCTGCCGCCAAGGACGACCCCAACCTCCGGAAGCGCGTCGAGACCCTCTTCCACGACTTTGCAAACGGCTCAGAGGTGGTCAAGGTGCGCGACCTCCCCAACATGTTTGAAACATTCCAGCGCATCCAAGGCCAACCCTTCCTCCAGCCTCAGGACCACGCCAACTTTCTCGTTTTTGCCGGCGAGAACCCCGACATCCCCGTCCATGCCGAAGACCTCGTCTCGCTCGTTCTCAAACACGAGGCCGCGCGCAGCCCGCTGCACAGCCCAGCCATGGAGCAGCGGCCCGACACCGACAACGACACCTCGTCCGATGAGGATGCCGCACCGGGCACCGTATTCAAGGGCAGGGCCACCGGCAGCCCCTCGTTCTCCCGTCCGCCGCCTCCGCGGCTGAGGGGCCGGCACAGCAGCGCGGGGGAGCGCAGCTCGAACCGCAGCCCGAGGGTCAGCGACGCCGCCTACGTCGGTTCGCCCCTCGCGCGCACCAAAGAGTCCCTGACACCCCCGCCCTCTGTCGACATAGACGCTGTCCAGCGCGACCTGCTCGAGTCGCAGCGGCGGATCGCCCAGCTCGAAGAGGAGCTTGCCGAGCAGGCACAGAACCTGGATCTGCTGCGGCGGCAGCTTCGCGACGAGGAAGGCAGGATGAGCGGCCTCGAGCGGCAGCTCGAGGACCGCGCCTCGACCATCGACAAGCTCAACGAGCAGCTCGCCGACCGCGAGCAGAAGCTCGAAAAGGTGCACGGCCTCGAGGACAACTACGAGACGCGCATGTACGAGCTGCAGGAGCACAGCGACGAGCTCGCTTCCCAGCTCAAGGAGGCCGCCAAGGAGAACAAGGAGCTGCGCATCAAGTCGCAGTCGCGGCAGACGTATATCGAGCGGCTCGAGTCGGAAATGAGCGAGCTCCAGAAGAAGCGCCAGGAGGACGAAGCGGCGTACCGCAAGCTGCGCAACGACCACGACGGCCTCCGCAAGGACCACAACAGGCTGCAAAAGGAGCGCGAGGACCAGTGCGACACGACCGAGCGGATCCGCCAGCAGCTGATCAAGGAGACGGAGCGCGTGGAGCGCAAGCAGGAGGAGGTCGACCGGCTGGCATTCCAGGTCCAGGAAAAGGAGGCCGACATGCAGCGCGCGGACCGCAGGATCGCCGAGCTCGAGGGCCAGCTGGAGCCGCTCGAAGAGGCGCTCGCAGGATCCCGCTCGACGAACTCGGACCTTCAGAATATGATCGAGATGCTGCGCGAGGGCGACACCGACACCGAGAGCCTCGTCGGCAAGCACCGCCGCCTGGGGTCCGAGATGCACGAGGTGACCGGGAGAACGCCATCGGAGGTCAGCGACGCGCGCTCGGAAGCGTCGTCGATCCCTTCGGCCCCAGCGTCGGCATCCGAGCACGACTCGGGCCTCGATTCAGACGACGACGACAGCCATTCTGCAGCGGTCACCGAGGCTGAAGGCGACGCCGGTTCCATGATCGACATGAGCACAGGCTCGCCACCCCAGAGTGATCGGCCATCAACACCGACGCTCGCCGCAAAGCCAGAAGAGGCCCGCACGGTCGACATGGACGACGAGAGGGGGGCAGCACCAGGACCACTGCGGGATTCGCAGACCGACGAGTCAAAGGCGCTCTTGTCGGGAGCGGGACTAGAGGAGGAAGCGGCCGCGCCTGCATCGACAACTACCCCTCCCCCTGCTGCAGCCTCATCCGAGGCCGGCCTGGACGAGGATTCCCAGACGACGCCCAAGATGCTGGCCGCATCCAGCTCTGACGACGTTGCGCCGATCACACTAGACGCCCCGCCCTCGAAGCCCGCACAACGGCGGCCCGGCACGCTCCTGCCGTTTGCGATCAAGCCCACGGCCCTGATCGACCGCACTCGGGCGCTGCTGCGCGACCGCAAGGCAGCCTGGACGCGGATCCCAGCACTGGACCGCTCGGTCCTCCGCCGCACCGAGCTGTACTTTGCCATTTCGGCCGTTGTCGTCGGTATCCTGCTCGGCGGTCTGCTAGCACCGCAGCTACACTGGTGCAGGCCCGGCTTCGCATCGCCGTCGTCTTCATCGGCGGCGCCGGCGGCGGCGGGGGCGACGGCGGGGCTGAGCAGGGAGGAGGTGTACGCGTTCCACACGGCCAACACCATGTCGATGCCGTACGCCTTTGCGCCCGACTTTGGCGAGTCGGGCCTCTTTTCGCCGACGCCGCCGCCGCGCGCCTGGTACGCCAGGGTGTTTGGGCTGGGCGGCGCACGGGGCGAGCCGGACTTCTTCATACCGACCTAGAGGAGGCAGGCGTCTGGCTTGGCCTCGCCGTGCATCGTGTCGGCTTGCTCCTGCCCCCCCTCGCCCTTGCC